AATTTTATAAATGTATTAAACATTAATAAATTTAAACATTAAAAAAAGATAATTGACTAATTAAAATCATATTAATTTTGAAAGTGATTAAAATTAAATAATAAAATATTGCATAGTTTGATATGAATTAATTTTTACATAAATATATAAATAATTACAAATTATTCTTATCCAACAATAATTAAAATAAAATTTACAATAATGAAAGTGAGCATAGTTTAATGATAGAAAGTAGTTTTGTTCTATTTTTGAAGAAAAAAAAAGTATAAATAAAAGCAGATGATCCGTATTGAGATTGAACTAAAAAAAGCTTTTTTAAGTAGTGTATTGTAGTATAACAAATAATAAAATATTGTTTATTTAAAGTTATAGTGGTTTCGCAAAACACGAACCGATTAACAAAAAATAAAGTAGTTTTTGCGAATTTTAAATAAAATGTAATGAAATATCTTGCATAGTATTTTAGATATTAATAAAATATGCGATTTCTAAATTAAACCTCATACGTAAATAAATATGTGTATGCCATATGGTTTCTAGAAGCGAGAGAAAAATATTATTGTTGGTATTAAATTAAAATCTAATATTATCTATATGTAAGAATTAAAATTACCTGAAAATGGTTGATATATTATTTTTAATTGTTGATGTAATCTACTATGTATACTGGCCCAAAAATTCTATTGTAGATATTTACCAATTAATCGTTAAAAATCTAGATATCATGAGTAAACGATATGCATCAAATTTTATAAGTATATTGCGATTGTGTATAGCGATGGATTACATTACACGAACACCTTCCACAAATGCTTCAACCTTTTTTTCGTTTTCCTCGTTCCATCGTCGATTTTCTTTCTTCTTTTATATTTCTCCTCGTTCCTAGTATTGTTAAATTTTTAATTGGTTCCAGTAGAAATCGCATCGGATACAGTCAATAAGCGCACGCAAGTGGCGGTAATTTCAAAAAAATATAAACAACTTTCCTTATAAAATCCGATCGCAAAAAATCGATAATAACATGCGGATTCTAAAAGACTAGCAAAGCATAACTATAACAATAACTTGTCTATCATTTATATAAATGTACCTGCGAATGAAGGATAATTATCAACAACAATGAATCAGCGCATCAAAGATGTAACTGTAAAGCAGGCATAAATAATTCATTGGATTTTTCGGTGCCTTATAATAAAAGAAGTCCTGAAATGGGTTTCTTTTTTTTTCATCATAAAATAACAGTGATGGGTTGTAGGAAGAGGAGAGGAAGAACAACGACCAAAAAATAACCGCCGAGCGAAGAAAAAGAATGAACGACGAGGGAGACACCGTTAGGCTAAGAATTCTTAAGAGAGCCTGCACTGTACGAAACCATCGTACTTAATGACTCTGCCGGCAACATGTGGCCAACAGGATTTACACTAATAATAATAACAAGATCCAATATTTATTCTCGAATTCATAACACAAATACCAAAACAGCTATTCTATCTCGCTCTTTCTTTATACATAATTTATGCAAATAAATAATAATGCACAATAAAATATACTACCTAAAAACATGTACTACCTAAAGCTGTTATATAAAAATTTGTTCAAATTGTTCAAAATTGACTCACTAAAATAAATGACTTTAAATTTATTTTAGTGAGGGAGCTACCCTATGTTGAATTATAAGAAATAATCATAATCGCTATATTGAATAAATAACAATATATAAATATGAATGATATTATACAAACTACATTTCTTAAATTAATTGATGATAATAATAATTACCTCACAAAAATGATTCTTTAGTTATTTCATAGAACAATTGCACACATAATACATAATAATATATAATTTTATAATTTTGAATTAACTGATTTTTATAATCTTTGATGAAGAAAAAAACAAAATTGGTGAATATTCACTTCTAAACAATATCACAATTTACCAAAAAGGAAGAGAAGATAACTAAGTGTGTACCACAAAAAAATAAAAATTATTGCATTTGGTAAAATGTTCTTGGCAATTTTCCTCATCTTGGTGAAAGTTGTGAGAAACTTTCAACAACAATAGTTAAAACTTTATTTGGAGACAAAATTGTATTTAATAAACATATTTAATGTACTCCATCGAATTATATTAAATTTCATGGGTTTGGTATTTAAATTTAGTTTATTCGAATCAAACTGAGCCATCGAGTTTATTACCAAGTATTATCAATAATGATCAACACATAGCTACAACATCTGCTTGAATTTTGAGAAAACGGCGCCTTAAAATATGCAAATAAGATATACAAGGAAATAGATACGTTGTTCGGCAGAATTCTAAAATGTTTCGCAATATTTATATGACATATGTCAATTGACATATGTCTTTATTATATATATTATATATGTCTCTCTTTATATATATATATATATTCTACATTAATTTATTAAATACATTATAAATTCAGCAGATAATTCTATGCAGATATTCTTCCAAGTTAGAATTTTCACATTTTATCAATGCGCCATTTCCGTGTACGTTAATTTTCAGTTTAACGACGCAAAGAAAAGAAAATGTGCATTGCTATGATTTTTAGTATAAACTGTAGTACAACTTGTAATTACCGAAGTCGTTGTCCGCATAAACGCACATTCGCGGAACAAGTAAAAAATAAAAAGAAACATGCAAGAATTGCTTGAGTGCAATGAGTTTTAAATAACACCCAGGGTGTATAATGTGATTAGGACAACGGGTCCATTAATTTTTACTTTTTATCTTTGCAAATGGCATCGAGGAAATGATTTTCGTTGCAGTTGAAAATCACGTCGATGGTAAAACAAATCGACGCTTCACGTTAATGCGATAAATATTTAAATTTTGTTCAAGCTACATGTTTTTAAATCCCATCAACGTGTATACACATAATAACAGTTATTATTTTTCGTATTCATCAACAAATATTCTAAGTTTACATTTTTTTTACTATTACGTGAAACGAACAACTGGTATAGCTATTTCTTTTTATAAAACAAAAATATAAGCTTAAAATAAAGTTCGAATGTTCAACAACAATATTTTTCTAATAACATATTACGAAAATCGTATAATCGTTTTTGGAGTATTATGAAATCGTATCATATGACAATTGTACCAAATAGTGATATCGTATTGTCCGTAACATTGAATACATTTATATTTGATATAGTTCATATTAAAACTTTCAACGAAACAAACTGAGAATGGTTGCAAAATCTATGTGAAAAGAAAAATAATCATACACTTCCTGTTCAAACACCACAACTTTAAAAAAATATATAACATAAAAAAATGACTTAAAGAAAAAAATATAGTGAAACCATTCAATTAGACTAATTGATATTTGATTTCATAACATGATGCGTACAAATCCACTTGGTTTATTTTTCCTTTTATACTCGGCTTGATGTAATTGTATAAATTAACCAGCAAAATGACGAATGTTATTTAAAGCGCATGAATATTAATGGAGCGGAGAGACTCATTTAATGCGAACTGCAAAATACATAAAACACATTAATATGAGGAAAAAGTGTATAAACATCAAGGTGCCTGTTGTTTGTAAAAGTGTTCCTATTTAAATTTCAAATTAAAAATAAATTTTAACAAGAGACGGCGCATTATGCGACTGAACTAGTTTGCGATTAAATCTCGTATAACTACAATTCTTCTAAGATAATTAAAAATAAACCCATAAAGATTTTAAAATTTAAAATAGTTGACTATGATAAAGAAGAAGAATTTGTCTTTTAATAAGTGCATTGAGATATAAAATCAACTCTTCTATGATTTGGTGGGCGTTATTCAATTTGTCAATATTCTAATGCGAAATTAAATTGCATTTAGCATGTAATTAATAAGGCATTTCAACGATTCCGGTTTACTCTGAATTACATTCGCTGTAACCGACGTTCTTGTTCTTGTTGCACAGGAAACAGTCAAATATGCGGAAAATTGTCGTGCAATAAAACTCCTCTTTAAAGACCGGAGAAATGGAAAAGAAGAAACTTTTTTTTCACCTGCCCCTCTTCATTCTTCTATAGCTTCTGCTATTTATTATTCTGCACATTTTGCCCCGATTCGTTTCTTTTCTTTTCCTGTTAATGATTGAAATGATTCCATCCGATCGCACCGCGTGGTGAAAGTTTCCTTCCTTAAATTTTTATTTAATCCGCACATACTCAGCCTACTGTGTAATTAATATCAATAAATTAGAAAATACTAGATAATTAAACCGCGCGGAAAAGGAACGGATTACGAATCATGCGCACGTACTCGTCATATTATTAACAATCCAACAAAAAATAAGCATAAAAAGTTGGATGAAAATGAAGTATTTTTCACATTGGTAATTTAGTTAATAAGTCTAATATATCATGTGCAAATATTCTACATTTTTATCAACATTACAGTATACTTTTTGCAACTCCTTATATTACTCGATAAAAAAAAACATTCACTAATAATTTACTCTTTGTTCATAATTCATAAATTGTAAATAAAATTAAGATAATACAATCAAAAAATGTTAATGATCTTTTGTACATTATATTATTTTTCCATACAGAAAGACCTATGGTGAATAGACCTATTCAGCAGTTGAATTTTTATTATTTTGTTGCAATAAAAACTTTGTTGAAAATAAAATATTTTTCACCTTGCAGTGAAGTCTGACAACTTTTTTATAATTTTAACTAATATACATACTGACATACAGGTTAAGAAGCATTGCGTTAGAAACATTATTAAGTTGTAATTTTAATTAAAAATTATGAAGGATATAGTGACATACCAATGAATTATTATAATAATAGTGTATAACTGTATGTTTATAATAAACTTTAATTTATTGTATACATTCATTGAACTTGCAACAGAAAAAGTAAACAAACATAAAATAAATAATATACTACTTCTGATTAATTCTGTAAAATAATTTAATTAACGTTCACAATAGATATAATGTTATGTTATTATTGCAGATTACATTTTGGAAAACGTAGAAAGGATTATAGTGGACGTAGAAGTGAATCAGCATTGGAGCGCCGTTATTTGATAATTGTTGTATCGAACACATGTCGCTCCATCTGCCGTTTAATCGATTTATACAGTTAAAGTAAAAGAAACGATGCGATGGTGATGTGTTCGATGGATTCGCCGGTGGCGGGCATCCCACGCCCGCCCCCGCTCAATCCATACCTGCTGCCTAAAGCAGCTTCCGGTTCGGCATCCGTTTCCGGCGGATTCCGTCTGCTGGACTCGCAACAGGATGATACAGGAAGTGTGTACAGCGTCTACAAGCAGAAGATAGACGCGATGTTCGAATCGGACACATCGTCGACGAAGAACAGCGTTCAGGCCAGGATCGAGAAGATGTTCACCGATGTAGCCATCGACAACGGTATCCCCGTTAACGATTACGGATGCCACAATTTCTCGGTGGACTATCTAGGCTCAGTGCCCTTGCAAGAGAAAGTCACAAGTCTGGCAGGACTGCAAAAACCGCTGAAGGATCTCTATTTCGCGTACAAAAGAACAACAAAGCACAAGAAAACGTTGACCGGTCGATTGGAAATCTCAGCGGTCGGATTAAAAGTCCAATATCAAGGAGAAAAAGGTTTATTGTTTGCATTCATTCTTACCGCAGCATTTTTTGACACCATATTTTTGTATTGTAATCCGCAGGTGATCTAGAACAGCTCAACTCTTTCCCAACGATAGCCGTTTGGTCGGCGGTGAAATTTGTCATGAATGAAAACACGAAATCCTCATATGCATTCCTCCCATTGATCACTGATCCAGACAACATTGACAAGAAACAGCTTTTCAAAGCAATGGATTCTAGCGAAAGAAAGATAATTGGATCGAACAATCCACACTCACCTTTATTTGCCGTTGTCATGAGGAAAATTGGTGTGCACAAACAGCTAGAGTGTCATGGATTCGTCTGCCAAACATCAGAAGATGCCATCGTCATTGCGGCCACTCTCTACAAATCTCTGATGTCACATATGAAGGCCAAAGAGAAGAGGCCCAAGAACAGAAACGGCGTAACTTGCATGTCAGTCGCATCAACAATCAATGAACCACATCCAGCACTTCCGATTCCAGTTCGTCCGCCCAGAAAAAAACGAAGCAGCACTATGTCCGGAGGCTCATCAATCATAAGCGATGTCGATACAATTGATGTAAGACCAATTTTATCATTTTTCAAGTTTTCCAATATAAATTATCTATAAAATCACATGAATTCCGCATTAATACTATTTGGAACTATAGTCCATACAAAATTAAAACAAACTGCATATTGATAAATTAATTCTATATCTATATATAAACACTTTTATACGTTTATTACATAATATGCAACACGAAAGAATTATTACCCAAGTGGCAATTAAGCTGTGCTACAATAATAAAAAATAAAATAATTTCTTCAAATCATTTTTAATTTGGTATTATATTAATTTGAAAACCTGTGGATATAGTACAAAATCCACTTTAGTATGACTTTAACTTAATAATTATAATTAATTTGACTATACTAAATTATCTATTAAGAAATTTGAAATTTAACAATACTTACAAATTATGTTTACATATAGACTGAAACGGCGCCATTACTGCAAGATCGTTCAAAATCTCCAAAAAAAAGTACGAAAACGAAACGAGCCCCAAAGGCACCGGACTTATCGGATTTAGATGCAATCCTACCATACGAGGAGCCTACAAATTTGGACAAACCTTTGATTCAGCAACCTCCACCACCGTTAGGCGATAAGTGGAACACCTACAAGAGCAATCACCAAAAGCAAATCACCGCAGAAATCAAACAAGTTATGAGTGAAAGCTCAAACATGGGATTGAAAAGAGTAAAAAGTGTAAGAAGGGCTCAAGAGGAAGTTCAAACTACAGGAGATAACAACGGCGGCGATATTCTTACTAAGGTTACAATTCCAAGGTCGGGTAGCTTTCTGAACGCCGGAGGATTGACTAGGTATAAATCTAAAATACAAAGGTATTTTGTAAGCGTTCTAATTCAAATCTATAACTTATTCGTATCTTCTCTTTTCCTAATAGACTCAATGGCCAAGCAAGTGGCGGATCTCCGTTGGGATTCAACGAACTCTTCAACGAATTCCGTCTACAGGAAGGTTTGAACTCGCTGGATGAAATCCTTGGAGTTATCATCGATCCCGAGGGAATGTCTTTCAACGATCTGAAACCGATCTATAAAGAGTTTCTATTGAAGCTTGCGGTGACGTTGACAAAGGACGAATTGTATCAGAGATCAAAAGCTATAATGAGAAGGCAGAAGAAAAAGAAGCTGATGCTGCGAAGGCCAGCGAAGAAAACTAATCAAAAGAAGCAAAGGATAGTTTGCTCAAAATTCAAGAGATTTAAGCACGTATTTAAACGTTTTAAATCATCTTCTTCGCAGCAGCGACTGAAGGAAGAAGAAAATATCAAGCCAGAGAGCACGATATCCAGTTCATCGTATGACACGCAACACTTCACACCAAAAACGCCTATTGTAAGGCAGAGTACGTCGGAGGAAAGCGATTTTTTCTCGCTGAGGAAGTCGTCCAGGCAGATCAACCAACATAGGAATAGTTCCAGCGGCTACGTCTCCTGCTCGGAATGCTCTTTCGACAGCGACACTTGCACTTGCGTCTCCGCAGACAAATGTTACTGTTCTTTAGGTAATAAAATTAACAACAAGTGCTCAGATTTTGGTGAATCTTTGACTTATTGCGGATGCGACACAGATTCGTGCGCGGATAGCAACAAATGTTATTGTAATCGAGGTAACAACATCAACGATCAGCTTAATCGATTGAAGAACTACGTACCTCCGACAGCTAAAAACTGTTGCAAGAGAAATTCTAATACCAGAAGTACAAAGAGCGTTTTGGAATACATGCACAATCCCAGCGAGAGGTACTACGAGAAGCTGCACTCGCGCCGGAAGAAAGATTACGAAATAATGGATCAAAGATTCCTTTACAAAGATCACATTTGCAATGGTAAAATAAATATAAAATATATGGTCTCACTTGATTATAATAACGATATTGTATTGTTTTAGATGGCAGGAAGAGCGTTCAATCAAGTGGGCCTTGCACCGAAGCCCTATCCGTAAAGAAGTCGGCCGAGATAGCAGCGCTTTTCGCAGACATCAAGCTCAGCCAAACAACTGACATCACGCAGATTTTACCCAGACATCACACCAAATTCCCTTTCAGCAACAACCAACGTCTAATTCCGAATTCCCTTTATACCAGTGGCTACGGGCACGGCGGTGGAAATCGTGGCTTATACAGCGCCAAAAACGGTCTGTACACCATACAGAGCCAATCCGACGATAGCAGCCGCAGTAAATCAGAACGCGACTATTTCAACGTGAGCAAGAAGAAATCGCAGAAGGTGCTAAGCTCAAATCTTGAAAATTCCCTCGGTTACTTACCTTGACATCGAATCGAGTCTATAGAACACAGTGTTTAACGGCCTAGGGGGATTTTTTTCTTTGGGGAATAGGGGTTTGGCAACCTATATCTGTGGGGGAGGTTGAGAGACTCGGACAACAGAAAATTGTAAATCTTCACTTCCGGTCGCGGGATTTTTATCTTAAACTGTACGTGCAATATCTTAAACCAAAAATGGATCCACTATTTTGTTTCTATTTAGATTTTTTTTCTTTATTAAATTATGATCCATGATGGATGTAAAGAGATGATGATAAAACTGTTATATTTTTTATTTGGCTTAAAAAATATATTCTGTTAATAAATATGTAGACATACATACATCATATATGCCGGATGGTTGCGTTCAATCCCTAAACCTTTCTCATAGTTCTAGGGAGAAAGTGGTTTAGTTGATAAAGGAGTGCGATCCGGCAAATTTGATTTTGTTCTTCGTGTAATATTTTTTCTTAGCTTTAATATTTTACAGTGCAATAATAATTTATTTCCTATTGTGTAACGTTTATATATTATTTTTTTGTTTTTAAATACATATGAGATGACTTATTTGATTGTGTTTTCTTTTACAATAAGGACACTCTTTATCCCCTATTCTCCCACTAACAAAAATATATCACTGAAACCTATGTATTATTTTATTTATTACTGTTATAAATTTTTATTAAATCATTTAATTCCTCGATCAACAAAATTTGCCATCGCCAACGCAGAATACGTGCATTATCTGAGCTCAGCTAATGTACACGATCAAGCAATACGTAACGGCTTGATCGTAGTCGTACCACGTCGCATTCACTCGTCTTATGGCAGTAAGCGTGGCTGAATTGTGTTTTTCGTGTGATTCATATTTAGTTTTATACCTCTTTAAATATGGATACATTTTTACGTGGAATACGTACAGATCATAAAGAACCCAGCACAAGTGTTGCAAAAAAAAACATCATCTTCGGGTAGTAAAAAAGGTTTTGTCTCTTGTGTAAGACAAAAAAATCCGATAATACTATTTACACACTGTTGCATACATCGAGAAGCATTTTTGAACACAATGAATGAATGCATTCAAATCATAAACATAATTAAATCGAGAACCCTAAATTCGCGAATATTTGGAATACTCTGTACAGAAATAGGAGCCGAATATGAATCCTTAAAATTGTATACTGAAGTTTGTTGGCTGTCCCGAGGCAAAGTTTTGGCTAGATTGTTTGAGCTTCGCGTGAGTTTTAGATTTTTTAGATCAAAATATGCTCGAACTATACCAGCTATACCTCGATGATGATTACTGGATAGCCAAACTTCCATACATGGCTGATATATTCACGCATCTGTGAGCCGTAGGTGAGAATAGGTTGCGGAGCACTGCTGTATTGTATAGCAGAAAAATTATTTATATACAAAAAAATATATTTTGTGTACTTTTTTTTTAAGATTTTATTTTTACTTTGCTCAATTATAAAAAGTTTATTTTGAAATATTCAAACTGGATTATAGTGAATCTGACTGATGGAACCTGAACTATGCGAGATATAGCTGTATCAATGTCAATGTATATTTTACTATCTTACAACAAAATGTATGGAATTCAATACAAAAACCAAAAATATGAGTGTGTGAGAAAAAAAATTATTATTTTGAAATCATTAAAATATTCAAAACTATAATTCAAAATAAATTGTGGAAATGTTAAATTAAACAAAATTAATTATTTTATATAAATATTTATTTAATTATTAAACGCAAGTTGTGTTACTTCCTATAATTGGATCAATAGGAATTGAAATATGCTATTTTCAATAAAAGTCAATTGAAAACATATTGTTGCCATCCTCACTCGGATGGCAACAGCATTTTGTTTTGTAAATTTTTAGATTGCAGGTAGTGTAACGTTGTAAATTGACAACGCTGTAAACAACGCTCCAAGGTACAACAATGTCATCCGAATTTCGGGGAGACCGGATCCAACCACGAAGAGAGACGGTTGAGGTCTCCAGTAGAGGAGATTTTGATATATTTGTACGAGCTCATAACCGTGAAGGAATACTGTTAAGGAGTTGTTCCTCCATTTATATTGTGTAATTTCGTACACGATAACACCCGTCGTGTTATAGTAGTTATCAATAATAGTTTTTGTGTATCTAGAATTTTATAACAGAAACCTATAATTACACAGAAGAAATAACAACATTCAAGCTAACAATAATTCAACCGACAAAAATGAGTCTCAGGTGAGTCAACCACAACCACATATATTGGAAGAAAATCAGAAGAAATCCTCAGAAGATGGCAGTTTTGTCATACTAGACTATGCTGCGGAGGCTATAATTAATAAGCCTGAGAGTATATTTACCGAGCTATTAGCTTATAAGCAGAGCAGACAAGCCAGATCTCCAGAGGACTCAGGCTGACTCAGGCACATTTAGCTCATCTCCAAAAACTCCAGGAAGTTTTCCAACTTTGTCGGGCAATTATAATAATATTGACTTGCTGTGGATGGAAACAACACTCATTAGACTCAATAATAGTTTCAATTGATTTTATATTGAAAATAGCATATTTCAATTTCCACAATTTGTTTTGAAATATAATTTTGAATATTTTAATGATTTCAAAATAATAATACAATACATCCTACATCAACCATTTTGCCCAATGTCCCTAAATTTATTCCATTATTGAATTCCATACATTTTGTAGTAACATAGCAAATTATACTTCTCGAGCCGAAATATACAGATCAAATAAAGAAAATCCGGAAAGATCGAAGCTGCACTGTGAAGTATTGCTTAATTGCTTGTCTAAAACAATTGAAAATTATCAGTTTTAGCATCACGATTAAAAAAATAAATTATGTTTAACTCATTGTATGTTTCCCATACCGGTCTATAATAATTTATAATCTATATATATTTTTTTTTAAATAATAAAATTATATTAAAATGGAATAGAGTAGTTCAACTCGCGTCTTCGCACAATCCCATTCCCGAATTGAATATACCACAAGTTTGGAAGCGACGCTTACTGGGAATGCCACATTCGTACCATTTCGATCTACAATCCGGTGGGAACACGCAAGATGGTTCCGGAATGCGCTACCTGTAGTTTATCCCCGTCTACGAGTTTACGGAGTGAAAGTTGGGTTATAGATACATCGATTCCTAGCGGAAACACGAATGCACCAGCGATCATGGTCAGCGAGAAGGGTGCGTATCTGATGAAGGAAAATTGGTTATCACCAAAGTCATAAAATCGGGCACACCGAATTTCTAAATAAAATGTGATATCAATTAGTTATTGTAATTATTATTTATAACGTGAACATATTACTCATAAACTTTCGAATTGTTAAAAAAAAGATTTATATTATGGTAACCCTTAAATTCCTGAAGTTTCAAATTTGATACCTAAGTACATTAACAGTTAGTGCGACATATTTATGGTCTTAATGCCTAAATATCAAAATTGATACCTGCTTTCTTTTTCGAAATAAATATATAAATCAGGCAATTAAGGGTTAAAGCAGAAGTTAAATTAGTTATATTTAAAAGTTTTTGTAATATTTTGAAAAATTGTCATAGTAGTTATATTCATAACCCACTTGTTATTTTTGAACCTGAGATGAACTGTTAACTGTGACCAATAAATTTTAATTTCATATAAAATCAAACGAGTTTACTTTCTTAATAAATCAAACTAAATAAATTATTAAAATTAATTACGAACTCAATTTTCAAAAACTTAATACATAATTACGGATACGCGACAATTCGGCCATGGATACTGAAAAATATTTTTAAAAAATATTTATAAACCTTAATCAAGTCGTGTGATGTTTTTTACATTATGGAATGAAAATTATTAAAATTGTTAAATAAAATATAGGTTTTTTTAAGTCCTAGTGGACTTATACCACTTTTCATAATAAGATATGAGCCGTTTTGTTTTTTATGCAGTAAAGTCCACTTTTTGAAACATAAATAGTTAATGGTAATTTTAGTAAGATATGGAATTTCTTAAACTTCTTTTTGGTCCGCGAACCCCTTTTGCATTACAAAATATTGCGACTCCCCAAAAAATAGGTATGTGTAGAAAATCATCTTACAACCCCTCGGGATGGGCCTACTTACTTGTTTTCCAAATAAAAAATACATATTTTCAGCCATTTAAATTTTTTTTTAATATTCATATTTTTTTCTACTATTTGATTATGCTACTATATGATTTTATCTTGTTTACGATATTGTTTTTAAGGCACTAGCTAATATCTACTCAAAGGGCAGTATACACTGAAGTACTAATAAACAATAATAATTGCAATTATAAAGTAAATCGAACAAAGTGGAAAATTACACAAAATTGAAAACAGCGCATGTGTGCTTTGCAAACTTAGCACACGCTCAAATCCAGAATTTCAGCATCGAAGAAATATATTATTTCAGTTTGTATAGTTAAATCATTTCAGTACTTTCTTTTAAAGAGAATGGTGTAACAATCACGTATGCAGTATCATGAGTAAAATATTTATTATGGCGCAAACCCAAGCCGATTATCAAGAAAGGTAGATTCTATGATGACGAGGATTTGGAGATAGCCGACTTTATTGATGACGGCCCGGAGGAAGATTACTCGAAACACATCAGCGAGATCTTCGGCTACGATAAAATAAAATGGATATGGACGATATATGGAATCGACAATATGGAATCTTCATTCGCACAATAAATACGTACTAAAATGAATACAAGAAGCGAAAGGCGATGATGAAGGTGAAATACAGATAAAAACGCCTTCTAGTTAATATTATTAATAAATCTATTTATGCATTCTAGAAGATTTCATAAATATATATCACAATAAAAACGTATTTAAAACTACCATACAAATATTTTTTACTTACTAATCATCTCCAAATTCACGAGGGTAGTTAAAAAATAAAGAATAAAATGTAATGTCGTAGAGGAACTATTAGTCAATGCAAAACCAACAGAAAAACACTGATATTGATATTCGCTAATGTATTAAAATGAAAACGAAACAGATAAACTTTAAGCGATATACAGACGAATGCACGCGAATGTTGTATAGGAAGAAAATGCACTACAATGTGACCCTTGTAATTGTGGAAAATGACGTTTATTATATTAAATAGTACTTATTTTTTCATTCAGAGTTCATTTAATAATTCTTCTAAAATGAAGTATTTCTTATTAACCACTTTAAATTATCAATAGCCCTTTGAAACAGTTGACTTTTTGATTTATGATATTTATGTTGTTGTATTGAGATTTTGTATTTTGTAATTAAAATAAATAAAACAAAATAAATCAAACTCAATACAATAATAAAAATAAAATAAAATTGATGTAAAGGGCTATTGAACATTAAATTACTGTTTATGAGGCACTATGTTATGAGGCACTTTAAGTCGAGCAATAATCTATTCAGAAGAAATTAATACCCTTTAGATGAGACCGGTTTTAGAAAACAAGTGAAGCTTTTATTATCTAAGGTTTTGTTTCATTCTATATATTCAATTTTTGATCTTACATAATAAACCCTTATGCCAGATGGGTTGGAAGGAAGCACGAGGTGGAGGCAGAATTGGGAGTTCTGATAGAGCCAGAAAATCTTATCAGTGAAATGCTGATGAGTGCGGAGAGCTGAGATATTGTAGCGGCGTATATATCAGAGGTGCTACTAAGTAAAGAAGACGAGCGAAGGCTGCAGAGGCCCTACGAGGATAGTGGCAGTGGATGCATTCAGCATTTCTTTCAGTTTTCTTGTCGCCGGATTGAGATTCGTTTTGTCTTCTGGTCTTCTATTATTTTGCCAAATTCTGCTTCCTTTTTCTTGGCAATTATTTTCTTAATAATTATTAGGCATGTTAATTTCAGGTATTGATGTCCAAGCTGATTTTTGTATTATACAGTTTAGGTTTTCAATTGCCAAATTTATATCTAATTTTGTTTTTAAGGGAATTTTTAGATCTATTTCAGACTCCATTACTAAATAATTATTTTCAAACTGTTTAAATAAATATATTGTAGAGTAGAAAATTATGAAAAAAAATGTAATAACTTCATTTACACATTGGAGACAACTTGTATTATTTTGTAAATATATTTCTAAGAGTTTTATATAAAATTATTAATTACCTGTTGTTTTATAATTAAAAAATATGCTTTGATTAAACTATTTCTCTATTTTCTGATTTTATTACCTGCACAATAATAGTTGATAGTTTTTTATGAAATTTATTTAATATAGAACAAATATGCAGTCTCCTTTCAAAAGGTTCGCCTATTTTATAATGACAATTTATCAATTTTGGAAAATTATATTAAATTCATGAATAAATATATGCAAATTTTGTAAATTCTAATTTTAATTATAATAATTTTGAAAAATATTGTTGCTATTCGTAGTTTTCCAACAGCTTTTAGTAATCATTACTGTCCTAGTGGCTGATTTTTTGGGAATCTATTCAGTTCAGTGTTATATTTTGTTACAGTTTCAAAACTATTTACTCGTTACCAGCATGTTGCAGATTGTAAATAATAAATTTATTAAAAAAATATATATATTTAATAAATTAATTTGCAATATTTTATTGAAATAAGTTTTTTTTTATTAAAATCTTTAACAACGAAATCACTTTGTATTACTTTATTTTTCCTAAACATACCAAAATGTTAATACAAAAAATATGTTTACTCATTGTATCTTCTCGTTTCCTGTAGTATGTATTTATAATTGTATATGCGAGTATGCAGTTTGCAAATTATATTCAATTATAGATTTTGTTTTCAATTACCAATTGAACAAAGGTTTTGATTATCTTTTTGTTTCATTTGTAACGATGAAACAAATTTCATTATATGGGCTCTGCAATTCCCGCTATTTCGATTTTCCATCAAATAATAAACAACGCTAATTGAAGGGTTGCATTCCTTTATTTATTTTGTATCTTTAACTGCTACTAATCACATTAAATAATGTATGATTCTCGGATGACTGAAATCTTCTCCAAACTATATTTATTATGAATGACTATTCCTTTTGAGACCCCGACTAAACTGTGCATTTCCCCGTTGGATTCTACTAAATGTAAAATCAATATTGGTACACTCGAAAACATAAACGGAATGCATGCTGCTGATGCACATATATATTCGCATTTGAAGTTCTGATTAATCGCACCAATCTATTATATATTCTGAATCTATTACTTCCCTTGCAAGAACTACTTGCAAAATTAGATTTGGCTATCACTTGACCAATTACTTAGTGAGTATCGCGTAATTGCAACCTCTTAAAAAAAATAATCGGTACATAGTTAAGAAATGCTTAAACCAATTAAAGTAAAATATTTATATCAACATTTAGGATATTATCTTAAAAAACTAAACAGTTCGATTAATAATCTCTAATACACTTATCGTTCAGTAATCTCTAGAAATAAACTTGATGTGATTTGAATTAATATAATTATTTATATGCATCCTCAACTTACACGGTTGAAAAGTTTCAGTGTAAGTGGAAAACCGAGTAAATCGATTTAAAAATAATATAATATGAATATCTTAGAATGTATATAAAAAAAGTTTTAAATAATAGCACCAAATCACCAATTTAGATTTCATTGTCAACACTGTACCATCGAGCAAGTTAATAGAATGGTAGATATAATAAGCCAGTATGACACACGGGATTGCATTATAAATTGAAGAAGATTCTACCATACAACTTTTATAAAATAATACATTCGTATTTGACTGGAAGATTATTTCAAGTAAAAGTGTTCGATACAGTGACGAATTTGTATCTAATCACGTCATGTGTACCGCAAGGTAACGTGCTTGGACCCATCCTCTATATACTATATACCGCAGATATGCGGACAAAACAACCTACCAATGAAAGCAGTAGAGGAAACAACTATGAAAAACAGTGGCCTATACCAAAATAGACTAGAATATAGACATCCAAACATATTAACTGTCAATCTTCTTGACAATAGCCTAACAACCCAACGACTGATGTGACAAGCCACTGGATCTACCATTTAGATTCAACAAATAGCCAATATGTAAAGGATAAAGAGCGGCCGTAGCCTTATGGATATAGTCGCCTGTATCATATAGGTCACCCTGCAGTGGAGCAGAGCGGACGTGTTTCTCTCACCCCCGAGCTAAACATACTTAAGTGCCCGGTCTCAACCGAACGCACAATTTAAAAAAGGTTATCGCGTACACATGGATGTGAAATAGTTTTCTAAGTGACAAACTTAGGTGGATTACCACCTGGGAACATTTCTCTGTGAAATGGCTCCACCACCAAGTATGATGCAGAAGAGATTAGCGAGCGAAGATGAGGCTGAAAACCAGCCAATCCCCTTATCAAATAGATACGATCGATTATTCGATATGAGGAAAGATGAAATACCCATGGAGAAAATGGATACCGAATCTACAAAGAAGAATAAAAAACAAGAAAAAGTCCCCCCCATCATCGTAGGAGAATATCATGATGGATCTCATCAGCAGTTCATTAAGACCTGCAAACAAATACTAAAAAATGATGTGCTGGTTACGTACAACAGACACCTCAAAAAGACAATTGTCCGATATCAAAATATCAAAAATCATAACACTCTTCTAAAAACACTTGAAGAGAACAAAACAAAATTTTGTACGTTCTCGAGAGAGAATGAGAAGAACCATGCCTTTGTCATGTGGAACCTCCCAGAGGACTGGTCAGCGAAAGAAGTTGAAGAGGACCTGAAAGATAGATGCAAGATCACCCCCAAAAAGGTCTCGAAGATGAGGACCACACCAGAATTCTCTACCACCACTACCACCCTCAATAAAAAAAAATAAAAGCGGTTATCGAATTCAAATTATTAAAAAAAAAAACTATAATAACTGAAATCAGTTATTATTTTCGATTACTTTCCTGTTCACATTCAAGATATAAAAATTGCCTTTAAAAATCGACAATCCATATATATCCGCTATGTATAGAAGTGCGCGTGAGTGTATCACCAAAGCTTCCTAGTGACACAAAAGGCTCTATTGAATGGAATTTACTTCTTTTATATATATAATCTAAATCTTTCTATTATATATTCTTCCGATATCGTGTTTGCAAATAGTATAAAAGGCAGTTTATCAATCTTTATATATCAAAGACGTACTATTTCCTATATTTTCGACAAAAATATAAAAATTGATAAAAAATATAGTTATAATAAATTTTAATTGACTAAAATAATAATAAATTCTCAATAAAATATGTAGGGGGATTTCAAAACAAAAAGAAATTTCGCTAAAATCATTTTCGACAATTTTTGAAGTGGAGACGAGTGCTGGACAAATTTAATAGTGAGGTATTGCATTTATGACGACTTATTTTATGATTCGTCATTTTAAATAATAATATGTACTATTTGAATCAAAATTAATTTGAAATCATCACTAATTTATTGTTTCCGTAATGAGATATGAGAATGACTATAAATTAAGTTATGAATTGTCCTTTGAAATGTGAATGCCCTTATTATGTTATATTAATATCCGATCTATTCTCGAACTCTTGGATTATTTGATGTATGAGAAAAGGGAAGTCCGGATGCAAGTTATTTTCGCTGACAGCACCGAGATAAATTCGGATAAAATATGTACGAGTGTGGTTTGCGTTCAGATTGCATTTTAATGATGCTAGTAAAGTGCGTGTTGTTGGATGTCCTATCGATCGATAAGGTCTGGTCTGACCGTCTGTGAACGGGGGACAGCCTGTTGCTGGCTTTTCTTCCGGCGCCCCCATCGTTCGCTCGCAGCCACCGTCAACGCCGCCGCCACCACCCCTCGTGCAACAGTTGCAATGGAAACGAACGACATCACATGGGCGCCGGCGTCGTGGGGCGGCGGCAACGAGGCCGGAGGTCGGCCAACGTGTCTACCTCATCCATGCTCCCTACTCGAATCCTGCGTGTTCCATCCATTTGTTTGTAACCAGCTGCGTAGAGTGGTGGGCGATAGTGAGTATGCTAGTGCTCTTTGGCGATCACTGCCACTTCAAGGATGGTGGACTTAGGCAGCTGTTCCTCGGACGATACTAAGAACCGATTCGTCTGCCCCAACGATCGGCAATTATCCCTCAGAGCTAAGTATGGTCGAATTCAATTTCAAACTTTCCAAACAAAATTACATTATTACAATAAAATGAAATTTATATGAAAATTGACTTTTCGGAGAAAGTGGTTATTCTGGAAACAGATTTTTTCTAAATTCACAAGATATCTTGCTCGGTATTTTGAATGTAGCATAGTAAAGTTTCATGGGGCCTGAACAAATATGAATTTCCTAAAGACTAAAACACTAATTAAATATTAATAACCGGGGTAGAATATTATTTCTTGTATACTGTATATACTGTTTTAAGATTTGAACAAGTCATTATTTCAAAAAACGGTTTTTCAAAACATATTAATGATAATAAAAATAATTTATTACATATATATTTACATACATATAAAGAGCTGTTGACAGCATTCTTCATTTAATTATTATATTTATTTGCTCGTTCGGAAAGTAATTTCACTCATAAATTAATTTTCATTTTCCCCAATAGAGTCGTAAAAAATATTTGGGGGGTCACAGAATAATTTATTAATTCTTACAAATAGAACATTGAGGAGTCTCTTGCTGTGAAACCTATGATGTTTTCATGAAAATTTACAGCATTTAATAACATTCACTTTTATTGATAAAATTACGTCTATTAACTTTATTCAGTTGTTTTACCCAATAATTATTATTTTCTATTTTATTTTGTCCACCTTTATTTGTAGTCGATAGAAGTGTATAGCTTTGATAACGAATTACTGTGCTAATGGATTGTTTGGCTCGTCTATAAGTTTTAACCAAGTTTGCTAACGCGACTATGAATGTGCCAATAAAATTATATTCAACACTCAACAATGTTGTTGAGTTCATTTTCAATGATTAAATTTAATTGTTGCTTAAATTTACTAACTATATTTTTTTAATTTAAATTTAGCCACTTTATTTATTATTTCATTAATTTATTTGGAATATAAGTGTTATTTTTAAATGCATAATTATATTTTTCTTTTTATAATCAACCAAAATCATTTGCCATAATAATCTAAATATTTAAACCATATATCACAGAATTTAGAATCAAAATTTAAAAAATAACAATTTAAAAGTGTAATAAAAGTAGAAATTAATACTATTTTTATATGTTTGTGTTCATTGAAATTAAATCCTTGTTTATTTCATTTTACAGTGGGATAATAAATTTTAGGAAAACAAACTCATTTCTCTGTATAAAATAAAAACAAACTTTTAATTCGAACCTTAATTAAACGTCTAAAATTATTTCCTTTATTTCAAACTGTTACAAACTGGAATGAATACATTAATTATATTTTGTTTTAAATTTTCATTTAGACATATTTTAAACCGTACTAATCGAGGACTTTAAAACGTTGCTTTCTTTACGAAAAAATTGCATGGAATGTTCTAAAAACGTCAGTTTCATATTTTTTTTTTTATTTGCACTATCAATTTTGTTCTACCACTACTTACATTCTATGATAACATTTATATTCTGTAAATTCTATATAACTTTATTAATTTATATCTTAAATTATTTTTAACTAGGTCATTTAGCTCTGTGGGTATTGCGTAATCATAGGTAATGGTAAAATGTATTATAGTAGCAAATCGTGTTTTGCTGTAATACATAAATTAATATCAACATGACAAACAGGAAAGCAAACTGTTATCATAATCCTCATTGATGTACGATTATGCTACACTATATGTTTATGTACAGAGGATATGTTCTTTTTATAATATGTATTGTTGTATGCAGTAATTATAAAAATAGAGTAGTACAACATATCTATGTTTACTTATCGTCGACGGAATCTCAAAGTTTTGCTAGGGAAATACTTTGCTAATAGATTGTTCCGTGCAAGTTTCCATGAAATATAAATCCAGTCAGTTGCAAGAAATTCAAAACTTCTATCTATATAGTAAATATTCCGAAGATAAATCTCTAAAGTTGGAATTATTTTTTAAAAACCATGAAAATAGAAAACAAATTATAATACAATTTATTATTTTAATAACAAAATTTATCGATACAATATTAATAATACTTAAATAATTACAAACAAGAAAAGTAAAGTATTTATAAGTTATTTAAGTACCCAATTTCATTCTTTTTGTTCCATTTTATTTTATATTTTTTGTAAAACAGTACCAGTAACGATACAATTTTAACACTCTTCTGTTCATATTTGGTAACCATGATACTGTGTTAATTATATATTTTGGAAATTTGTTGCAATAAATATTATTATTATTATTTAAAAAATATTGTAAAAAAAAATGATGATAAGATATATTTTCCCAGCTATTAAAAGTAAATGTTCAATCGCAGAAAAATGATCAACAAAAAACAGGAATATTAATAAATAAAAAAAATGTAATATTAAATAATATTATTATGTGATTTATATCTTATGATTTTTCAAAAGAATGAACAATAGTAAAATATTTGTAGTAAAAAAGCATCTGCGGAAATGTTATTTGTCTTATATTTACTAGGAGGATATTAGATTTATTTCTAGATCGAAGCACATTACTATTATGAACCGAATCAAATCCTACAAAAATATTTTATACAATCATGTCCCGATTAATAATTAAAATAAATTCCTATAAAACTAAATATTAAACGAAACAACGTTAAAACGAATTATTTTTATCTCACAATTACACGATCAAAAATAAAGAAGTTTTACTTTTGCAAAATATACAAATACACAGAAATACAAAAGTTATTTTTGTTCTAAAATTATTTAAGTATAAAGTCGTCAAGTCATTTTTTATCTCACATTATTAAAATGCAACGAGAAATTAAATTAAGGTTGATTTATATCAGTAATATCGAATACAATTCTAATTTTCATGAGAGATTGTAAAAATTAATAGAAAATTTAATTTACTATAATATTTCATAGATGAAATTATTTGTTCCCATACATTTAGTTATATAACTTCCATAATATTTCAATAATTTTGGAAATGAATAAGATTAATTTGAATATAAATACTTGTAACATTTTGCTCCATATCGTCTGGAAAAATATATCTTATCATCATTTTTTTTACAATATTTTTTAAATAATAATAATATTTTTTTCAACAAATTACCAAGATATATACTTAACACAGTAACATGGTTACAAAATATGAACAGAAGAGTGTAAAGAATGAATGAATGAATTGGGTACTTAAATAACTTATAAATACTTCACTTGTAATTCATGTAGTTATTTAAGTAATTTTAATATTGTATCGATAAATATTATAGTGATTCTCAAAGTGTGGGTCGCAAAAAATTAATGACAGATCAATCCTGGTTGTTTTTCTATACATACCCATTCTTTTGTGGTCGCAGAATTTTTTTTTATGTCTAAAAGAGCGTCGCGGACCAAACAAATTAAGAATAACTGTTCTATTACATGATATGTTAAATTTCTATACAAATGAGATGGAAACTACAAATTATAAAAAAAACGCTTTGGCAGATAACAAACAAGTAGTGTCCAGGAACAACAAATCTTAATCTACTAAAACTGATAAATGCTTCAAATAGATGATTGCCATGTTAATATCGATATGGATCGAAGAGTAGTCAGCCCTTCGATTACGGTTATAGGTGCGTTTATAAATGTTCCGTCGCGTGCGAACGGCTGTGTGAAAATAATTACAAAGCTCAATTTAGTTCATGGAAAAAAAGAGCGACTGGCTGGCATATGCTGGTTTGTATGGATTTGTTTGCAAGATAACACCGTAATTTGCCGTTGTTATCACGCATGTTAACACACCTACACATATACGTATATACACATGCGAATACCGAGCACGAAACTAATTTTCCACCAAAAGTATCGGAGATTAACAATTACGAAAATTCAACTTTAATGAAACGATTGAAGGAAACGCGAATTAATAAGCATGCAAGTTGCAGAGTTTCTTCAATTTCCAATTTTCTTATACGGATTTTTACGATGCGCGATGCACTAAACTTTTGCTTTTAATATGCCTCCTGGGAATCTTCCGTGTTCCATACTTTTTCCACGTTATTTTCTAAGGAACTACTTCATTTTTATTTATATTATAAACTAACTTCCATCCATAAAAACGATGAAAAGTAAATTGAAATTTATATTTAAAAAATCTGTTTAACAGAAAATAACCAATAGTGTCATTCTAAAACCTATTTAATGTTTAATAGGAAAGCAAATGTATTCAAAGGATTCAATGTAAATGAGATAAATGATTTTTTTAGCAGTAACATACACATGTATATGTTTTACAGTAACATATACATTCAGCGCTCGTTTAACGTACATTATGTGTATCCAAATTACCGAATGTGAATTCAAATATAAACGCATGCTTTCATTTTTGTTACACACGTTTTATTTTAATCGACCGAATGTCATTTTAATTATTAGAACCAAATAGTATTTATTTCATTTTAAAATAAGTTCATTGTACGTTCGTATAGATATTTGTAAGTTAGTTCGAACGTAACTTAAAAATTATGTACTTACTAAAAAAATGGAAAAAATTAGTAAAGATAGTTAATAGATCCATCTTAAGAACATATTAATCTCACATGCTAATCGAATATATCGTAATGAGTAAATTTCAATACAAAACATGTCATTTTAAAAATAATAATGACATGAAATGCAAGTAGTTTCAATAAATATTAAGTGATCGAAGGTTAATAATAATATGTTTCGGAAAAAATGTAAATGTTCGATGGCCTAATTACCCTGTGAACTGTTATTTTGTTGGATGTGTTAAGGAAATAGGTCAATGAATATTATTTGTATATTTTCATTCAACATTATTTGTGCGTACATTATATTTATAAACTAGAGACAATTAGAGATAAAATAATTTAATAAAATTTGAAAAGTGTATAAAATTAGAGAAAAGTTAAATAATATTTGATTTCGTCTTGTTTCGTCATTGATTAACTTGAACTAAACTATTTTCTCTTTTTTTATGTGGATATTATAGATTTAGCTGTAGGGCACAGCGGCCACTCTATTGCGATGGCAATTTCATATATCCACAAACTGAATATAGTCGACGCCCCGTGAACCACAAACGCTCCATTAAATCAATTAACGCCCTTTCGACCAATTCACATTCAATCCATTTTGTTTTTGATAAATGCACGATTCATTATTATTACTATTCGTGTTTATTCGCCAATTCGATTTTCCCAATATAAAGCTATTATTATACACAACTATTATTCAGAGCAAAAAAAAAGCTAAAAATAATTAACATGACGAATTACAAATATATGATGTAGATTATTCATCAGAATTATATAATAATAATTATATTACATTACATTCATGATTTGAAAACTATACATGAAATTACTAGAGTCTAATTAAAAGTACCACCAAAACCTTGACAATTTATTGATAAAAAATTTGTATTTCGAGCTATTATAAGAATATTAGAATTGTTCAAAAACGGATTATGTATTATAGATTGCGAACAGGATGGAGCGTAAAAACGGCCACAGTAGGAAGTTACAAAGCCAATCATCAGCCGGCAATAGATCAAGAGGAACAAGAAGCCATAATAAAAGTTATCAAAAGGGCCGAACAGGTGGATCAGATGGAACAGGAGAGGGTTGGAAGGTTAATGGAAAGGTTAGAGAATATGAGGAGAAACGCACTGGGAAAGAACACCAATCAATGCATCCTTTGCGGCGATACCTTCGGCATTTTGGGAGCACATAAATTGAGGTGTAACGATTGCAAGCAGCTTGTCTGTAATAAGTGTTCAATAGGAAACACGAAATCAAATCCGTTCTGCATGATCTGTGCCGAAACCAGAGAGATCTGGAAGAAGTCTGGAGCCTGGTTCTTCAGAAGTTTACCAAAATACATATTGCCAGAATCCCAGCGTAATTTTGGGGCCACGTCGAAGCGCACTGGGAGTTTCAGGAGATTCCCAAAAGACGATGACAGTAGCTCAGATGAGGAACGAAAGAATTTCAAAATTCCTTACAAACTGGTTGAGAGTTCGCACGGTAAATCCAGAAGTATATTAATAATAAGTTACAATTAAAGATGGATGTTTTAGATTTAGATTCGTTAGCAGTATCGGAACCGTTTCCGCAATATTCGCGGCAAAACAGTTCTTCGGAATCGTCGCAAATAAGCAAAGATTTGGATAAAACCTATTTGAGCTGCTTAACACTGGGAGAGTTAAAGTATCCATACGACGAAGAATTCATAGAGGAGGTGGAATCTAGTAAGAGTCCAAGACGTGGATCCTCGACAAGCGCGGACGAGAAAGTCAATTCTCCATCTTCCCCAAGTATCAACAGCATTTCACTTCTAGACACTTCGAATGGCTTAATCGATCTATCCATGACTTATGATACTTTGACGAGTACTCTTCACGTAACAGTTTATAGAGCAAAAAACATATCGCCAATGGATATAAACGGATTAGCAGATCCCTTCTGCAAACTAAATATTTTACCGGACGCTAAGGTTTCCACAAGGTTGAGAACGAAGACAGTATATAAAACCCGGAATCCCGAGTTCAACGAGAACCTTACATTCTACGAGATCAGTGAGAAAGATCTGAGCTTCAAATCTCTTCATGTACTGTGTTTGGACGATGACAAATACGGACATGACTATATGGGAGAAATCAAGATTTCGTTAGTCAAATTGAAAGTCCAAAACACAATATATGTAAGTCGAAAATTTTATTATGTCTATAAATCAAAATTGTTAATTTGAAAAATACACAAGTATATCAGGTAGCAAATGACAAATTATTAATATTTTAATTTTAGCTTACGTTACCATTAGAAAAGATGGCACAAGATCCAAGAGATTTTGATGACCTATGGTTGAGGGGTCAAATTCTGTTATCATTATGTTACAGCACTAAGAAACGAGCACTTCTTGTGACTGTGGTCAAATGTTCTAACTTGTTACCTATGGACAACAACGGATTCTCTGATCCGTTCGTTAAATTGTAAGTATTATATTTATTAGTGAATAAAAATGTCTACAATGGACTTATTTACCAGATTATAAGTAGCGGCAGTATTCACGTGCAGAAATTACGTCGGTGCTGATATATATTATTATATAAAAATATTAACTAAGCAGCAGCATTCATTCATCTATTTTATTTAAACCAGGTGTCAGTAACCTGTAGCTCTTGTCGTTATTATAAAATCTATCGGCTCATCACTACGTTAAAAATGGTGCTTCGCTCCAAAAAAAGGTGCCAACCTTGGTCAAAACTTTTGTTATAACTCTTCATAAAACCGTAGATCAGGTACTGAAGTCACAATTATCAATTTCGTATTCATATACTATACTATTTAAAATAGCATCTCTTTCAAGAATTGGATAGATTAATTTTATAAACAGAAGTTGTAGTTATATCACTTCAAAAAAAATGTACAATGGCTCATCAATTCATACTAAAATTGTCATGTTATTCTTTCTATGTTACTCTAGACATTTGCGCCCAGACCCTTATCATCGCAAACACAAAACTTCAATAAAGTGGAAAAATTTGAATCCAGTCTACAACGAGGAGTTTACATTCGAAAGTCGTCCTAACGAATTGGCAACGCAAAGCCTGCACATAGCTGTCTGGGACAAGGACTATGGAAAGAGCAATGACTACTTGGGCGGTCTCATAGTAGGTGGACTTGGCTCAAAGGGGCGGAGACTTAAGCACTGGTTAGATATGATTCGCTATCCAGACCACAGACACGACCATTGGCATAATTTAACTGATGACCAGATTAACGATTGACCAATATGAAACAGAAGATTATAGCTTATTTTTCTATATGTGTAAATGGTTGTAGTACGATTTATTGTAGACCAAAGTTGACTTTCTAATTATTACTTAATCCATGTAAAGAGGAGATAATATAGCAGTTTTATCTTTACCCCTATATTCCAAAAACGAAATCAATCGAAATTAAAATATATAATTTAAACAAAAAAGAAATAAAAAGTTGTATTTACATTTACAAGTTCTTCTATATTAATTATTTTCGTGTATTTTTTTTATTAAATATTAAATTAATAATTGGTTTAGACGCGCATCCAGTACATGGCTGATCTGACCCTGTTGTAGTCGGGCAATTGTTCTACTGGACCTACAGCAGCAACGGCTGGGCAGCGATCGTAAATGTATTTGTAACATACATCGCGAACATTTTCAGCGGTGATGGATTGGATCCTGTGAACCAATTCGTGAGGGGGCAGACGGCGGCCGTAGCACAGCATTTGACGACCTAAAAATAAATAAACATTTAAAAAATACTAATTTAGAAAATTCGGCTTTTATTGATTTACCGATGTCTTCACAAACGGCGGTGGAGGTGTCCAATTGTAACAGAGTGTTAGCGATAAGGAGAGCCTTGGCCCTGTTGACTTCACCTTCGGTGACGCTAGTGCACAAACGCATAAATTCCTCTTGTACATGGAACATCATTGACTCGATTTTCAATGGATCGGAGACGAAATATACACCCCAAAGACCAGTGTCTTTGTAGCAGGTGTTGAATGATTGGAAGGAATGGCACAAATCGCCTTCTCCGCTAGCGCGAGCCAAGTTGGTAGCATTTTGTTTAGCGGAAGCTTGAGAACGATCCCAAGCGCCCATCAGAGTACTGGCAACCATCAAAGTAAGGGTGTCAGGGTTTGTCCAGCCAGTACCTTCTACGGCAATAGCAATGTGAGCCAAAGGCAAACTATCGTCGCGAACTCTGATCTCGGCTCCGGAGTACCTGCATGGAGACAAGGATGGGATTTCAGCAGTATATTCATTGTTCACCTTATTCAAAGTGCATTCAGCCAATTTAGTCAACTCCTCGTGACTGACACCGCCGGCACCAGCAACTACAATGCGGCTAGCTTTGTAGTGATTATCCAAATATGAGCGCAAATCAGTATTGTTGATAGTTTTGATATTAGCAGTGGGTCCCAAAATGGTGTTGGCCAATGGAGTTCCTTGGTAGGCGATGGCATGTAAATGATCGAAAACGACCTCTTGTAAGTTACTTTCAACCTCTTGCATTTCGCGCAAGATTACGCCACGCTCTCTTTCGATTTCTTGAGAACCCAATTTAGCGTTTTGCACAATATCAGATAAGATTTCCATGGCCTTTGGCACATCCTTGCTCAAGCACTTGCTGTAGTATACTGTTTGCTCCCTGCTGGTATAAGCATTCAATTGTGCTCCCATATCCTCAATTTCAATTTCCAATTGACTTTGGGAACGCTTACCAGTGCCCTTAAATGCCATATGCTCCATGAAGTGGGCAACACCATTGTTCTTAGCGTTTTCATAACGGCTGCCAGCATCAATCCAAATGCCCACAGTGGCTGTCTGTGATCCCCAGTCCTCAGTCGCCACACGAATTCCTAATTGACATATACATTACACAACTTACAACCATTGATTTTTGTCACTTACCATTATTCAAAGTTGTGACTTTCGTTGGGGGCACGTTCAACAGCGTCTCGTTGGGTTTAGCGGCGGTGGTGGCGCATCGCAAGTGCTTAGGAAAACAAATAACTCGTTAATATCAAAATACTCGGCAAGCTTACGTAATATTAATGACATAATTAAGGTTAGGTTTTGTAGCGTTCGTCCAATTTCATTCGTATTTATTTGTGGTCTTAAACAGGAACTTGCATAAATGTATAGTAATTTTGTATATTTACCTGGATTGCAATATTATTTTTAGGCAATTTAGCCAAATTTTGCGACAACTTGAGCAGAGACGCCATTTCCGTGAACGATTTTCACTCGACTGACAAAAATTTAGTAATGCCAACCTACGTTCGAACTACCAATCACCAATGTTAAAGTGAACCACGGCTATTTGATCTAATCTGGGGAACCAAATTTAAAAAAAATGCAAAAAACTTATTGTGGCGGTCCTATTTGTTTATAAATAATTAAAATATAATTATGCATCAGCTCGTCAATATACATCGCTTGCATAATGCGCTTAATCTTATGTAATAAATTATTTCAGTAAAAATGCAACAAAATATAAATTAATATTCTTTTATTATTCTTTGTGTTGATAAGTAATAGGCTACTTAATATCTTCTTCTGTCTCTTCCCCTCCACAGAGAGTGGAAGTATCTTCAATAAAGTATAGTAATGCATCATTCTCATATGTGGGAAAGTAGAATCTGCAATTTTATAAAATATATTAATAAATTACAATTAAACAAAAATCAAAATAGCTCTTACTCTGGTTGATCAAATTTCTGAATATCAGGAATTTTACAGTGATTTTCCTTTTCCAGATGATTAAAAACTTCAGATATTGTTTTAAAGGCTGTGTCACAAAAATGACAACACTTTTCATGTAGTTTCTTACGAATATAATTGACCAGCTTGATTCTCTGATAAAAATTTAAATTTAATAAAAATTTAAATCCATGATCCAACTGCATATGAGCTATTAAGAGATCCATCTGTGATTCTGACTTTGCACAAAATAGGCAATTAATGGAAGACTCACTCTCCAACCAATCAGAGTACTCAGAATCTAAATTCTCATCTTTGTCAATAGTGACATCATCATCTCTCACTATTCTTAATGTGGGATCATTTTCCAAATAGTTTACAATATAAAATTTATTGTAAGAAGCATTTTGTCGATTCACTCTCTTATGGATCTTCTTGCGCATATGTTCCTTGAGAACATGCCTGTCTGGGAATATTTTTTCACAGTATATACATTGCAAATTATTTAACTTGTTTTCAATCTCTGTGATCAATTCATCAATAAACACTAGGTTTTGTGGATTACCCAATTGCAGGTTATGTTGCTCTGACAGATGTTGTAAATAAACAGCTCGACAGCCATGATGATAAAACTTACAGAATAGGCACTCCTTACTGAAAGAAGTATCATTGCGCTCAAATTCTTGTGCAGATAAAACCCTTTCCAATTCCAGACTATGTCTCAGTTTCTTGTCATCTTTAAGCAAACTGCTCAACAGAAAATATTTATTATTAATATCTACTGATATAGATGGGACTATATTTTCAATGGGATTCGTCTTAAATTTGTCCTTCCAGTACTTCAAGTATCTACAATAGTTAACAATTATTATAATAGGAAACATGTGATTACAGAACTTACTTCTCCAAGTTATATATGTTTTGTACATCTTCTATAACTAGGTTGTGGACTTCAAAAAGATGCTTTAAGAAAATATCAAAGCATATTTTCAAATTAAATAGATCATCACACAAAGGACAACCAGTTTCTTGTGAATTTTCCAAATTTTCTTTGCGAAATTCGCGAAAATTCAATGGTCCAAACATCTTTTTGACAGCTGTCACCACTGGCGCTATAGATGTGTTTAGCTCGGTATGCGGGCCACATCTGTCGCTTGGATCTGCATAAGTCTCCTCATCGGTTTCGGTACTTCAGTTGGTGATGCAAGTCCTGTACAGCGCCCTCTGTTGATGGTCCAGCATATGAGTAGTCCGTCATATGCATATTCCTAACAGCATTAAATAACCTAAAAGTGTAGAAAATTATGGAGATGTCTGAAAGTGAAGTAAAAAAAGTTCCAACATGCCTAATAGTCTTAGGTATGGCTGGTTCAGGTAAAACTTCGCTTATTACGAAATTAATGGATATGAATCCTTATCAATATGCTGTAAATTTGGACCCTGCCTGCATTCAATCGCCATATACTGCTGCAATAGGTAACATTTATTATTTTGCATTTTTAAATTTAACTAATAATTAACATATATTGTTACAGATATTAGAGAAACAATAAATTATAAAGAAGTCATGAAACAATATAAACTAGGACCAAATGGTGCAATAGTAACTTCCCTTAATCTATTTGCTACAAAATTTCCTGATGTCTTGAAATATATAGAAAATTGCAAACATGATATATGCTTGATTGATACTCCAGGCCAAATGGAAGTATTCACTTGGAGTGTGTCTGGAACAATAATAACAGAGACACTAGCATCTAGTTTTCCAACAGTAGTACTTTATGTTATTGACACTGTTAGAAGCGCTTCCCCTGTTACTTTTATGTCAAATATGTTATGTGCCTGTTCTATACTTTATAAAACACGTTTACCTTTCATTGTTGTTATGAACAAAGTGGATATTGTTGATCACAGCTATGCTATGGATTGGATGAAAGATTTTGAAGTTTTTCATGAAGCTTTAGAAAATGATGAAGCATATATTAGCAATTTGACTCGTTCAATGGCGTTAACTCTAGACGAGTTTTATAATAATCTAAAAGTGTGTGGTGTCAGTGCAACCACTGGACAAGGACTAGATGATTTATATAAGTTAGTCGAAGAAGCTAAAATAGAGTATGAAACTGATTTTAAAGTCGAGTTGGCGAAAGCCCGAGAGGAGAAGAAAGCCGATGTGCCGCAATCGAGTTTGGTAAACGAATCAAGTCCAGGAATAGATTTGGCGGAGATTTATTTGAGGAAGGCAGGAGATCTTAGTAGCTCTGACTCGGAAGGCGAAGAGATCGACCCGAAATCTGCTGAAATTGAGGCTGAGAATTTTAATAAAAATCTGCAAAAGCAAAAAGAGATGCAGGTGAAGAGAGCGCAAGAAGCAAAATCTAAACTAAAATAAGAACAAACATTTAATATTGTTCATTTTGTAATTTTAAGGTAATATTTTGTTTAATAAAACAAATGTAAAATAAATATATTTAAACGTAATATTTGAACATTTTATGAGAACCAAACATACATATTATAAGGAACATTTTGTTTATATAATCATTGACTAAAGAAGACCTGCTGATTTTATTTTCTTGAAATAATGTATCACCTGTACAAAATTGTTAATAATCTATTTGATAAATTAATTTTCAGTTCAATTGGATGATGCATATCTGTTGCATTGGATGATTAGTACGTAAATGGGATTGATGGGCATTTTGGATGCTGGTCTTATAGAATTTCAGTTAGTCAGTCACAATTAAAGATATTTGTAGATTAAAGCACACTTTTGATAGTCATCGCCCAATTGCTTGTTTCTTGGAGATATACATAATATATATTACAAACCAATTCCAATAACTTTATCTTTTGTATTGTTAAACAATATTAGACTTTGGCAGAAACCTTTGAAGAGCAATAATAATTTGAGGATACAAAATGTTGAATGTTCCAATTGATTACAGTTAGCGATGGGTTGTTAATTATTGAACCTTTCTCCTTATTATGATACGATCTTTAATAAAATATGATACAAATGTTATATGTCCGCTCCAAAAATAAAGGTTTTACAAATATAGGATATATAAAGGTAAAAGGGCTTAAAAACTACAAAAAAAATAAACCTTTTTTTTTTGCATTGTTTGTATTTTTTTTAAGTAACAATATTGTTTATCAAATGAATCTGTAACATATATAAGTGTACATTTATATATATCTATTTTTTATATATATATATAAAAAAGAAATTCATTCTCTCACTCTCTCGATCTCACATACATGTTTTTTTTTTATTAAATATTGTATAATTTATAATATTGTTATTATTTGTATTTTTTTTTTGCAATTATAAACTCGTGAACAAACGTAATCCTGACCCCAAAACAAAAAGAGAACAAAAGAAAACAAAACTGAAAATATAAATAAAATATTTTTTTCCTGATTTTACAATATTGTAAGCGCATTTTTTTTTTGTATAATTAATATATTCACACTCGCAAAATAAAACAAAAGCAGCAGCAGGTATGCAACACACGCACATTCTTCTCCATCGTGTTCTCTTTCCTCTTCTTATAGTTTGACCTATTCTATACGAATAGATTTCGCTAAATGAATTGTGTATAACATTCGCTTCAGAAATAAATTACAGCAGTTTCACAATATATTTGTTGTTTTTTCTTGAATTTATACATATTATATATATATTTATTTTTTAATAGTTATTTTTTTTTGATTGTTCATTTGAGACAAAGAAAAACAAATCGAAAACAGTAAAAGATAGAAATTACAAATAATAAACAAGTCATTTATTGACAGATGACGTGTCAAAATTTGAAAGATAATTTAAAAATTAGTCACACGACTTTACGATTTACTTTGCGTTGACTAAATGTAAATTAAACTTTGAAATTTTCGTGGATCTGTCAATAAATCCATTATTAGTGAGATAATAATTATTGGTTGATCCTGACAGGGAGGTACAACTTTAAAATTATAAATAAAGGTTTAAAAAGTGAATAGTCGATGAAAAAATACATCCACACACATTCTTGATACACTTTCTTCTCCGAGTTCGTTTCCTCAGTATCCATCCATTAAGAGATATATTTTAAACACCACACTTTCTGTCATTTAAATGTAAATATTTTTTCAGTTTTTTTCTTGTATATATATATATATATATATTATACGTAGCTTAGTAATTGCTGTTCGTTTTCTGTACATCCATTAATATTTATAATACACTTTTTTATATTTCATATACTATATATATATATAATGTTAGCACGGCACATTTTTTGTTTATTTTTTATTAGCATTTTACTTTATATTTTAACACTCCACTAATTTGTTTGACTAGTTTTCAGTTTCGATTCCATATATATATATATATATACACATACATATGTGTATATATTATTTATATTAATTAGATTAACTCACTGTAAGTCTCAGCATAATATTTTACTTTACCACTATTTAGTTGAACTAAAACGTCTTCCCATTCTGCAAATAAGAAAGAATAGTTAGTTGATGTTTTAACAGGATTTAATTTTATTTAACAGTGCAGTTGTTGCCTGTTCTTATATAACTGATATCTTACCTGAACCAATATAATGCACCAATTTATCAACGTGTCCTATTTTGGGAGTACTTTCGGGTAAGTAGAAACGGCTAACGAAGTCGGAGCAAACGTCGTCTGCTTCACCAGATGAAGTCAATAGTTGCTCGTTGATGTCAAAGCCAAAGGTAATATCAGACACTTGTTTTTTGTCACCACCACTAAGGATGACAACAGCTGGCCTCTTTTCCATAGGCTCGACGGAAGCAGCTGCAGCTTCATCGCAGGATTTCTTCTGTTGCAGATTTTTCAATTGCATTTTCTCGATCGATTGCACGTCAGGAATATCCAAAGGCATATCAATCATCTTCATAGTGATCATCTTAAATAAAAAAAAATCATGTATAAGCCTCATATGAATGATAAAATAATCACTCATTCCTTTTTCTGATTATTTATTTCAATAGAAATAACATCTATTGTTATTCAGTTCAAATTATCATTATCTAATCTATATAACTTTAGTTACCAATAAAAGTATCACTAATGACTATTATTTCTATTTTGAAATTACACTTTAATGATTTACCTTATTAGATAAGAAAATAGCATTATGTTGTTGTTGTTGCTGCTGGTGATGCTGTTTTTGGTGAAGATGGTGTTGCAGATGATGATGAGGTGGGTGATTATGATGCTGCTGTTGAGGAATCTGTGGTTGTTGATGGTGTTGAGTATGTGGATGTTGCAATGACGTTGGACTCGTTTGCTGATCCTCGGTCTTCTTCTTTGGCGGTGGTTTATTTACACTTTTATTTATCTTATTATTCATATTTCCATTGTCCATAATGCTGACTGCATTTACTTTACTATTGTTACTGTGCATACCGCTGTTATTATTTATTGGCCAACAATTAGCGACAACTGGCGGTACTGGTGTAACCAATTTATTCGCACGGATCTCTGGCCAATTCTGCAACGAAGGGAAATCATCCGAAATCACTACCACTTCTTTAACTGGCGGCACTGAATTGCAGACTGCTTCTGCCGCGACACACACTGCTGCCGCCTCCGGTTTCTTGTCCACTTCCACTTTCGTTTTATTGTTACTATTACACATTTTAGTTCCGCTCCTTTCGGCGCACTTTGCTATATCAGCGTATGATACTGGCATATTTAAGGGAAGCTCCTCCCCATCGACAGGCAGCGAATGAACAGAATCGACGTCCGATGATGAATCGTCATTTGACTTCTCGCTGTGTGGCACGGAGCACGCCGCTTTGCGGTGTGGGCTGACGCCCGGTGCACCCCTATGGAACTCCGAGCGCCCTTCCCCCAGGACCTGTTTCCTGCTCCCAAGTGAATTCCGTCGTTGCTTCTTGCCTTTCTTCTTCTTACTCGTGACGAAGGTAAAATCGGCACTTTCCAAATTTTCCACCGATGTATTCTGATATAACTGTAAAGAAAAATATATATATAAATCCACAATATTCATCGACTATTTTGTTTGTTTCACACAAAAGAATACACAAAAATTATAATTCATAAAATTTAATATTGAATAAAATTTTAAGCTTTCAATATAGTAAATTGAAGTACTGCAAAAAAGACAGTAAAAAAATAAGTTCTTTCTTTTAATTCATTTTGTGCTTTATAGATGGACAATTGCAAATATTATAGGATTGTTGAATTAAATCAGACGAAAAGTTACCTCTAAACTGGTGCCCCACGACTTCCTATCTCGTGGTTTCTCAGCATTGCTTTTGGTAGGTCTCAATGGAATCTTGCTTTCAGTAGTTGCTGAAACTTCCTTACTCGTAAAGTCATCAAGTTTGGTAATAGAAATTTCCTCCATTGAAGTACTCTTCTTAATGGTTGGAACTTCTTTGACTGTAGAAACCTTTCCGGTTCTAGTATTTCGCTGAGGCTTGCTGCTCTGCTGCTGTTGAACACCGCTTTTATTGATCTTGCTTTTCATTACATTAGTACTAGCACATTTTGATTTTTCATCGGTACCAGAGATGTACTCCACTAACATATCGATGTTGTGTATAATATCACCTCGATGACCTTCGACCTGTAATTACAATATTAAAAAAAAATACATTTTATTTGTTTGATTATTACCTCTTCAGCTTTTCGGATGTCCTCTGCTTTCTTGCCAACCTTTTTACTTCGCTTCTTTACGCCATCTGTAGCAGAAAGTGCAGATGTTTGTTGGTTTAGAGCGTTTCCGTTTTCATCGACCTTTTTTTCCTCATTTTTTTGGGACCATTTAGAATTTATTGGCACTAGAGTATAAGGCTGTCCCTTATCTTGCTGAAGAACTTTGAAGCTTTCCTCGGCGTTGGCTGGTACCATGCCCTTTTTCTCGATAGCGGGGAAACTGACTGCTTCATCGACATTATTAATCTGCAAGGAGGCTCTACTGGTGTAAATTTCAACTCTTCGACGTGACTTCGATTGGGGAGCGGCGTCTGGTACTTCCGCGGGAGCACAGCTATCGTAGTCCTGTCCAAGCGAGTCATTTTCCAACAAACAAGTCGATTCCATGTCGATAATGGTGTATTCTTCTTGAATCTTTCTTGTAGACTTCCTCGTTTGCAATTCTTCCAAGAACTGTTTATCGCAGGTTCGCGCGCCAGCGTTTACGTTCGATGGAAGCGAACCGCCCTCCTTCTGCCGAGCTGATACAGTCTTCTTATACTTTTGCAGGTTTTTCTGATAGAGTTCTTCCTTAGCAAGATTATTCAAACTACCGCCTGCCGTGCAGTTCTCCGAGATCGAATTCGACTTGTTTTTTTTATTCCTTTGATTCCTCTGGTTTGCTGTAGTGCTATAATATCTAGCATTCTCTGAACCCGAGGCACTTTGAGCAGTTGACTTTCTTAGTTCGTCTTCCGCATCCGATAATAGTATCTAAACAGAAGAAAATATAAAATATTATTCACAAACCAAAAACAAACTAATAATACAACTGAAAAGCAGGTTTATTATTTTCAGTAACTTTTTCTTTTCTTACACACATCTTTTTACTAGTTTTATAATTAAACAAATACTTTCAATGCAATGAAATTATACTTCATACAGTAGATATTATTGATCTTCACTAGACCAAATTTGTCAAAGTTTAGGTGCCACTATGTCTCAAAATAGACGTAGTTTATGACAGGTGTTTCACTAATCTCACTATTTACATAACTTTTACTTTTCTAATCTAATTGTACTACAATCACAATATTTGTAAACCGTTATACTAGATTATCCCCATTCATATTCTTATCAGTATAATTAAATGTATTTCTCTTTTCTTTATATGCATATATTTATGGCAATAAAAAAAACTTACTTTTCAATCTTTTTTTTCTTTCTTTATTTTATCAAGTCTTACTACCTATTCTAATTGATATAAAGTCCTGTAAAGAAATAGAGTATGTTCACATGTATTAAATTAAATATACATGCTATCTGAATGAATATAATTTACATAACATACAACAACATAACAATGACTTGGCTAAATTAATAAAGAAATTAATATAAATATAATAAAAAAGAAATACTACTTGCTTGGAATGATATTTAAAAATGAAACTATTGCAGATATTGTGATAATATAAAAAAACAATGACAAGCAAAACAATAACAATTCAAAATATTATTCATAAAGTGTGAAAACGCAGGGCATGAAATTTCAACAAAAAGCAAAAATAGCAATTCCCAATTATAAATAAATAATGAATATAAACATAAATGCATAATGTTTATGGGAGAACTTGCTTTAAAAAAAATATGCTGTGTAATTGATGTTAACCTCTACATGTAAATGTATAAGGCTATAGTTAATAAGTTATTTAAATGATGCAATGGGTGAAGCAAATATCAAACACAAAAATCTCACCTGAAAAAGTTCACTTTTACCCACCCTATCTCGGGGAGTCTTATAATTTATAGCCTCTTCCAAGAGTGATTTCAACTGCCGATCATCCAATGTAGTCACAGAATCAGTCTGAAAGTATCCAATTAGAATGTACAAGAATGTAGGTACACAAATATATACACACTAAATATAAATATTTTTTGCTTCACAAATCGAAAGGCGTATTTGATTATTATTATTAAAAAAAAAAATCACATCATCCTTGATCCCACGTGATTTTGTGGCTTATGATTAAAATTACTTATGCACAAGAAAAGTATACTTGATCATAAGAAGCACAATCGATGTTTAGCACTGGCGACACACATTCATGTGGTTCTACAGGGAAATTTTGAGAAATAGTATTTGAAGTGAATCGTAGTATTTCACGTAATTTCCACAGAACTAGCGAACTGAGAGCGCTGTCACTACTGCCAACGTTGAAAGCGATTGTCAATTATTTGCTGTGAACTGAAATAAGATTAGAGAAATTCGTGCAGAATAAAAAACCGCTACGCGTATCCCCACTAATGTATCACAAGTATCTTTTTTGTCGTTGTTATTGTCATAGTTCAATTAGGTGACATATTTTTAAGCATAACGATTCGGTTTCGATTGGAGAGGTCATGGGTACCGTTCACGGGTTTTTGAATATTTGATGGTTATGTTATAATAATAAAAACAAAATCGCGAAGACTTACTGGACGTCATAATATGCAAAAGCGGCCATTTTCAATAACAAATTATGCGCGTAAAAACTTGAACGTATAAACTATCGATTGTTTTAATAACAAAATATACATATACATGAATATATCTATATTTGAATAAATAAACTAAGAAAACGAGGAAAAAAAAACTATGTTGCAGAACTGAAAGTGCACTCACTTTGGCAACGACTTTTGTAGTTTCACCGCGTCTTTTGTTTCTTGAAGATGTCGATGAAGAGGTCTTCGGTACTGATAACGTCTCTGCTTTCATTAATTTTGGTTCGCTGCCGCTACCACCACTTTTGTCAGGTGCTTTCGGTGTGCTGTCATTTTCAGGCGAAGGTGCCATTTTCCTTTTCCCTAGAAGCAGGAAAAGAAAATCCACTTTTCGAAAACAGGGACTTTTCTTCTTCCTGAGGGTGGCCTAACGCGAGGGACAGCGAGGAAAGAGAAGGGGGGGCACCGCGCACTTCGGATACTAATCAAGAGAGCACATGTTTCGGGGCCCTCCTAATCACTCGGCCCCCCCGAATCCCTTACAAACCGATCACTAAAACACGAGGTCTCTATTTATTGCTAGCCCTCCGACCCTAAAACACTTGAACCACATTTCCATGGCGGCCATTAATTACACATACATTGAGTGTGTAAAAATACACTCACTTGCAAACTGACAGTTCTGTGACAGCGCCAATTTCTGGCCCTCTGACGGCCGAACCAATGGCGGCAATTTAAATGGACGTCAACGTGTTTATTTACAGAATTGTATGTTTATATAACTTTTCAATAACAATTACATTCGTTTATACGGTAGTAGTATGAGCCATCGAATTATAACTGGGATGATCGTAACTGTCTATACTATCCCATTCTTCATTATGATCAAAATCATACAGTGACATGATATTTTCTTGCAGTAGATACATTCTTCTTCTTTTCGCCATTAGATACACCTAAAATTTTGTAGCATAACATTCTCTATGAAATAAAACTATGCGGCATCCACTTACGCAGGCGGAAAGAATCATCACAATAACAATTACAACCAGTGGTATAATCAAGAAATTTAAATCCGAACTGATTTGAACAGGAACTTCGGTGGTGGTTGTTGTGAAATTACCTTCCTCCACAAAATATTCCATGTTTAATCATCGTTGCTAACTCCATTTTCCCTTGATCGATAGTAAAAATACTAAGCAAGTACTCTTTGGTACTCTTATCACTGGAAGTCAGTGAAAATATATTTCTATTTAAACGTCATATTTGACATTGACAGCGCCCTTGTCAAAAACTGAAGAAAAATAAAAAAAAAACATGAATAGTAATTCTCATATCTATTATTATTTTATTAAAAATTTGTCTTTATAAACTAATTTTAAAGTACCAAGTGTATATATAGGTCTATTATACTAAGAAAACAACTAAATTGTAATACACAAAAAGTGAACTCCCATCACTTGTACGCGTTTGACAGTGACTGTCACTTTTGACACCTATTTGTTGTTATCACAGTTTTAGCATGTTTCTAATTTATTAACACTAATTAATTTAAGTTATTAAACAGAAAATGGTGAGTACTATTATTATTTACTCAATACATTAATGGTATAACATATATGTACTATTGTAGAGTTTCTTTGGATTTGGTCAATCTGCAGAGATTGATATTTATCTCGATGGGCAAGAGAGCAGGAAGACTGCAGAGGTGAAGATGGAGGATAATAAGAAGGAGAGACTGCTATTGTATTATGATGGGGAGACTGTATCTGGAAAAGTTAATATAAGTCTAAAGAAAGCTGGCTCCAAATTAGAACACCAAGGTATTAAAATTGAGTTCATTGGACAGATTGAGTTGTTTTATGATAGGGGTAATCATCATGAATTTACAAGTCTTGTTAAGGAATTGGCCAGACCAGGAGAAATGATTGCCAATACTTCATATCCATTTGAATTTAGTTGTGTGGAAAAGCCTTATGAAGTATATACTGGTGTTAATGTAAAATTGCGTTACTTCCTGAAAGTTACAGTTGTGAGGCGCTTACAAGATATATACAAGGAATTGGATATTGCTGTGCACACTTTAAGCAGTTACCCTGATATCAATAACTCAATCAAAATGGAGGTTGGCATTGAGGATTGCCTTCACATTGAGTTTGAGTATAACAAATCCAAATACCATTTAAAAGACGTAATAATTGGAAAGATCTACTTCCTCCTGGTGAGGATCAAAATAAAACATATGGAAATCGCGATTATTAAACGTGAAACTACTGGCTCCGGCCAAAATATATATCATGAAAATGATACAATTGCCAAATATGAAATAATGGATGGCGCCCCGGTTCGCGGCGAGAGTATACCCATTCGCGTATTTCTGGCTGGTTACGAACTAACGCCCACTATGAGAGACATTAATAAGAAATTCAGCGTTAAATACTTTTTAAATCTCGTTTTGATGGACACAGAGGATCGCCGATACTTTAAGCAGCAAGAGATCACGCTCTGGCGTAAAGGAGAGAAAACTCGAAAGGCAAATCTTCAAAGTCCTTTAGTTGCAACCCATTTAGTTAATAGCGACGCAGATAGAGCCCCGAAACCAGAGGAGGTGCCGGTGCTCGAAGATGGGGCCGTCAATGAAATTTCGGAGGGCATTCAAAATATGACTAGAGAACAAGGTGATGGGGAAACGCAGAAAGCACCCCAGACACACGAATAAAATACAAGTTCCAATGAAGCAATTTACAAAATATTATGTTTAATCAATGTTTTATTGTATATTTAATAGCGCATATTATTAAAATTATAAATCAATTAATCACAAACTAGTTTCATTTTAACATATTATATAATAATGACGATATAATTCCACAAGCCCTACTATTCTCTTTAAAAATAGTACTAATATATTGTTATTGCTAGTTTAAAGGAAATCTATTATTTGTCATTTCAATTAAACGCAATAATTAGAAATTACCAGACTTAATGAATATTTAAATTAATTTATGTTTATTTATATGAAAAGAAATTCTTTTAAAATTGAGTTTCCCACCGCCATAACAAAAAAAAACAATATACGAGAGAGCACTTGAAAAAAAACATATTCTGGATTTAATTGTGTGATCTTTATGTACAAAATATATCTAAGTACCCATTTTTTATATATTAATTTTGACATTTTTAGTGTCCATATATATATATATATTAGATTCTTATTATCGTATTCCAATTCACATTTAATAAATGTATCCACATGAATCGTTTGATGGGGTTTTGTACAAGGTTTAATGAATAAAATAATGAACACAATAAATTTAAATTCAGTAATAATTATAAATATATTTCTGTTTCTTTATCTATCTCTCTCTATATATATATATATCAAATAATTATTCTTCAAGTAACATTTATCACTTTACATATATCTTCTATGACAAAAAAATTAATAATAAACGAACAAATATTGGAAATATTTTTTTGTTTGCTCTCTATATCTAAATATTTAACAAATATCAGTCAACATTTCTTTGCAACTATATATTTATATATATATATATATAAACGTAGATATATATATTTATTTTATATTTGGTAGACTAGCAATTATAAATGTATATATATATATATTATTTTTACATCCCTTTTGATCAATTTGAAATCAATCAAAATCTTTTATAGGCATGTATATTGGAGCAGCCACTAGTTTGTTAAATTTATTGTAGAGCATGTTCATGCCAGGTGAATCTTCAACAGTTGGAGTTGGGGTGGAATCATACATCTGCTCATCATCATCAATCAAGGAGCATTCATTTAATGCCTCCAAAGATCTAAATCTGGGCTTGAGTGTAGAACTAGTATTAACAGAGTCCTCTTGAAAACTTAAACTCTTCCTTTGCAGAAACTGCCTCCTGTCCATTCTATCCATAACTTTCACAGGCCTGCAAGTGGCCAAAGTCTTCATACGCTGTTCATACCAAGTCAAATCCTGAACATACACAAAAATGAAATATGTATACAGTTTATAATATATAATGAATTTACCTCTTCTCTGCGTCGTTTGCGCTTGTTCTCTGAAGAAGAGTTATTTAAGTCTATTGTTTCTTCAGTGCTGCTGAGGAATTGATTGTTACTTATCTCTTTGAGAGACTTGTTTAGAATATTATTTTTTGGAACAATCACCACTGGTTGAAGGAAAGGCAAATTGATTGGCACCATCTGTCCCGGTTCTATGTTAATTGCAATATTTTGTGGAATGTTTTCCTTAAGGGTATAAATAGTCTTCACCCTTTTGCTGTCTTGGATCACAGCTGGTTCTAAGCCACCAGTGCTATGTGTGAAATTAAGTTCATCCATCTTCCTGATTCTTTGTTTATCAGGTGTCTCGTAGATCCACTTTGATTTTGGAAGCAGTGGCATAATGGGAATATCATCATCCTTGTCATTCTGTAGTTTGATCTGGGTGTGTATGGAGGCTGCTGGGGTGAGGGGAAGATGTGTCGAATTCATCCCACTATTTATGGATTCAATGACTCGACTCAACTTCCTACCTATTACCTTCTGTGCAGACTTAATATTGCCTAGTAGTAATTGCGAGCGGAACTTGGCACAAAAAGCATCGTTCTTTTGTTTACAATGCCTGGACCGATCCTGTCGTCGCACTACAGTTAAGGTTAAGAAAAAAAGTTGCTCTTTACACACACTTTTAAAAAATGTCTATAAATACTTACCGATCTCTGATCTGCTGTGGGAAGGCTTGTAGATGATTTTCTGGAGGTAAATCGGCTGCAACTGCAAGAAATTTCCAACTCCGAAAACCGAAAAAGAGAAAAAAACTCAACCTCTAACTTACCTCTTCCACCGTTTGGGGAATACAAATTGGCGGTAGACTTTTCGCGTAGAAGTCGACGTTTGCGCGCGCGCCTCCTATACAGCGCCTTCTCTTTTTGCCGAAAACGGAAAAATCACCGCCCTGAGTCGACAACATCATTTCCGAATCCATTCCTACTTTTTATTAGCAAAAACCAACACTCGCAATGGGCGATTCTACAAGAATTTATAAGACGTCGATACAAACCCCAGAAAAAACTCTATTTTCCGACACTTCTAGTGTCAGTTTAAACTGCTGATCGAAGCAGGTGAACAAACATAAATTGTTTTAAAACTAAATGTACCAAATTATAATAATAATTAACAACTTTTGTATGGTCGCCTGCATTTATATCAATAAATAAATGATATACATCTCTTTAAAAAAAAAACAACTTTTGTTAATAGTTAATTATAATTTATCGTATATATGCATATTTGCCTATTGACCGTACTATTCACGCCATTTCATTCAAATTAATCACATTAATAGTGGAAACCAAACATATTTCATATATAGTGTTGTTAGTTAATCCTTCTCAAATAATTCTATATATAATATTGATCAATTAACTTAGAAGTCATATAGTTATAGGAGGGGCGTAACAAATTCACCAATACGAAATTTTCGACTAAGATTCGCTATTAACTGCTGTAGTAAAAACTTAGAAATAAAGGTATTTTGTATTTGCCTTTAATAACAAAATATTCCTCATTTTATATCTGCTCTGCTTTTGTTAATATTTTCTGATATAAATATAGAAACTTCAATATGCTATATTCAATGTAAAATCTAGATTAGATTAGTTCCATTACTATTAAATGTTACTGATTTAAAATTGCAGCGTTTGTTTGTTATGTTGTTACGTTGTATTGAAATGTTTATTATATTCTTTAATCTTTATCGTCATAAATATTAGACTGCGATAATATATGAGTGCATTCGGGTAAATTTGTTCACTAGTCGATAAGCATGTTGGAAACATTGTGCTCTCACGTAATAGTTTTTTTGAAATACAGTAAAACGCCGATTATCCGGGTTTCAATTTGTTTCTGCAAATCTGCCGTTTAGTAAATCAAGTTAAATAAAGACAAAATAATTTTATAAGGAAAACAATAAAACAATTAAAGTTACCTTTTAAAATGATTAAAAATGTATGAAAGCTAATAAGATCGATCTTTGTATTAACTGTGCTTTAACGTTCTCGAATTACCACGGATGTGTTTTACTGTACGTCCAAATATATGTTAGTTTTGATTACTAGTGAGAATTATAAATTATACTGCAAATTTAATTATTATTCAATACAATAACTTTAAATAAATCATGGTAAGGTAATCATATAGTCCTTAGTAATGTTTTGTTATTGTTTCACATATAACATTGACTTTGTTAAAAATATTGATAAAAGCTTATATCTATAAATAATTTAGTAATTTCGTTTTGTTTCCTTGGGAGCTGCAAGACATGCGCTTTTCCATTCAGATCCCTGGACGAAGGTGAGCGCGCGACGACGACCGAGATCAATAAAGCCCTTCCGTTCAGATCAAATTGGCGCAAAGGATGAATCTAGCTAATAATTGTTTGTAACAATAAACGGTAGTCGACTGGCTGTTCCAAAGATGGGTGTCTTCAATCTATTAGTGTTTACGCTACTTCTTCGGTGTTGTGTACTGCAGAAACCTAACACAGATGCCCGCAGACACGATGTCTACATCGCGGGGTTTTTCCCTTTCGGAAAAGGTGTCGAGAACTCCGAGACAGGTTGACTCTTCGACTGCATTCTTCTCGATGTATTGAAAAGTTTTGTTTTCAGGTAGAGGCGTTATGCCCAGTGTAAAATTGGCTTTGGATCATGTGAATGAACACTCCTCGATCCTGAGGAACTACAGGCTACACATGTGGTGGAATGATACTATGGTGAGCTTTGTAAGCACGCTTATAATGGAACTTAAGCAATTATTTATTTTGTTTCAAGTGCAATGCGGCAGTCGGGGTCAAGGCTTTCTTCGATATGATGCATAGTGGTCCTAACAAGCTGATGCTCTTTGGGGCCGCTTGCACTCATGTGACAGATCCTATCGCCAAGGCCTCCAAACATTGGCACCTCACGCAACTGAGTTATGCGGACACGCATCCCATGTTCACAAAAGACAACTTTCCCAATTTCTTCCGGATCGTGCCTAGCGAGAACGCCTTTAATCCACCGCGGCTGTCGCTCTTAAAGGAATTTAATTGGACTAGAGTCGGCACCATTTACCAAAATGAACCACGATACTCTTTGGCACATAACAGGTAAGTCAAATTAGCATGCCTATAGAATTATCTGTATATTTTCAACTTATCAAGAACCTTCGAAAATCTTTTCAATACAATTATAAAACTATATTTAGCAATAAACTCGAAAACTAAATTTTAAAAAAATACGCATTCCTTTTATATTAATTAAACTATATACCAATGGTAAATTTTTATTAAAATTTGTTTTGTAATAAACGATTTTTGTAATAATATAACTAAAACAATTAAAAAAATATAAATAATACATGAATACATGAAAGATACAAATCATCAATGCAAAATTCACAAATTATTTTGATGTTATTGGATGTACTTGGATATTCTGAAATGTGGACTTGCTACTTTTGGAATACTTTCAAATTTTAAAGTTTTGAAATATATATTCTTGATAGGAAATTAAAGATGATTTGAAGTTTAACAAGCTTTTATGCAGACAATAACTAAAGGTTCTGTTGTATGTAAATATTACAGTTTTTTTTTTCTTATAACGAAATACAATTCTCTTGTCTAAAAAAAATTATTTAAATATCAGGCCCGTGTTTTTTTGAGTGTGCGAAAAATGTTTGGCGTCTTTCCAAAAAAGTTCAATTACATTAACATTATACATTTTATTTATATGAAAATATCTTTTTCACAAAAGAAAGCCACTTATATGGCTTTCTTTTGTGAAAATTGCTCTTGTTGTTAGTCAATATTAATGTTGACAGTGTAATCTCGTTTTTATTTGAATTATTTGTCAAACCATGGAATTTTTCATGTTTGATCACAGTTAAATTTTAATTAAGAAAAGGTTATCTCATATTTAGCAATTAAAACAGGTAAAGTCTATAGAATTATCAATATAATCATTGAATTTGGGAAAAATTGTAATTATAAATCACTTCCAAACCATCTTAGGTGTACTAACATCAGTAATTTTACAACACAACATCAAGTTCTTTTTCCATTTCGTTGTTATTTTCTTTGTTACTTAATGTTTTTTATAATGATTTATATATCTTATTATATCTTCACGGTTCTCCATTTTATCCTAACATTTAATGTAGTATAAAATTTGGTTTTAAATATTAGTTTTGTGTAAACGGACACAGGTTCGTTTATCTATCTCAAAATAAAAATCGCATTTGTTGCAAGAACTATGGCTTACCAAATATATTTCTTGAAAGACTCTTACAATTACGAGAAATTCAGTTATCTTTCTCAACGCAGTTACTGCTAAATAACGTCACCACCATTAATGTAGAATGTGTTTTTTTAAATTTAAATTTGTATTTTTGAGACATTTTGAACGCTTATTTTTATTTGTCTCGCACACTTCGCATACGCTACCCGTCAGATCTGTATATGATACATATTTCTTATATTAATATTGATCTGTTTATATCTTTTGCTAATATAAATAATATTTATTTTAAAATTAATACTTTTAAAAATAAAGATTGTAAGGAGTTTTAAAAATATTTATGAGGTTGCTTTAATATATTTATTATATTATTCCGTCCTTTCTGACATTGTTACCTATACGTACTATAGGTCTTGAGCAGAATTGATTGCCATTTTACAGATTAGTAGCTGAGCTGGATACACTGGGCTACACCGTTGTCGAGACTCAGAGTTTCACCAACGAAGTCATATCTGCATTAGTTAAGCTTAAAGAGAAAGATATCCGCGTGATTTTGGGTAATTTCAATGAACATTACGCTCGTTTAATCTTCTGCGAAGCATACAAACTAGAGATGTACGGCAGGAGGTACCAATGGGTGATAATGGGAACTTATTCATCCGATTGGTGGACGAAAGTTGAGCCGGACTCGAATTGCACAACTGAAGAATTGCAATCAGCTCTGGAACAGACGATTTTAACGGATTTGTTGCCGTTGAGCACTAGCGGAGAAATAACGATATCCGGAATAGTACGTTTAGTAAAAGTACTTATATACTTGTATGATAACATTTATTTCTTTGCAGACAGCTGATGAGTATTTAACCGAGTATGATTCAAGACGTGGTCGTGAATATTCCCGTTTTCACGGATATACCTACGATGGAATTTGGGCAGTGGCATTAGCCATACAAAACGTCGCTCATAAGGTTAGGTACTTGAGGCGCAATCAGACGGTAATAGATTTCAAGTACAGAGATCCGCTTTGGGAGAGATTGTTTCTGGACGCGTTGCACAACACCAGTTTTGAAGGTGTTACAGGACCAGTTAGGTTCTACGATAATGAGAGAAAGGCCAGCATTCTCTTGAAGCAGTTCCAACAAGGTTTGGAAGTCAAAGTTGGAGAGTATAGCGCGGCCACTCAGCACCTAGATCTAACTCTCGGGGCTCCTATGAAATGGCTCGGAAAGCAACCACCGAAAGACAGGACTCTGTTGATCATCGAACACACGAGAGTAAACAAAACAGTTTATGCAATATTAGCTTCTCTGGCCGTCTGTGGCATCATAATGGCATCGGTTTTTTTGGCGTTCAACATCAAATACAGGAACCAGAGGTACATCAAGATGTCTAGTCCGCAGTTGAATAATCTCATTATAATTGGCTGTATGCTGACGTACACGAGCATCGTTTTCTTAGGTCTTGACTCAGGCCTCTCCAGTGTCGGTAATATCCATACCGATTTTTAATATCAAAATGCTTATAACAGTTTCTGCCTACAGATGCTTTTCCCTACATTTGTACTGCTAGAGCTTGGACACTGATGGCCGGCTTCTCTTTAGCTTTTGGTGCTATGTTCAGTAAGACCTGGAGAGTTCATTCGATTTTCACCGACGTCAAACTAAATAAAAAAGTTATCAAGGATTATCAGTTGTTCATGATTGTTGGTATTCTGTTGGTCCTCGATTTTGTCATTATGACCACTTGGCAGGTTGCTGACCCTTTCTACAGGGAGACTAAACAATTAGAACCTTACGTAAGCTCGTTTTTTTTATCTACATGTACAATATTCTCGAGATTTTAGTCAAATTTATTTGGTAATGTATATAAAACATTACTCAACTTTTCTATGTTATTCCCTTGATTTAAAGTAAACAATATAGAATTAAAATAATATAGGAAATTAAGTTTCCAAATATTTTTTGAAAGTATTTTATACATTTATCAAGAGTAAAATTTAAAGAAAATTCCTATAATATTAATTTAATTTATTTAAATTGCAAAAGCCTCATCCATCGAGCGAAGACATAATAATAATTCCGGAAAACGAATACTGTGCTTCGGAGCGAATGACGATCTTCGTTGGATGTATTTACGCTTACAAAGGGTTACTGATGGTGAGGTCTTTTTGTATTTTCCTGGAGCAGAATTATGTTATCTAGTTTGAAATAGATCTTTGGGGCTTTTCTAGCGTGGGAGACGAGGCACGTTTCGATTCCGGCTTTGAACGATAGCAGACATGTCGGGTTATCCGTGTATAATGTGGCCATCATGTGCATATGCGGCGCGGCCGTCGCTCTAGTTCTTGTCGATCACCAAGATGCCATGTTCCTTATAATTGGAGTCTTCGTGATGTTCTGCACGACGGCTACATTGTGGCTGGTATTCGTGCCGAAGATGGTGGAACTCAAGAGGAATCCTGGCGGGTCGATCGACAAAAGGATCAGGGCGACGTTGCGGCCGATGGGCTCGAAGACCAGAAGGGATTCGAACGCATCGGAGATGGAGTCCAGGATGAAAGAGGTCAAAGCAAATAACTCTAGATATCGCAAAACCTTGCTTGATAGGGAAAGTGAGCTTCAAGTGCTCATCAGAAGGTTGGGCAATGAGGCCAAAGAAATCCTGGACACGCGTACCGATTCCATCACCGAGACGAACAAATTATCAGTACCGCTTTTAAGAAAGGAAGCGCCATCGGCCACCGAAACTAGTGACATTACTTCCCTGTGCAGTTTGAGCTCTCAAGATCAGTTCCAATCCTTTCATCATCAGGAAAGTCAAAAAAAGAAACCCATTGTGGAATCGCCTAAATCAGAAGTAGCAGCACCGTCTGTAGTACAAAATGGAAAAGTTACAGAGCCAACAATCGAAGTGAAGAAAGAAGCCTTGAGAAAAGTTCAAACGCTTGACGAAGTCGTTGCTAATTACCAGACTTGTGAGAATAGAAGAGCCAGCAAACCAGAAGCCGTACCACCGCGTCGCTGCAGCTTGAAAAACGAACAGGAAGATTGCGCAAAGAGAAGAGTTAGCGTTCCTGGACAACCACAACCGCAACAACGCACACCCAAAAGGAAACCGGACCATGGAACTCACGTTGTAGCCAAGTCCGAGTTATGGGATACAGGGAACCAACACAGGTTTAAATCAGAGGACAATACTCGAATTATTACGGCAAACACATAATATTTTAATAAACTATGTTTTTTTTTATTTTAGATGTTCGAAAAGATCATCGCGCGTTTCCATTTCCACGGATGAAGACGAATCCATAATGCACCGATCTGTATCGGAGAGGAAAAGTGGAAGAGGACAAAAGAGTCCTAAGAAGGAGCAAACTGAAACCATTTGCAATCAGCATGCAAATAAACTGGCGCACTTCCAGTCCACACCCAACGTAAATTCAGCAACTTTAAGGCCTTCAGCAAAGACGAAGGCTAAACAGAGAGGCGATATTTATAATGCTACTTCGGAAAGCGAATTGCTTGACCGCGAAATCCTACCGATTTTTCAAAAACTTTTAACTGAGCGCAATAAGAGCCAGCACAACATTGACTACTCCTTCGGTAGATCGTGCCCGAACATCTCCATTAAATGCGACATTGTAGAATACCTTTAGGACCTACATCTAGCCAAAGTACCTATATTAATTTCCTTGAAAAAAATATACTTACGAAACAATCATCGTCCCAAATATATGAATGATGTTCGTTAATTAATAAATTTAAATGGAAATAAATCAAATCTTGAATTAATAGTCAATTATCATGAATTTACTCTTTAACTAAAATTCAGTGTATATCTTATTGCTTAAAGTTATTTATTATAACCATTATCAAATCATCGTTCATATAACAATGTCTTAATTTTATAGATGTTAAATAAATGTATGAAATATCGACTAATCTGTGTATTTTATTATTGATAAAGCATATTTTCTTTACAGAGAATATGGCAATCCTTACTTACAAATAAATAGCGTATCATTTTACATATTTGGAAAAGCAATTATCTTGAAATTTAACAAATGTTCTTACAAAAAAAATCAAAATTGTTAATATATTTTGTTTATTAATATTTTATACATTAAAATACATATTATCTATAATATAAAGTACAATATAATTATTCTCAAATAAAATATGATTTATATTACAACATATCAAAAAAAGGCAACTCCATTAATATTTGATTACTTAAAACATTTTCATTAGTAATTGCACAAACGTCAAAACTAATAATATATATAAAACATATCGTTTACATAAAATCGTTAATGAATAACAAAATAATTATAATAGTAAAAGTGCATATATCTTTTGAACATAGAGAAAGTAAAATCCTATCTGGAAGGCGATACATTTTACAATATATTACAAATGGTAAACAATTATAATAATAAATATAAACTATTCCGTAAGAAAAAAAACTTTATATTCAAATTTCGTATTGAAATGTTATCGTATTTATATAACAAATTGGAGGAGCATAATTTAAGCAGATATATAGAAGGCACAAATGGTTTTTTAGTTGGCTACTTTACGTCCAGCCACCAGTAAGTTTGTGGAACATCTCTTCGTTAAGAGTTTGGTTGGCTTCTTTGGATCTCATAGACAAGAAAATGTAACCGCCAATAAACTCGTGCACGACCTTGCAATCCGCTGACAGACAGCTGAAAATCACATTATCGTCCTCAAATTGTGTCATCATGTGTTTCACCTCCCAATTAACATTCCAAGCCTAAAAATAACATGATTATAGACAGCGCTAATTTTATGAATCAATTAAAACTACCTTTAATGTTTCCATACGCCAAGTCTTCAAATGATCTCCATTGATCTCCATCTTCATGATTCTATTACTTGCAACACCCAAAAGCTCTTCCTTCTTGTGACCCATGAATTTTACCACAAACAAAGTAATTCCAAACTCTGATAAACTTTGCCAGGCCTTTATATAGTTCATTTTTGCATCTATCAGAGATAAGTCTTTTACGTTTGCGTGCGCTTCGTATATTCTCTGAATTAACTAATAAAAAGAAAACAAGCCAATTACAATTTGGAAATTGTACCTTTAATTTGAATAACTTACCTTTCCTCTCAATTTCTTCTGATATCTAGAAGAAACGTAGTCCTCTGGTGTAATGTCTACTGAATGAGGTATATGCGCTGGCTTTTCACCAGGCTTTTGCATCTGTAAAAAGTTACGGATGGTATCAACTTCGGAGTTGTACGAGCTATCTGCCAGCGATCTGCCCTTTGCCGCCAATTTACAAGCGGCCATCCAAGTCGCATATTGTTTCTCCTAAAATAAGACAAAAAGATCATTGTAGTACTAAGTTGATTATATTTTTTAGTACATTTATTTAAGCTAAAACATTGAGTACTAGCATACAATAGTATAACTATGAATTACTTACATTCTCACAGCGGATGTACATTTCGGACATGCCATCGGTACTGGGCACTTCCAATTTAATACCATACTTGCTTTGACTGATGTTAACATCCGGTGTCACTTCGCATCCTTTCAAAATCACAGAGTGAACCGGAGACGAGTGATGTATCATCTCCTCTCTGCTCTTGTATAGATATAAATGAAGATCCCTGTAGGAGAACCAATATTTCTTGTATGCCTTTATTCCAAATCTCTTAGGTCTGCAAAAATAAAACGATTAAATTCAATGTTCTACAAATCTATACATTACACAAATTACTCACTTGAAGAATTTAAGCTCATCATATAATTCTGGCACTTGCGTGATATCGTTGGTATGACTGCTTATATTACTTCCCTCTAGAGTCGTCTGAAGATCAGCCAACGCAGCATCTATGTCATCTTCATTCGGCGAAGAAATACTTCCTTCGTCATAATTGGGTTGAGGTTCGGACGCTTGCATGTTCACTTGAAGCTAATATTAAAGTAATCAAATGGAGAAAATACCTAGGTGATTAATTTGTATTTCAACAAACTATACAAATTGTCATATCCTCTTTTTGAGTATGACTAGTTTTTTGTTTAAAATATAAGCTTGTATTTTCAATTTTAGTCATTACAAAGGTTAAAATTGATAAGCACTTACTTGTAAAGCTGCAAACATCAACATTTCTTCTTCAGTGCAATCAATTTCCTCATTGAGCAATTGCCATCTGGCCTGCTCATATATTTGGTTAATCCTAACACTGTCGTACTTAGGATTTAAGTCATAAAACGAGTAGAATTTAAACTTCAAGCAGAGCGTATCGTACTCTCGGACTCCTTGCTCCATTATCGAAAGAGAAGAGTCTAACCAACTAAAATAATTAATAATGTAATAATACGATAAATATATGACTTTTAGAACTTACGCAACATTCATTCTTGCCTTCTCGACGAGAGTCTTTGGACGTACCAAAGACTTTCTGGTATCCGGACTAAGAGCCGGTGGCGTATGGGCCAAAGAACTGTCAAAGCTTCCGTTCAAACGCTCGGAGCTGATGCTATTCCCAACATTGGGTGAATATCCATTTATCTCATTGCCAAACCCATTTCTCTTCCAAGTTCCATTCTAAAACCACATAAGATATAATATTACCACGATATCCGACTTTTCGTTTAGTACCTGGCCCATTGGACTGCTGACTGGGGTGGATGATTGAAGACCACGTTGCGGAGTGACTGGAGCGCACGAGAAGGATTTGTCCAAGCTCAGTGTACTTCCGACCGGACTGTTGGCGATAAAAGTATTTGTGTCTGATGGTAAATGGTTACCGTTCCTTTGCACTCCGTTGTGATCCTGCTTCTTCTTAGGCATGTCCTTGAAGTTATGTTTCAAGTGGGCTGGTTCCAGAGGTTTACAAAATGACAGTTCCTCCGGATGCCGAATGCCCAGATCCTTGCATAAAGCGATTACTGTTGAAAACGTTTTTATAGAAAAATTGACACGCATATCGAGACACCTCAAGTCTGGTAACTGCACCCTCAGGTTTTTGTGCATTGGTGTAAAGTGAAGAAGCGCATCCGCCTGAACGGCGCATTGATCCAATGTCGATCTCGTATGGTTCAACCAGCAGTTACGACTTGGCCACCACAGACCATGGTCCGACCAATCCATTGAGATTTCTAAAAGTAAAATATGCAAATTGTAAATTTCCCGTAGGTAAGAGAATTGCATCTAAACCAATTGACTGTTAATAAATTAATCAATGATGAACACGTTGTAATTAAACCTAATCGTAGTAAACACCTTGAATGGATAATCCTTCATGACTGATTAATGTCATACCCTGTAATTTCAATTATCCAACATTGTTTTTTAGGATGTTCATTATAATACTGACAAAACGCATTTTCCTCGCATGGTCTTTGCGTAATAGCCTATCTAAACAGTTCGCGCCCACAATTACATCTCACTACCATCCCACTTCGAGTCTGCTCGACCGAATGACTATGGTTAGTGTAGGTCGAAATCGATGGCGTGGGTTCCAAGAGCCCACGCGGATCCCATATTCATTCACACGCAACCAGATCAATCGAATGGCATTAGAATTACACTCCGAATTAATAATGCTGCATTAACTTCATTTAACATTAAATATTTTAAATAATAGCTATTGGAAACCTCTGACAGTATAACATTCCATTGATAAGAAGGAACGCCACATTGAGTCGTAATTAATTAATGCTCGTGAATCAAAATGTCAGAAATAAGAGTTATTGTGGCGATAACAATATATCTATTGAAGAAAACAAATTAGAAATCAATAAAAATCGGAACTAAGATTAGCACGCAATCACATCCAACATTATTCCTATAGTTCGTTATATTAAATTAAAGAATAGAAGGCCAACCAGTTACGATTAAACGCATTAAAAAATCCTGATAAACGAATATAGTATACTAATCACAGCATGTGGTTAAACTAATTGCGGATTTCCGGTGGGCTTCCATCCCATGGTAAACACATTTTTCTTGTGTGACGAATTTTGAAACCTTTCAAGAAAATTATAATCAAATTTTTAAAAAAATTAAATCTAAATGTTAAGTCCTTGGTGACGAGTTTATTTGCGAATTTCAACTTTCTTACGGGCTAAAATAAGAATTATTGATATTTTAAATAACAAAATAATAAGTCTAACACAGCATGCTCGTATATATTTTTTTAAAAACCTTATCATTAAAAAATAATAATAATTACAGCAAAAACTCTGAAGTTATATTAATAAAATGTTCATAAACGAGGAATACCTTTAACCAGCAGCAAAATAAATAAAAGTAGTCTTCAGAATTTCTTCAGTAATTACTAATGAAGAAAAATATAAAAATACCGAAGGAACTATACAAAATCAACATATGTTTTCCTTATATTCTATTTGTATGTCAAGGGGCTCCCAAACTTTTTCAGTTTGCGGTTTAATATATAAAAAGTTTTTCCCAAGTCAAAACATCGGTCTATCTCAAGGCGAATTTTATGTTAACCCTTTCCAGCCCATTTTTTTTTTTAATTTTGGTTTATTCAAATTTTTATAAAATCACTTCTTCAATCATAAAAAGGATCTTACCTGTGGTTACCTGTTTTTTCTCATTATTCAACATTTCCTACTGTTAAAAAACATCTAGCTTCAATTTACATTAGTTGCTTCCAGCAGTTTTAATTGTCGAAAGACAAAATGGAATGAATTTAAAAATTAATGATTCCAAATGGAAAGGGTTAATATATCAGAATTTTACCTTCTACCCTTTTAGAAAAAATAATATCTCATGAAATAAGTATAATCAATTGTAACTTGACTATATTATTTTTTGAGAAAATGTCAAGTGAGATAAATCACATTTTTATTTCTTCCTTTACGGAAAAAAGATCCGTCTCCGCAAAATATGAATTTGTACAAAAATAATTTAAAACTTAACAATTAGGTTATGTTTACTTTTAAAAACTAAAGACTGTTTTCATAAGCAATTGGCTGCGTGAAAAATATATAAATAGCTATTATTTGTGTAAGATCATCGGAAAATATTAAAGCAGAACAAAAAGAAAAAACATTCTCCGCCCTATGAAAATGGGTCACCCTTTCACAAAATGAAACAAGGTCAGCGATGAACATTATATACATTCCCTTCGATGATATTTAGCTATAACATAATGTAGTTCATTCGCGTTCCTGCGATGAAGAAGTTATCTGATGCTGATGAAGTTATCACTCGCACGGACAATTGAGCACATTTAATTGACAGTGTTTAGAAGTAATTGGAACAGCTTAATCTCTGAGAATACCATTTACGAAAACTCATCATCGCCCAATCCTTGACCTGTTTCTTAATGTGAGAACAACCTATTTAAAAGTAGATAATTTATTTTAAATCAACCATCCCATGTTGAAAAGTAAAAAAATTAGATTCTCTATCGTAAAACATCTGTAGAAGAGATTAAATATGGATCAAATGTACGGTTTTGTTTGTCATCGCTTTCGTCGGTGTTTATAGAAAACAAGTTGGACAAGGTGTTGGTGTTCGCGCAAGGTCGTCTTCGTCTAGGTCGCACGAAGTTGAAACTAAAAGGTAAATATACTTTTAGGCCTTGCCCATTTTGTAGCGAAACGACGACAGCTCACGTTTGACACGACACATTTTCATTTGTGTAATGAAAAGTGCACGAAACTGTAATATTACTTATCTAAAAAAAATAAACTGTTTCATATATAACTTATGTTCTAAATACCAATTTTTCTACACACTCTGATATCGAATTGCATTTTTCAACTGTATTTTACGTACGGACAAACGTTAAATCTGAAATAGAATGCACTAGTTATATATTGACATTACTATTTATTCTTGATCTCGAAACTTGCAATTATACTCAGCTATTTTTTTTACTTAATTGTCTTCTTCAATTGACAGTATCTTCTTTCTACGCTTTGAAACTGACACTTATAACAAGTGGCAGTTTTCGAATGAATTTAATTCGCTTTAAGTGCTCAACCATATGGTCACGATATATATTACGATGCATTTCGTTTTTCTCTTATTCCCACTTCTTACTTACATTAATATCGAAATCAGCGGTTAAAAGCATTCGCTTCTCCGCTCAAACTACTTTAATACATTTTATCCATTCATTACATCGAAAGTATAACAAAATATATGGTAATTTATAAACATATCTAGTTTGGCGTTTAAGTTTTGACGATTAAAATATCATCATGGAAAACTAATATTTTGTTTTAGACCTGAAACTTTTAACTTCGAATTATGCGACAGACATATTAATAAATATATATATATATATACTTATATACTATAGCCAGACGCACTTCCGGCGCGTTTGGGGCATATGTTTAAGCATCATTACCATAACAAACCATCAAAACTGTAAAGAATAAAAAATGCACACGAACTAGTGAGTATTTGGTGGCGTTGAATCAAATCACGAATTGAATACGTTATGCCTGGAAACGGATAGTATTATTACTTACAAGTGGAAACGCATTACATTTAACCTCAATCAATTGAATAGCGACAATTACTTTAAGTATTTGTAATCCCAATTACATTTACATGCCTCCAGTTAAATAAAAGGTTACTCCTAAATAAACAATGTTTTATTATCTATATTAGACAAATAAAAAGTTAGTCTACAGTTATGCTATATACATATTTAGCATATATAATATATTGTGCACCTAATAAAAAGAATTGACTAAAAAAAATAATTTCACACTGGCAGAAAGACCCATGGTCAATAGCCCTTTGCAGTAATTCAATTTAGTTTTATATTTGTTTGTTGTGTTATTTTGTTAAGTTTATATTATGTTGTTGCAAATAAATATCACTCATTTCATGTTAATAATTTAAAAAATAAATTGTAAAATATGTGATATAACGATTCACCTTAAAGCGGAAAATTGATAGGAAACCACATCCTCGTGATAATATTTTTCTAGCGGAATTTGTAATTGCATATTTCATAATATTTCACAACAAAGTAATAAGATTGGTAAGTAACGATGCTGAGTCACTCAGAATGTATTGTTACGATAATTTAGAATCTTATTCCTGAATTAATATAATATTTTTAAAGGAAGTCATATGGAATTATAAATACGTATTTATTTTTGTGATTTGCAATATTTCGAACATTTGAAGAAATATTGGCGAAATGGAATTCCGTTCTTCTTTTGTTCATAAAATGGTTGATAACCTTTATTTTTATTTATTACATTATGTAAAAATTTAATGATTCTCAGTAACAAAACAATTAATATTTGCAAGAATTTTGAGCACAGCAGTTATATTAACAATATTATTCATTATTATTTTTTAGTATTACAGAAAAAATAATTAACTTTTTCAACGCGCCAATAGTTATAAATATTTGTTAAAAATGTTTAAAAAATAACAATCAAATATATATTTACTTTGTAGAAATCTTATAGGTTTGGGTGATATGGATATTTAATGAATTTAAATTTGAAACTAACGAAATCCGACACAATAACCAATGAATGCAAGAAATAATATGACTTCTAGTTTCAATCCATTAGCATGCGGTATGTTTAATTAACCTGAATGTTTTCTGATATCGAGCATTGCGAAGAACCGTAGAGGCATAACTCGCTACTTTCTAAGTGGCACTTGTATAAGTAAGTGCCACTTAGAAAGTAGCGAGTTATGCCTCTATATGGTTTACATAGCGATTCATAAGTATTCCGGAGTCTACAAAAGTTTGTATTCGACGATCTCATCAATTGGCACACACTTCGCACAATTATCATCTTCATCATTGACCCTGTAAAATTGATAAATTGCTCTTTAACTGGAGACAATTTTGCTGGATCTGTTCATTCTTCTTTAAAGCTCAGATCGGACGCGCGACGCGCACATACATCCTCTATAATTAGTAATCGATTTATCCCTCGATCTTAAAAACAATTTAGTGCAACGACCTCATTCCAATTGATTACGATTGGTTGGGCACATATTCAATCTGTTTGAAATATATCCTCCTCCAAATTTCGAAATAAATTAATTGTTTACAGATTATCTATTCAAAAATGTTACAAATGATACACCTCTTTACAAATATTCTGGAAAATATATATGATACATGAATTATATATATGCATGCTAATAAAATTCCTATTGATAGTAACAAAAATATATGTGTACACCAGAAATATCAAATTACAGCGCCTTGCTGTTCTTTATTATTTCTTGCCTTAATTTTAACATTCTAAGATAACGAATTTTTCAATGAATTTGATCCATCTTCCGAACAATGGAAGGTAAATAAATGTGATTAGTGAGAAACCTACGATAAATTCCCAATATTTATATTGAAACATTATTTTCATAGACAAATAATATTTAAATGTACAGTTTTCGAAAATCATCCAAACAAATTATATTATAAATAATTTATTAATCGACAAGACTAAGATTTAATATTCGGATTTCGACCAATTCTAAACATAATGGTATAATTAACATTTAATAAATATGATGAAAAACAAAACGCGAATAAAAATGGCCACGAGAGCTCTAATCAATTTCGCAAGAACAGGAATATAAACTAAAGCTAAACATCTAATTACCATTAATGCTAGAGCATGTGACCTAAATGTTTTCAACAAAGTCAAATAAATGCAACTTATTTTTAGCCAGATTGCCCAGTAACCTAGCAGCAGCACATCTTGAAAGCTAATTTCTGCTTAAAACTATATTCACAGAAGTCGAGATAAAAGCAACAATCTCGTATTAGAAATGACTCGTCCGTTCGCAATTCGATCGGTACAGTTTTCGTTTCGGCAGGTTCTCTCATTATGTCTATTATTAAAACCATATGAATGGAATTGAAGCGACGATTTTGGCTCGTGTCTGTGTTGTTTTCCCGTTTGTAAATCATAATAATTGGCACTTCGAAAACCATCTCAACATTTGAAACATTGTCGATAGTAATAATAAAAACACCTACACAATGTTCAAGTGAGCTCGCCGGACAGGAAGATTCGAGGATTCAGGTCACAATTTCCCATTGCTCAATGAATCGTAATTGCATTGCGTTATGCACGATTTGAATTGCGTCTGTTTTTCGTTGCCCGACGATAAACAGAGCTGCCGACCATTTTCCACATTCCTCACGGCCTCCGCTGTTTATAACAATACGAGCCAAAAATAGATACTAGAGATGGCGGGGAAGTATGGGTCCCATTTGAAATACAAACGATTCTAATAAGATGAAGAGTAAAAAAAGCTGTGATCTATAAATACAAAGTTAATATCTATTTTTTGTAACGCCAAACTATCGCATCCTTGCCAATCCTCTAACATGTGGTACCAATTTTGTGAATTTCTACCTTCTCTAATTTATATTATTCGCTTCAATCCGCAGGAATAGAGAATAGCAATCATTATGCTGCAGTCCACATCGCACATGCATAAATGTTTCATAAATTAATTCAGGACACATAAATCGGATTACATAAATTTTAATAGGTAAGCAACTATAATAATAAAAGCAAATAATAATTTTAGTCTTTCTAAAATTATTAAAGTTCTCGTAGTGAAAAGAAACTAATCTTTCGAAATTCAATGAAATTGATTGCATTCAAAACCATCACACTTAAAAGTTATTTTTTTTTTGCGTTAAATAATATATCAAAAGAATGTTGCTTCATACAGGAGGTTTGAAAATACGTATTGAGGATTTAAATTGAAACATAGCTGGGCGAGAGAGAATTCCGATCCACTGCGTAATTTGAATAAAGTTCCAGATTAATTTGCATGTCCATATTTATCGTCAGCTTCTGGAACTACTTCGTATCGGGTATCGAAATATAGGAAATGCAGCGCTTCGAGTGGTTGGTAGGTTAGCCGATACTCGGACATTTTCTAATCCAGGGTCTATTGAACCCAGCTCATGTATTTCCTGTTCGTTTTCATTTTTAATGTCCATAGTATCCACTCATCAATGGAATAACTAATCTTTACGATTGTAGATAATCTTTGAAGAGTTGGCCTACATACTTGCTGCTAGCGATGCAGGTAGAGAATGTACCTAAAATACTATTTCTGGCGTCGACGGCCAAGAGCACGCAGGTCTTAAGATATTATCCAGACGCTAATCGAATCGTTTTACTGAGAATAATCCAATCGTAATATACACATTCCACTATATTGTATGTTATCAATAATGTTCTTACAACAAAGGGGGCATTCATTAATCATATTCACTAAGGAAACAAAAGGTTGTCAATGTGTCATCTGTGTTCCCGATCCAGACTTCCTTTCCAACAAAAATTATGACTCATGGGAAAACTGATATCGATTTTGCATGAAATGCAATACTTACAATTTCGCAGTAGCATAAGATCCATATACATTTATATTTTTGTAATAACAAAACTCCTAGGACTCCTAGGTTAAATGCAATAAATCTGTATTGGTAATTGTAATTGAAAGACAAAAAAGCACAATCAATTTTAGATTCATATTTGAAAATGTGACTTCATGAAATGTGTTTTCTTTGTTTGAAAAAAAGCTTTTCATTTTCTTTAACAATCGTCAATTATATTTGAGCACATAATTGTTTACAATCGATCCCTAAAAATGTCAATCTAGTTCCTGGACTACGAAACAATTAAAATCATAATTAAATAAGTTGCTATGCTAATTTAGATCAATAAACAATTAATTTAATTACGTAATACATATATTATATACATATATTTAGTTTACTCAAGTACTATGATTTCTGTATTCAAAATGCATTTTTTTTTTCAATAGAAAAATTAAGATATAATCTATTAAGCAGGGGTGTCCAAACTTTAGATCATTACAGGTCACCCGTTCTTTTAAATTATAGTCGGCGGTCTACCAACATCGTATGTATTAATTGATCATAAGAAAAGCAGTAAAGTCAGAATTATTTCAATACCTTCCATATTAAAAAGGTAACAAACAAATCTTGGTGTATGATTTGTTCATACGTTTTTTTTTGTAAGTAGTGACCTCATATGAAAAATAAAAACATTCCAGTATAAATACCCGAGACACCCACAGGCAAACGATCCGTGTCGCGTTGCCATTTGTGGTTTTTACTCAGGAGAACACTTATATACATATATTCGAAATGCTAATGCTAGACTTTTCTTTACGCTAGAGCGGGTTAAAATAAAATTCCACGAGATATGGAGGCGCCTTATCAAAGATATTATCAATGCTATCATGAAGCGTAGTTTATTTCCCGCTGTAGCAAAGGCCCTAACATAGAAACTAGGTCATAAATATTGACAGAAATATATTAAATATCAATTTTCCTTATTATTATATTACATTTTAATATTTTATTTTACGTTTAATAGATTACAGAATTGAAAATACCTACGACTTTTACTATTAAAAATATAAATATGGATAAAGTTTTCTAGTAATATAAATAGAAAACAAATTAAATGAACAGTGAATAGATTGCTAACAAAATTGTATCCATCAATGCAATCATTTTCTTCGTTGGAGAAACGTGGGCTACGAACCTCATGACCGAAATTCAGGAACGTGGGCGCTTATTAATAAACACTTGTAATTTCGAGAAGTGAAAAGTACAACAAAACAACGTTATTTTAGCTTTCAAAAATAGGTCAAGACAAGTGCACTAACAAAAAATATTATTGAAGTAACAGAAAAAAAACTGCGAGAAACTAATTTCATGGTATTTGCCAATTGTGTGTTGTTTTATTTTAGTGAGATTCGAATTAATTAAATTTTATTAACATAGGCGGATTATATACCTTATAAATTATAATATATTCTAACAAATGTCCCATTCAACAATTGTATTTATTTGTTTAGACAGATCATAATTTGATGAAACATATAACTATTATTAACATTATTTTTGTAAAATATATCTGGTATAATACTTATTAAAAATATTCTCTTTCAACAATAACAACCTTTAAGAACGCACCATTCTTCTATTACGGCTGATAATAACAATTAGTTAATGTCCAATTAGTAGATAAATAAACACAAATGCTACTAACGGATAATTTCATAGCATAAACACTTTCCTATAATCTGCTGGATAAATTGCGTAAGATAATTGTATGCTAAAATAATATCATTCGTGCTAAATTGCTTTTTAATTATGTAAATAAAACACCATAATTGCAAAATAATCCAAGAAATAAAAAATTACTGAATATAATTATGTTCTAATAATATTTACTTGCCAACTACAAAAATAGATAATAAAAAAAAAATATACACAAACTTTAAATAATTGTATTGACTAATAACGAATAACGATATATGCATAACGAATTGATGAATTATCTAATTCTAGTTATTTCATTGTATTTTAATGTCAAACAAACGTTTCAACATTAAAAATAAAATTTCATTTATCCACGCCTGCCGTTCCCATACGCGTAATCGACGTTTCCGATTCCAATCCTACTCAAATGTAAAAAGGAATGACATCATGGTGTTGTAACGAATGCGAAATTTATCGCTTGTGTAAATTGGCAAGCCCTAAGTCGTCAACATAATACAGCATAAAAGCGTCCGACGTCTCTTTGCCGCTTTTAGAAACATGTCAGATATCATATTATGTAACAAGCTTTTGTCAATAACGATATTTTCAAAACTCAATTTCCATAATTGATTTGTTACCGATAATCGTCTATATCTCGAGGATGATAGCACGCAATTTTATTTTATTTTTGCAAGATTTATTTCCGGATATGCGTCCTCTGGTTCAGAAATTTGGTAAATTATGAAAGGTGTTAATATTGAAGTTTTTGGGTGTATGACACCAAAAATATTATAAGGTATTGTAGGTGATTTAATGATCATCCCACCATGACGATAACATGTGTGCATCTATATGGGTGAATTGAGGAAGGCCAAGGTCGTCGCATTCTTGTATCCAAGTGGTGACAAGAAAGGCAATCGCAACAGGTGCAACAATGAACGGTAAACTGTACAAACAAGTAATTCACTAACCCAAGTCTTCGACGAGCTTCAGCATAACACCGCCTATGTGCGTGTCCCCCTTGACTCGAATCAGCCTCTCCGTCTGCAGATCAGTGACATAAACTTTGAGGTCCCAGGACCCATCGCCGATTATATGCCCGTTCGACAACATCTTTACGCCTTTTCTCTCGAAGTTTCGCTGGTTACAACAATTACTGGTTTCGTTGATTATTCTGCCACTTCGACGACACAATGCATTCTCCGCGACGACCAATCTCCGCAATAAAATTAACAAGTTTCTAGTCAACAACAAAAACACGCGATACAACCTTGTCGTTGTCCACTTCCACCACCTCAAACGTCTAAAACTTTACTGAGCAACTGCAACCAACTGATTCAACTGAACTGATTGTTCTCATAATGTCACAACCAGTCACAACAACAAAACCAATGCTGCCAACTTCGAGATACATGCATAAATATTATATTCCCCTAGAACTAATTCAAAAATATATAACAGGAAAAAATAGGATGAATTCGGAACTATAAAACTTTTCTGTTCCTTCAAATCTTTTATTTGAGAAAAAGTGAAGTTTATTTTCAAATTGCAAATATTCATGAATTTTCTGTGCAAACTTAGTAATATTTCTTCAATTAATTAATTAATAATTTACATTTATGCAATTTAATTAATGAAGTGTCCATGGATCTTATACTAAAATATTAGGTTGACAAAATTTGGACACGTTGATTTTGTATGAGCATAAGCAAGTTATAGTTATATAAATCTGCAAAATATTCTGCTAAAAGATAGATCTACGTGCAACTTCAATTGTAATTTTTGTAATTAAAATATCTATGCAAAAGAAGCATTATAGTTCTTTTTAAATTGAAGCAGGAGAACTATTAAAAATTAATATTTCCTATCAGTTTCTCAAACTTAGCGTCATGGCGAAAATTGAAAAAAAAACTACAATTAACATAAATCGATCTTATGCAAAAAAAGAAACAACTAATATTACCAATGTATTATCTTGTATGTAGTATGAAAATAACAAATTATTTAACTATTTTAGTATGTTTTCCCTTTTATATAACACAATATAAACTATTATGGCATTCTTTTTTTTTTCTCTTAATATCATGTCAGTTCATTGATTAATATTTTCAATAAACACTAAATAATCTTGTATTAAATGCATAGAAAACTTTGAATTATGTTGTTAGTTTACACAACCTTGTACAAATATATTTGATGCTGAAATTTATTTAGTTAACTTATTTCAATTTACTAATTACGAATATAAAAATCAATTCGTCAACTGATTTTAGTTATCTACGTTCAATACTAAAAAACGATCATCATAAAATCGTGATACATATAAATCGTAGAAAAAATATCAGATAAAACAAATAACTGAAAATAGAAAACAAGCTAAAAGTAAATGTTAAATTTATTCCATTTAATAATTTACAGTTCGAGGACGGAAATCCTTTGCACAATTTCCTTTCATATCATTCAAGTAATGTTTTAATTTACAAAATTTCAATTCATTATTACCTAAGACGTTGTGATTTGATTGTTTATTCATTTTTGACTTAGACAAAAAAAATATCACAATGAAAGTCTTCGCCCTTAGCCTAAAGTAATTTTCCCATTTATTTTTTTTTCATTAAAGTCTCGAACGAGTTGTTCAGTGTTGTTTCAATTGTCGAATGATTAAAATGATTGCGTAACCTATGCCGACCTGTAGAATGTGGTAATTGTTTATAAAAATGTATAAAAACGGAGAGACATCCACGAATCGTCCGACAATGTTCGACACTTGCTTCTGTCAGAGCGTCTCATCCTTTGTATCTTTGAAATACGTTTTCATGATTTCGACCTTTTCGTAAGAGATGTTGTACAATGGATTGATGAAACCCTAAAATAGGATGTATAAAATACATGTGTATAATTTAAATGCTATTAAAATGTCTTACCAAATAAAATGGAATGCCAATATAATCAGAATTCGTTTGGGTGAGCGATAAACCACTCAGAGTATAACACGTGTGATATAAGTCTGGCCTTTTACCTGGTTTATCAAGAAGTCCACCAGAATTGTACTGACAACAAACCATAATGTACTCTTGAAGTGCGGTTTGGTTGAACAACATCTTCTTTTCGCCTAAAAAAAAAGATTATATTAATATATCCATTTTTTATCATATCGCAAATTACCTAAAGCGACACCAGCTAAAAGCACTGAACACGCTAACCAAAAGGAATAGCATCCATCAACTAATTTATTTGTTCTTCCCTGAAATCCTCCTTCTAACTTCATTTGTTTGTTGACTAGCCATCTCTAAAAAAATAAGTCAATAATAAACAAACTTGCATTGTATATAATCAATAGTTATTACCAATAAACTATGCAAATCGCATAATTTTGGACGTTTCAAAATTGTAAGAACTGCAATTGCGCAGAATGTATAACCACCGTGAGCTTCTAATCCGGGACAACCGGAGAATCCTCCCTCATACGTTTGGCAACTAACAACCCATTCTGCTGTACCATCAAATAATTTTTCGGAATAAATTCCTGTTAATGTCGCTATTGACAAGGCGCAATACACTCCTCTCACGTCAATTTCCCCATCTAAATGCATACGGAAAGCACCATTTGGAGCCCTCACTGAATATAAAAATTCTTTCAACGTTTTCCTAAAATAAAAAATAAATCAATAACTTCATTATAGAAGGAAATTGAAACAACTACCTATTGATAATATCATAAGCTTCTTGAGTCCCGATAATACAAAGAGCATTAACAGCTGCATATGTAGTTGCTAAATGAGGATATTGACCAGGACCACCACCAAATCCACCACTTGGATGCTGGCATCTAAAAAAAATCATCAATTATTCATCTTCTATTAAACATTAAATAGTCTTTAATTATACTTGCTAAGAAACTGTACTATCATTGATTCTTCTTTATTCAGAGGCCAAGTTTTGCTGATATCTGTAAGTAAGGACATGCTGTGCAATGACCAATAGCACAACCAAGTACGACTTGCATCCAAGCACTAAAATCAAAGATATAATTATGCAACTTAATATGCAAATGCAATTTTCAACTATAAAATTAATTTTAACTCAAACATTTAGCTGATAACAATTCTGTAAAACTTTTTATTTACCGAATAACTGTGTGGCAGTTGTGTTAAACCATCCCTTATGAAATCCATGTGGGCATTTGTAGCAAGCCTTGGCAGATTTCTATTTAATGTGATTTTCATGTGTGCAGACTCGTACATATTCAAAACAGATTTTTCCACATCGATCTAAAAAGAATATATTGATGAAATTATATTTGTGTTTTATTAATAGGAAATTTCTATACACACTTGTTCTTTTGATGAATGTGTTTTGTTATTTTCTTCATCATATTGATTAGCAACTAAATCACGGAACGGCCTCATATTCGCCATCATTTTTGTCTTACAATTTCAGATTTATTTAAATACTAATGGTGAAGAAATTAAGTAAAAACGTCGTGGTTGGCTATGCGCCAAATTCCGAACAAAACTGACGGAAATCGGTATTGTTTGGTACCAACTACCACCATCATATCTGATAGCAGCGCCTCCAATATAACAAAACTATTATAAAACAAATATAGGCTACACACTATGCATGTAATAATCACGAAAATCGGATACGAAATAGTTGTTTCGAACCCCAAAAACCAATAAAAATTGTGTGGCCGATAAACCCGAAAGAGGTAGAAAAAGGACCCAAGAGATTTATATTAATATTTAATTATATAAAAAATTAATAATTAAAATTATTAAAAATTTAAAAAAAAATGGTATTAATTTACATTATTTTGTTCAGTTTGTATTAGGGTTGGAATAAATATTATTATTAAATTATTAATAATAATAAAAAAATATCAAAAATATGTAAATAATTTAATATAATTATGACGATCATTGCTATATAATAACCAGATAAGAGTTTTCACAATGTTTTGATATTTCTTTCAGAACAAACAGGAGAAGGGATGAGGAGTATATTATGTTCAGAAAAAAATGTAAACATTCATAACAGTATACGAGCTTCATTACAATCGTAAGATCTTCTGAGCCGTCGTTGCCGTCATTAATAACATTATTATCAATAATAAAAGGATGGAAACTCTTACGTACTCAGCCAAGCGCGAGGTAATTTTTATAAGCGATAATCTAAAAGAAAAGAGACAAACATACATAGGACCTCTGATTAACAGTAGTATTAACTGCCAATGTTTTCAATCTTGACCTAAACATAATAACAAACTGACCCAAATTGCTGATAAAACTGAAACGCTCCGACGAATATTCATCAGTCATTTAAATTTTCTGTCGCAATGGACATACTAGAAGACAAGATGCCATATCTAGTATGCATTGTATTAAATATTATTGGAACCGTTATTTAATTTGTGTGTGTGTTTTTCTACCCCTTTTTACAGGAAGTCGACGATGAGGTCTACGAGGATCCGGCATGCAATGCCAATAATCCCCAAACTATCGGTTTTGAAGACATCACGTCTGCAGCTTTTAAAATCAAGAACGGCGTAATAACAACCCCTTGCACGGTAAATATAAAAAAATATATTTTAAACCCATATATGATGAATATTTTTCTTTCTATATAGAAATCTCATCTGTCTGATATTACTGGTATGGACATTTACCTGAAACAAGAATTTCTGCAATACACTGGAAGGTATTTACACTTTTTTTAATAAAGATTGAATTAATTAACGTGAATAATTGGTACCGTGTTATAGGAGAGTTTACTGTAGATGTATTTATGATGAATTGTACAATTGACTAATTGCAATGGAAAATTTTACCATTAGTGATCTAGTCATTTAAATGTAGTATCAAATAACTTTACATAACTTTACTGTAAGTAAAGAATTAAAACTATAATTATATATTTATAAATCTGTTATTGCTATCGACAATAATCTTTCTGCAATAATTTTTATTATTATTATTTCGTAAAATTTAAATATAATAATTTACAACGTAATTATAGTATGTAGTCTAAACATTGATATGACTAATAACTGCATTTATAAACTTGATAATAATTTCAAAAAAACATTTGCAATAATAACGCGCACAACTTCATCAACTTCGACGATTTTAATTTGTTTTAAAATAATTTGGCACGTTTGTTATTATTTTATATCAGTGTTCTTCCAGATTTTTATGCTTCACGGCCCACCACATAAATATAATTAAATAGTAAACTTCATTTTCGTTAAAATAATTTTGTTAGGATCATTTTTATTAATTTGCAATTCGTGTTTTTTTACTTTGTTGAATATATGTCAATTTTTAAAGTAATTAAAAAAAAAATATATTTCGAAATTATATTTATGTATTGCGCAAGTTGTTTGTGAAGATATTGCCGAGCGTTATTTTATCTCGCACATTTATCGCACCCCCCCATGTCAGGATCTCCAGTAAATACATATTGCGTTTTGCACGATAGCAGTTGTTGCAACACAAGATTTGGCATATTTGTGCCATTTATAAAACTAATAATTAAAAACAATTTCAACACATTGCGATAACGATATTTGTGTTATTATATATAAGAATTTAATCGATTTCAACGCTTTTAAGTTTCAAGGAAAGGGGTGCTCGTTACGCCCTGCTGATGTTAGCCGAAGAATCTAAACAGAAAGGTGTAATTTCTGCGTCGCTCGGAAACCATGCTCAGGCGTTGAGTTACCATGGTTTTAAACTGGGTATCCCAGTTACCGTAGTCATGCCGGTAGTTGCACCAATTATGAAGATTCAAAAGTGCAAAAAATACAATGCTACGGTTGTTGTCCAAGGCAAAGATATGGGAGAGGCTAAGAAAATCGCCATGCGGATTGCCAAAGAGAAAGGGTTCACTTACATCAATGGGTAATTATAAGATTAAAACGTATTTAATACAAAACATTAAATACGTATCCAATTTATTTAAAGATACGATCATCCTCATATCATGGCCGGACAAGGAACCATCGGCTTGGAGATCTTCGATCAAGTCGAAGACATCGATGCGGTCATTGTGCCAACAGGTGGAGGAGGATTAATTGCTGGAATCGGATTGGCGTTGAAAACACTAAATCCAAATATAAAGATTATTGTAAATCGAAGCGAATAGATTTATTATGTTAAATGACTTATGCGCGCTTTGTTCATAGGGGGTGGAATCTGAGAGGTGCTCGAGTTTTTCGAAAGCCATGGAAGTTGGAAGACCGGTTCACGTCGATATACAAGCCACCTTGGCGGATGGTTTAGCCGTACCAATGGTTGGTTATAATGCTTTCGCAACAGCCAGACCACTCATTGATAAACTGGTAGTTGTCAAAGAAGAATTCATTGCTTTGGCAATCCTTCGGTTAATTGAATTGGAAAAATGCGTGGTAGAAGGAGCTGGAGCGGCCGGTCTGGCAGCTATCCTTGCCGGAGAATTGAATGAGCTAAAAGGAAAAAGGTTATTTATACTCATATTGAAAGCATATAGTTATTTTTATTTCATTATTTGTCTTTTAGAGTTGTTTTAAATTTGTGTGGAGGAAATATAGATACAACAATCCTTGGTAGATGCCTGGAACGTGGATTGGCAGCCGAAGGAAGGTTAATCAAAGTCTCCGTTACTGTCAGCGATAGACCGGGTGGTATTTCGGAATTGTGCAAACTTATAAGTTCCATTGGTGTGTCGATAAAAGATATTTTGCATGAGAGGGCTTGGGTTACCTACGACGTGTTCAGTGTTGAGGTAATTATTAAACAAATAATTCAAAATCTAAAATGTAACAGATTTCAGTACTTTTTTCATTCTACTTTTCTAAGAAAATAATTTTAAATATATTTAATCTTTTTTAGGTAAAAGTAATGTGTGAAACTAGAGATTACGAACATGCTATAAAACTGAAGAAACTTCTAAGCAGTATGTACAAAAAGGTGGAATTTATTGATTTCCCCACAACTGATATAATCAATCCTATGGATTTGAAGCTTAACAATAATCGTGTTTAATTGGAGATTATTTATAATAATTTTATTAAATCAAATATATTTTAACAAAACAAAAGATCCATTATTTAGAGTTCTTATAATTCATGATCATCTAACATAAATTTAAACTTTGATGGTTTTGGCAACTTTTTCCATGAAATTTGCCAACTTGACGTCTCTGCCACTGAGTCCTTGGACGTCGTGTGTAGCCAAAGTCACTTGTACCTTGTTGTAAACATTGAACCATTCTGGATGATGGTCCATTTTATCCGCCAAGAGTGCGATGCGAGTCATGAAACCAAAAGCCTAAAAAAATATACATTATGAAACATAAGAAGTATGAGGACACAAAATTAACGTACTTCATTGAAATTAGTAAACATAAATTCCTTGTAAATAGCATCGCGATTCTCCACCAAATTCCAACCACTTTGTAAAAGGGGCTCCAGGGTTTGTTTACGCTCGTCTGCTGTAAGAAGGGTTGCCTGAAAAAAATCGTAAAATTGATAAGGGCAAATTGATTGAACTACATACAAATATAATTCATATTAAGAGATACGGTACCATTTTTCTGTTGGTCTTCACTGCTGCGTAATCAACGGAACACAAGGTTATAAAACGGTGTGTATGGTGAAAGGAAGAACTCGAAATTCCGGATTTCAAGAACACATCGACCAATCGCGTCGCTAAACTCGCCATAATCAATAATTCTCACCACGCCTTCTGCATTTTTGACATAACCCTTGTTGAGAAATAATTATCATTATTTTCAAAACATTTATTGGTCGCCTGTATCACGAAAATCTGATACGAAAGGTCGTTGGTTCAATTCCGAAATATCAACAAAAATTTGTGGTGGCTTTTAAAACCGAAAGGGGTAGAAATAGGGCCGGAGATTTATATCAATAAATAAATTGATATAAATCTCTTTAAAAAAAAACATTTATAAACTGATTATATATGTATTTTTTTACAATCATTTTATTTAGTCATTACCCGGAATGAATTTCGAGTAACGAACTAGCAACCATCAGCCACCATTGTATCTATTAGCATCTGTTAGCATCTACTAATATCTACTTTTGTAACTCTGGTGTATTGCATCATTTGCCGATGGTAACCCTGTCAAATATTATATACTTTTTTGTTATGTTGGTACTCTTTACCACTCGTTACCAGTAAAAATATAACCTATATTAGTGACATTACTCTCACACATGTTGATGTTTTAAAAATAAATAACTATGGGTGAAAAGAATAATTTCGGTAAGGCACTCCAAGATTTTCAAAAGTATACCAAAGCGGAATCGTTTATCAGGTAAAGTATGAAAATTACAAGTTTAAGCAAAATGTAAACTTTTATATTGTTCTAGTGGGGATAATGCACATAAAGAAGGTATTAAATGCCTTCTGAAGCATGGATATGACTTCACTAAATCTGAAGAAACAAGAAAATTGAAATCAGATGCTTTACCTGAACTAATAGTTAACAATTTTGATTTGGAACAGATATGGCAGCAGCTTGAGTTGCAAAATGACAAATTGTTGCATGTTTCCATAAAGTCTGTGAGTAAATTAGTTGTAGGTAAGAATAAATTGATTTTTAATGAGATCAAAGAAGATGAAACTACGATTGATGAGAAAAATATTGCTGAAGAAAAAGAAGACAGTGAAAATGATGATAGCAGTGAAGATGATGATGATAGACCATTAAATTTGGATCCTGATGAGAGTGACTTATCAATGGATTCTGAAGGTTTAGCAGATGAAGAAGAAACAGTCAAAAAAGTCAAGCCAGGCAAGATATCAGCAGTTGACGATCAGTTCTTTAAGTTATCAGAAATGGAAGCATTTCTGGAGAATGAAGAAAAAAAACTTAATGATGCAGAACCAGATTCAGGAAATGATTCTGAAGAGGAAAACATGGATGATGATGAAGTTGATGATGAATATTTCTATAATGATGATATTGAGAGTAAGGACAAGGAGAGAGGAGAAAAGTTAAATCCAAAGTATAAAGATTTCTTCTGTGAAGATGAGGATTCTGGTAGTAAAAAGAAAGCAAAGAGAAATAAGTTTTTTGAAGAACTTGAAAATGATGGTGTTGAAAATAAGGAAGGTGATGATGATGAAGAAGATGATGATGAACTAATGAAGGAACCAGTGGCTCCTGCAAAATCTGCTTATGAATTAAGAGCAGAAAGGTTAAAGAGGAAGATAGGTTACTTAGAGGAAGCAGCAGTGGGTGAAAAACCTTGGCAATTGAAGGGCGAAATTACAGCAGAATCAAGACCACAAAATTCTTTGTTGGAAGAAGTAGTGGATTTTGATTTATTAACAAGACCTGGTAAGTGATTTTAATTATTTTTTTTATTAAAAATTATTTAATTATAACTGTTACTTCGTTTAGCGCCAATCATTACTGAACAAACTTCTTTACAACTGGAGGATGTAATTAAGCAGAGAATAAAGGATAAAGTTTTCGACAGCGTTGTTAGGAAAGAGAAGCCTGTTGAAACCGCTTTGGAGTACAAAAAGAAGTTAGTATTAAATCAGGAAAAGAGCAAAGAATCATTAGCACAAATATACGAGAATGAATTCATTCAACAACGGGAAGCTCAGAATACCGAGGAAAAAGAGGTTGAGGAAGAGGAGCCGGAATTACACAAAAACATAAGGAAGAAAATGGATACGCTATTCTCAAAATTGGATGCCTTATCCAATTTCTATTTCACACCAAAACCGGCTGTTCCCGAGCTTAAGATTGTCAGCAATGTTCCAGCAATTGAAATGGAGGAAGTTGCACCAGTCGCTACAAGCGATGCAACGCTTTTGGCACCAGAAGAAGTTAAACGGAAATCTAAGGGAGATGCTATTGGTAATCCTCGTTTGTTTAATTGTATTTATTTATATATTCATTTATATACATTTATTCTAGGAAAGAGTGAAAGAACAGAGACGGACAAGAACCGTGAAAGAAGGAATAAGAAGTTGAAACAGAAACATCATGCGATACTCAATGAGAAGAAGGCGGCTGCTGTTAACAAATTAGGTTTAGGTAATAAGTACAGTAAAGAAAAGGCGAAGAAGATGTTGGAGCAAGTCACCAAGCATAATAACGTTGATAAGATGGACGAATCTGTCGGTTCCAAGAGCGTGAAATCTTCCACAGCCTTCTTTACACAATTACAGGAGGAGGTTAAATCGCAGATCAAGAGCAAAGTGAAAGAAAACAAAAGCAAAGATAATGTGTTAGACGCAAAGAAATTTAAGTTATAAATTTTGTATCTATGTTATTAATATAAATATATAATGAACTATTTTTTTTTAAATAACCGTCTAGTCAAATCTAAAGGTTTTAACGGCAATTTCAATACAGAGTATTTCTTATCATTAGTACAACGCACATACAAGGCATATCTTTGGAGTTCCATAAAGCCAATAGGAAAATTAGATGCTATTAACTCCATATCGAGTTTAAAATCGTGTGTAATTAGAAGTAAAATAATTAATACCGAAAACGCTTTAGCTTTGCATTCTTTCGACACAAATCTTTTGGCGAGTTTTTGGATGGTGTATATCTTGATGAGGTATTTGGAAACTTCCCGACTTACTGCACATTTTGGTACTCCTTTAAGAATCTCATGTTGAGTTACTGTAAGTAAAGCATCACAAAACAAATAAATTCCTAAATCCCTTTTCAATTTGAAGTCATCCTTGTCCATGCAGTTTTCACAGATCCTCTTAATTTTTAAAGATAAATATGTATTGGTACTAAAAAAAAATTCTAAACTTCTGTAGTTATAATTTGTTATAAATACTAACATTTCAACCTCTGCACCATCCAGTAAATCATTTATAGTAGGTAACAATTCTTCTTGAATGTCCTCTGGAATAAGTTTGCTTAGATTGTAAACATCTTCAACTTTCTCTGCATTTTCATTCACTTCTGGAAGATAAGATAATAGAGAGGAATGATCATATTCCCATTGTTTTTCTGAAAGATCCTCATCTTTCAATATATTATTCATAGTTTCATTGACATCATCATCTTTTCTCCACATCTTAGCATATGTTGTGCTCTGTTTCACTTCTCTCTTTGAACCAAATGTCTCTGCAAACATAATCATGTCCTGTTTATTATCATTTTTAATAAACACTTTGTTTGCATTGTCCTTCTTCAGTTTTGGTTTCATTAAAACATTATCAATTGCAAACAGTTTCATCTAAAAAAAAAGATACTTAATAATTAAATATAATTCCATACACATATAATATTAATACTTACAGAATTTGAATTCTTCTTCTTAATTACCATGAAATCACGGTAATACTCTTCTGACCTATTGGTTTCTCCATTATACTCCAATCCATCAGCAGTAAATATTGGTACAAACTTTTCATCTTTTGTTCTGTATAATTGACAATTACCTGACTCTCCATCGAGGTTTAATTTCCCATTAGTAAAAGTCACTGAAACAAAATATATTAAGCCATACAATATTAAGTTTATTCTTCCTTTTATTACAATTTATTGGTCTTGGAGCTTTCTCATTGTACACCACACTTTTTATTTTGCACTTCATATTAGCAAATAATAACAAATACACGAGGACGATTTAAAAATTGTAATATACAATTTTAGGTTATGACGTTGTGTTAGAAATATGGTCAGGGTGTCGAGTCAAAGCACAGTAATAAGGACTTTATATAGTAAGTAGTATAGTCGGCAGAGCGCGCTATGGATGTGTTAAGCTCGGTATGCGGGCGGGCCACATCTGTCTACATCTGTCCACCTCCAATGTACAAACAATTTCGGTCAGCAATTGAATTAAGGAGTGGGATGTACCCAGATTAACCTTTCTTTTATCATAACCAATAACTCAATAATATTAGTCGTTCTGTGATTTGTGTTTTGGCCTATTGCTATTTTATTTTAGTCGTTCTGACGGCAAATATTAGGCGAAAAATATGAAAAAACCTTGTAAATTTGTCCCATATTATTCAATTATATATATAAATACTTGTTTTATAAGATTTTATTAATTAAATTTTAATCATATTTATTACATATATTGTTGTAATAAAACATAGCTTTTTATAGTACAAATAAAATAACTTTTAAAATGCTATAGAATTGATTAGGTTTTCAAATTTCAAAGTTCTTTAACTCTTTGTTAATAGTGGCAACTTCTTTGGCACGAGATATCTTCTTATAATCAGCATGGTTTTGCTGAACATCTTGGAAATGTTGCAGCAAAACATCATATTTAATACCCTTCATACGGGCTGGTATTGCTTTAATTTCAGTTTGGCTTCTAAAAAAATTAATGAACATATATAATATATACAGTTTTTGCTATAAAACAACTTACTTATTATCACAGTGTAAATGGAGACTAGGAATACAACTGAGACGTGTATGCAATTTATGAAAAATCTCGGTTTGAGGTAAGAGCATCAATAGTCCATATAGTGCCCTCACCAAGTTGCGATCACAAGGAACCTCCAATAGATCTAGTCGCATATCTGTTAAAATTTGAAAAGTTAATATAATTATATTTCAATTAAATGCAAAATACTTTGAAATTAAAACTGGAATATCAAACAACTAATGGTAATAAGGTTTACACACATGCAAAAATTGGTGATTCTATGAGCTGGACCAATTTATCGACTTCAGTAAGGAACTCCACAGTGACCTCAAGATTGGCACTTTATCTTAATTTAAGGATTATTAATAATAAAAGCTATTTCTAATAAATAAATACATGTAAAGGATACAATAATTTGATCAGGTCACAAACATGGTTGTAGCATTGTGATAATAGACATAGAGCAACCGTGGCTACGGGATTATGACACCAGGTTTCGTATAAACAACAGAACAGATCACAACTTTCCTAAAAATACGAGAGATATCAAGAAAGACTAGGATATATTGATATTAACTATACCTTAGTTTTCAACTCTTTCAGTTGAGTCCTTAATTCAAAAAGTTCCGACGATGTTAGCAGAATCATATTTAAGTGCTCCACCATTAAACTGGCAAATTTCAAATTTGTTTCTTTTAAAAGGATCTTCGCCAAGGTTCGATAAATTTCTTCGGCATTCAATAAGACGCACAGTTGTCTAAAACAGTAAAAATGACGTAAATACATTTTATGTATTGCCTTGTTTTATATGATATTGTTAGTAAAATATTCACCTTATAATAAAGGATCCTCTTTCATCCAACAAACTTTTATTTGAATTAAATGAATTGAGAAGGCTAATCACAAACTTGGAATAATACGGATTCATCTCCGCGTTTTTGGCACATTCTGAAAACACAGCCTCATAAATTATTGAATAGACAAATGCTTACTGTTACCATTGGGAGATGAAATTACTTCTGCAATAACTACTAAGCACTGTTGAACAACCTCGTCAGCAGGATCTGAGAAAGTGCGTAACAGCGCAGGAAACAGCACGTCGATATAATCGTACATCTAAAAAGCAAACAATTTATAAATTGTTGCAAATCATGTGAATACAAATACCTGCTTAGGAATTCTTGTATAAAGGTGATGGATCCATTTCAGAACAGCAACTTTCGTCTGCACAGAATTATGTAGCAAGTTCTGCGTTAAAACGTTCAGAATCGATTCTATACTGAGAGAATGCTTTCCGTTGTTTTCTTCATCTATTATAGAAGCAAATATTATATAGTTCTAACACAAGCATTATTTAATTGTTACCTTTCGACGTATCTCCAACTTTGCATTCCTTTGATTCGACTAATTTTAATAATGCAAAATTGACCACTGTTGCAGTTTCTTTAATATCTATGACTGAAGTTAAGGAAAACACAATTAGAAAAATGATAAAAAATCCTAGAGGTTATGAATTAAAGATAATAAAAGAAGGATACTTCTCCGTGCATCCGTGTCGTAAGCCAAACAAGGTAAAACAGCGGTAAAAATTCCAGACATATAGGGTAACATCAGAGGACCTGACAGTTGAACAAACTCTTTAATCCACGTTATCGCTGTCAACTGAAACGATATACAGCAATAAAAACAGTATATTGCGATATAGATCTGTTTACTTGGACCATGTCATCGTTCCTTTCTTGTGCGTGAGCTATTAAAATGTTGATCATGTTACTGAAATCAACTCTTGATGGATCGTTTTTGATACTCCTCAAAAATTCACCCAGAACAATATCACACATCTTCTTAACTTCCATCATGGGATCATCCAACATAAGAAACAATCCATCCAAAAGTTCAGGTAAATATAAAATTAAATCTATATCTGGTACAGCATCTAATACTGATATCCATGAGATAACAAATTGTCTGGCAAATGAGCTTTTTGTAAATAGCCTCTCCCTGAGCAAAGGTATGAAACCATCCAAATCAAAGGATGTGCTTTCAGTAACAATGTCCTTTAACAACCTATCAAGCAATTCAGAGGCATTTTTTACATTCTGCTCTGGATCTGTGGCCACCTTACCCAGGGCACTGAATATATCAGCAAAATGTGTCAAAACAGATCCCCTTGCAACTTTAACAACATTATATAAGCTTTCCAATGCATAATACCTGACTCTTAAGTCAGCATCAGAAAAACATGCTAAAATTGGTTTAATTAACTCTACTGTGTATTGACTTGTATCCTAAAATATTAATATTCATCAATGATAGTTATTTCTAAAGCCAAAACATACTTTTCCCAAAGCAATAGCAACAGCAGCTAAACCAATTAAGCCACCTTTTCTTGCATGAGCGTTTTGTGATGTGGCAAAATCTTGTCCAAGCACTTTCAACAACCTGTTTATTTGCGTCGTGTTGTTCACTGTAGCAAATTCTTTGACCATCCTATAAATCAAATGAATTATAAATTTTGAAAATAAAGTGCTTTGCTAAACCTTACTTTTCTATTTCGAAGGCTGCAGTTTTGCGTTTATCGTATAATTTATCATGCAACGCACGAACACACGCCGCACTCAGTGGAGCGTAATCCTTTTCCGACATTATTTATTGGAAATGAATGTTTGTTACAAAATAAATGTATAACTTTTCCACGATATTTTGACAACTGTTTGACACCTCCCAGTAAAACTTTATCTTTACATTGACGTTTATTGATATTTAAAAGACCTACTGTCTCTATAACAGATTGAACTACTTTTTAAAATATTTTATTTTGGATTTATAATAACCGCTGATAATAACAATTCAAGTTCTAGACATGAAATTTGTACTATGAACGCATAATATAAATTACATATAAATCTAAACATTTACTTGGCCTGATCCACAAATATAATATATAGTTCTTCGAAACTGTAGTTAAATAATTATTAAAAATACTTTAAATTAGGGCCGAAAAACCTATGGTCAATAGCCCTTTGCAGAAGTTTAATTTAATTTTTTATTTTTGTTATTATATTATTATACCGAGTTTATATTTCGGTCATATATTGTTGCAATATATATTATTTTTAATTTAAATTGAATGTAAATTAAAGTAATTTATGTTCATTTAGCAGTAGTCACATTAAACCCGGAAGTCATGCGTCATTTGCTGTGTATTAGTAAACATGGCGAATCGTTTTTGGCGTCCACCTTTTTTTGACGTCAATGTATAATCTTTTTCGTTGCAAAAATTTAAAAAATAAATTTACCAGAAGCCCTCAACTAGCGTTAAAATGTAAGTATTGCAGTTGTGCAGTGTTATTAGAAACACGGAACACTTTAAGCATTGAAATTAGCATGAACAATAATTTGGCATTCTTCAATAATGGGTCATGCCGTGAATTGATGCTCAAATTTATCAACATATGTATTATCTGCAAAAGAAAAGCACCTCTATTTTAAAGTTTAATTGAGTTTTATAATGTATTTTTTCATTTTATAGGTTATAATACATATCTTAGGTTATACTCTGGATTGTTTGAATGGCTATGGATTGGAAGTGGGATCAAGTTCGCAAGTAGAGAAGAGGTGACATGCAGTCTGCTGATTCAAGCCGATATATCAATTCGGTATCAGACCTTTATGGGGACGACGAAATCGAATTCCTATTAGATGATATTAGAGAATTGGAGCCAATATGTAGCAGACCAGATGATAATCAGGTATGCACCACCTTTCTATAATATTTTTTTTATAGCAACAAGTAGATTATTGCTTTTATGGATTATTTTGTTATTTTTTGCTTGAGTTATTGTGATATTTATGCCTTAAGTTTGAAATAAACAGAATTTTATCAATTTATTATTTTGCTATTATTTCTTTTATTTAAAACCCATTTACCTTTATTATTTTTTATACAATTTATCAGGTATTATAGTGCACGAAGTATTTATATATATATATATTAATTTCTATATTATTTATGGTAGGTATGTATAACACTGAATATTCATTAAATTTATTAAACTATAAATTTTAAGGGAGGAGATGGCATGAGTTGCGTGCTTCAGGATTTTGAAATAGCTGGAAGTGGAACAGGAGAACCTGCAGGTGGTGGTGCAGAGTCGCCAGTGGGCACTGTTCATTCATGGGACTCACATTCTCACTACCGACGAAAATCCGCCTCACCTGATTTATCACTCTACTCAGGTGTGATTGTCTACTGCGATCATACACACTTAAAAACCCCAACTGGACTAATAAGACTACTATTAGTGGTAATATCAATATAATAATTTTGAAAATACAATATTTACTTAAAACAAAATGTTTATTTTTCAGATTACATCGGTAGCGTGTTTAGCATGTCTTTGTACATCGGGAACTGTGAAAGTGGGATTATTTATGCTGCCATTAGTCAGTCGAATTAGATTGCTGATGTTCATCACATTACTCAGTATTTTAGTTACATGTTCATTGTTGTTCCTCGATATTTCACATATGATATATTTATTCCCATTTCCATGGGGGAAATTGGTGAGCGCTACTCTTAAATGCGATCCTTGTTTGCCTTACTGATTTTACTTTTAATTTCCAGAATGCATATTTTTATCTCAGCCTTAGTGCGTTGTTCCTTATTGCCTCAAGTCTAATATTTCACATGATATTTTTATCAGAGGCCTTCTTGTGGGTTCCAAAGTGGACACATCAACAACTATTAATTACTGGGGTAAGTTAAAACATTGAGAATAAATCTTATTTTAATTTACCCTACATACGTTAATTTTTTTACAAATATCCGTACGAATTTAAAATATCAATCGACTGTGTGTAGTATAATTCAAAACTGGCTTTAGGAAAAAGTAAATAATATAGTCTGTCTGAAAAATAGTTTAAATTAGGGCCGAAAGACCTATGGTCAATAGTCATACTACTGTGTATATTATTTAAAACTCGTTTTAAGAAAAAGTAAATAATATAGTCTGTCTGAAATAATTGAAAAAATGTATTAACAAAACCATATGTTGCTATATGAGTACTTTGTTGGAATCTCACCCCACTCAAAATTTTTAAAAATCCAAAAAGTGGTTAGGATTAATGAATCTTTTTTAATTATTGTTGACGTTTTCCTTCTTTCAGTGTCTTGGGTATGCATGTTGTGTAGAATCACTAGTATTAACGATAATCCAAAAGTGTTCAGAAGATCACTACCAGCCAGTGGCGGAGGACCCGAGTATGATCCTTCAGGAGCGCCACACATCGCATCCGAACTCGCCCGACCATAATCAGACGACACACAATTACAAGCCAATAATCAATTATCAAATCCCGGCTGTCGCTTCCACTTCCCGACAAGATCCATACAACTATCTGGACGATGTCCAACCGTGCTCCTCGAAGATGGCGCAGGATGCATGATATACTATAGACGATTAACGTGAATATTTTCCCGGAAAATCGTCGATCTACTTTTATGTTTTATGGATTTTTCGGTTATCTCTCATTTGTTTAACGATGAGGCCATCATATTGTCCATCACCACAAAGACCCAATATAGACCATCGGAAAGATATATATATATACACTTGCACTAATCTGAAACGACAAACATGTTAGTACCTTGTTTTCTTCTTAGTTTATTTTGAATGATGTGATAGTGTAAAGTTTATAAAAAAATCACCTTATTGTGTACAGATTTTACACAAGTAATGTATAAAATATATAAATATTATATATTTAAAATAAAGACCGATTGTAGTATACGTAAATAAAACACAAGACAAGTTAAAATTGATATAAGTACTAATGTATAAAGAAAAATGAAATATCAACGTGGAAAAGAAACATTAATGAACAAATATTTTTTAAAAACAATTTATTTTTTTGTGTTAGAAAATACTATTAATTTAAATGAATTGTTGCGTAATTATATGTCTGTGTCATTGTCAGTATGATTTCTCCTAATTTTTTATGGAAAATTCTTATGAGTAGTTTGTATTAAAAGAGAGGAGTATCTGTTGTAATGGAAAAAAGTGTTCATTAACTAAAACTAATCTAGGTTAATCTGAATTGAAGAAAATACATAGCACAAACATTAATTATTATAATAATCACCCGACCAATGCGTCGGTCTTCTACTATTTTTTATATTTTTGGAATGGAACATTGAGGCGATAAGGAGAAACCAGTATTATTTCACTACTGCCATTCGACTAACGTTTTCATTTCGTCTTCACTAGTTATGAAAGAAACAAAATATTGATATTAAAATGAAGAGACAAAATAAAGAAAACATTTTTATTTTCATAGACAATCAGGATACCTGTAAAGTGACTATATATATATATATTAAAAATATATGAAAAATATTTACGAATTTACCTGTAATTAACTATTTTTTCCGATTAGATAAAGTATTTAAACAAAATGGTGAAACACTTACAAACTAACTTAATTAAATAAAAAACAACTTGTGTTCTGATAATAGTGTGTTTTATATTATTAATATAATTGAATAAAAACAAATCGAAGATTATAATTTTATCTAAAATCAACGTTCAATACTATATTGTTATCAATTTCCCCGATTGCAAGCGATCATTATTCGTATATCGGTGTGAAATGGCAGCTAGAAAATCGCTTGCATTCCTACAATCTGTGATCGCTGTTACTAAAACTCACGATGAAGTGGTCAAGGAGAAATTTAAGCCTGGAAAGTACGTCTTCACCGTTGCCGCCAATATCAAAATCGCGGCTGTGGTAGGTATTCAACAGGATTATTTTCTTTCTTGTTTCATAAACAAATATTGTCTAGATAATCCTTCTCGCTTGTTTGGCGATAACTATTAGCTCGGATTATTGCGTGGAAAATGTAATTTATCGATATCTCATTGGAATTGTATCAGGGTTGACTTTAATTATAGTATTCTGCCTGTACGTAATCTTTAGTTCTGGTGTGGTCGTTCAAAGGACAACCACTTGGGTGAAAATAGTGAGTGAATCAATATTAACTGCCATACAACGATTTGTGAAACTCTTATTTCAGGATATAATCACCAATTTGATTTTAGCTCTGTTGACAATAATTTCATGTTCTCTTTGTATGAACATGTGCTTGATAAATTCTACAATTCGCAAGGTTCCAGGTGTAAGTTACTAACCACTAGAGTCGAATTTATTTTGTATTTATTCACATTTTAGCCTCTCGGTCTTACAGGTGGAGCTCTTTTGATAAGTAGTTGCGCTGCTCTGTTTCTGTTATACAGGTATAGAGAAGACGAGGTGGTGGAATCCCTACCAAGACCTATGCAACCTCGAAAGTCAATCTTTGCGTAGATACATCTTGCAGTATTCTTGATTATATTAGGTGAACTACAATCTCATAGTATATTCAATTAGTGTAAAATGAAATTGCTAGCATAATAGAAATTGAAGACACATAATAACGTAAAATTATTTTGTATTATGTAACAATTATATTGCCAAATATTAGGATAAAGAAATAAATTATTATAAATTAAAATAAAACAATTACCATTTATTTAAATATTGAAGCATTGACTGTGGTAATTATTATTATAATTATCACTGCTCAAGTTTGAAATTTTATTTCAAAGAAGTAGCAGGAAATATTGAATGTATATATTTCAAAGCTAATTGATTGTTACTACATATTGTTCTGTTTTTTTTTACATGGACTAATTGATAACTGAAAATTGATAATATGTCTTATCAAAAAAAATAGAACATTGATAAATTATTTTGAGGAAAAGTTATATAAATGAACTAAATGAATAAATGTTTACTATAAATACAAAATTACATCTTGATTGCAGTTTTTCCGTTCTGGAAATAATGATTGGTGTCGGCAATAAAAAATAAATAAATAATAATGTTGAGAATACAATATTCAGTTAAAACAAAATCTTTATTTTTCAGATTACATCGGTAGCGTATTTAGCATGTCTTTGTATATCGGGAACTGTGAAAGTGGGATTATTTATGTTGCCATTAGTCAGTCGAATTAGATTGATGATGTACATCACATTCCTGAGTATTTTAGTTACATGTTTATTGTTGTTCCTCGATATTTCACATATGATATATTTATTCCCATTTCCATGGGGAAATTGGTGAGCGTTACTCTTAAATGCGATTCTTGCTTGAAAAAGTAAATAATATAGTCTGTCTGAAATAATTGAAGTATGTATCAACAGAATCATATGTTCCTATATGAGTACTTTGATCGAATCTCATCCCACTCAAAATTTAAAAAAATCCAAAAAGTGGTAAGGAATTAATGAATCTTTTTTAATTATTGTTGACGTTTTCCTTCTTTCAGTGTCTTGGGTATGCATGTTGTGTAGAATCACTAGTATTAACGATAATCCAAAAGTGTTCACAAGATCACTACCAGCCAGTGGCGGAGGACCCGAATATGATCCTTCAGGAGCGCCACACGTCGCATCTGAACTCGCCCAACCATAATCAGACGACACACAATTACAAGCCAATAATCAATTATCGCATAGTGATTGGTGCCGGCAATAATAAATAAAAAGACGCTTGGAAGAAACGATTATTTATGTATAAAAAGTAATTTTGCATGCTAATATTTTTAAAAATTTTATTTTGCTCAATTAATATTTAGTTTATTTTAAAACTGTACTATACTGAATCCACATCGCAAAATAGATATAAAAGGAATCACAAACAACAACAAAAATATATGCGGGAATTCTTTATGTTGTATGGTAATATGTAAATAATTTTTTGATTTGTTTAGAACCAGCTCCACTCTCCCCACAATCAAAAATCACAAAACACTCACTCACATACCAAACCATGTAAAACTTTTTATGTAAACTCACACTCACCCGCAAATTAACCCAAATGTAACGCTTCCTTTTTTTCTTTTTTTTTATTAAATTGTAACTATCGTAATGCCGAAAGAGCTAAGGCTTACAGGGACATGCACCTTTAAATAATTAACATTGTAATATATCTCAATCCAAATAAATAAACTGAAATACTACTACCCGGCCTCTTATTCCCTGTCTTCTCTTCTGCTTCTTTTGTGTCTTGATACTATGTAAGGTTCTCTGTATTATCTCGTGAGTATTCTCTGTGTTGGCTCTCGGACTCATTATACTGTAAGAACCCTTTGTATCCTATGTATCGTACTGTAGTGTAACTAGCCATGATTTAATAAACATTATACTACGAGCATCTCCAAATATTTAATAATGAATGTTTTAATTCAATCCAAGTTTTATAATTTTTTCCTCTAACTAATATTTCTGCATTCTCTCTTAAACTTGAACAAATACTTAAAATAAGCTTCTATGTTTAAAATTGATTTGTCTCAAAATAATCTTTCACAATCTTCTATAAATGTATCTATCGTTTCAAAATCTCCATTATATTGATGACTTAAAATTTTCTCTAATGCAAGTTTTTGCAAGAAAAATTTAATATTTTGAGTTTCCATTTTAATTGAATTTAGTTTTTATCCGGACCAAAAAAAAATTGATTTTATGATTTCTCGTAATTTCTATAGAAAACTGTTTTTATCTAAAAAAAAATCGGCCATTTGCACAACTAAAACAATCAGAAATAAAAATTCCACTTCCGTCCGCCTGCGATTTCGTGCGTGATAGCTCCAGGAATTGGTTTACCCTCTGCTGTGAATGGCTTTGAAGGAACCGAGAACTTGGCTTGAATCGTACTATGGTTTCGTAGATGCTGTTGTAACGAGTCCGTTGTCCAGTCTTCAGGAATTGATTGACTCTCGTCGGCTCGAATGGCTTCAATCCGATACTCGGTTACGTTAGGTTTGTATACCGCTGCCAACAATAATTAATGTCATGTCCCATATATAATGTGGTCACTAAGGTGGAAAGATGTATAAAGAATCTGGCCAGTTACTTGAAAAATAAAAACTTATCAATGGAGAAACCAAGGTTTTTTTCACGAAGTTCTCCAGTCTACATCCCGCCGATCATACTGGAGGGACGAGAGCTGGAATGGGTTGGAGAAATTAGATTCCTGGGAGTGTGGCTGGATAGTAATTATTTTGGAATAGACAGCTGGAGTTAAATTTTGAGTGAAAATTGTAATAATTTTGATAAAAAGTTAAATATATACTAAGTAAATATATTTAAAAAAGGACTAGTGACTGCTGATATGGAAATAATATTTTTAGAAAAATATAATTTTAATTCAAATATAAAGTGAAATTAAAAGAATGGCAATAGTAACACATACGAGGGCTATTGACAGTAGTCTTTCCGTAAATTATTATCAGCATTAATGGAATTTAATTTATTGTTTGCTTAATGAATAGCGTTTTGGAATGGAAAAAGTCAATTGACTTTTAAGAATAAACGCAAACGTGATTATGAAACTGTCGTGTCCCGGGATTAAGAAATCTCTGGACACTGTGGATTATCTCGTAGTTATGTCGGTGTGGAGTCTTAGAGGGGTTTATGAATATTAAATGCAATGTTCTTAATTAGTCAACTATACAATAGTTGATCTTATGGATTATTAACTAAAAGTTATATTTTTCTCTTAAGTTAATAATTAGGAAGTGAGACCAGTTCAGTTTGCTCCCAACTTCTATCTTCTCAGTTCGGCCCCCTAACTAAGACTATCTTAAAATAGGTTTCAAATGTTTATTTCATAAATATAGTACATGTTCCATTTTATATATTTGTATGAAGAGTCACAATGTTTAAGCCTTAGCTCTTTCAGCATGCTGTTAATGGGTTAGAAGTTTAGTAATAACAAAAAAAATATGTACACATTATAGTTCAAATATTTTTATTGATATGTGATATTGGTTACATATTTAGTTATAGATAAATAGTCATACTGCTTAAACCTTAGCTCTTTCAGCATGCAGTTTATGAGTTACAGATTTTAATAAAAAAAATACATTGTTAGGATTAGATGCACATTTGTAGAGCAAGTTAGAACATTATTTAAAGCAAGAACACAATTTAAGATTTACACATTTTAGAGAAACACAATTTAAAGATATACATATTTTAGAGGACATCAGATAAAAATTACACATTTGGAAGACAGATACATAGACATTTACATTTAGAAATAAAAAGACATTACAGAAAGAATGGATTTATGTTTTGAATCAGATCATTGAAGATGGGAACATCAGATTCCAGCCGTCGGCAGGTGTGGGTATGTCGACACAGTAGATATTGAAGAGTGTCGGGCAGAGAATTGCGCCTTGAGGAACCCCGGCATCGATGTCGGTGAAGCCATATTGATGTTCCGCTATGATGTGATGTTCGGTACAGTGATTGAAGATCCTTCTGTGTATTAATTTTTCAGCAGTTTTTCCAAGACCGGCAGTAAGGAGATGGGTCGGTATGATTCCGGTGAAGTAAGATCTTTTCCTAGTTTAGGGATCATGAGGATATTGGCACACTTCCAGTCACCAGGAAAGTATCCAATTCGAAGGCGGGCGTTGTAGATAGAGAGCAACCATTGGAGTGCAGGACCTGGAAGTTTCCTAATTATCCTCCATGCAATGCCGTCATTTCCTGGAGCGAAGTTTTTGTTGCAACACGACACAACCTCAGTCAATTCGTCGAAAGTAATGCACTCAGAATCCGGCATCTGATGAAGGCCACGGGGACGGAAATCCATTAGTTCATCAACCTCTCTCCTGAATTCCTCATCGAAGAGGGAATCGTCAAGTTGGGTTGAAGCTCGGAAGACTTTGTCAAATATCTCTGATTGTAGTCGGATCAGCTTTAAGTGGGTAGATGCAAGCAGGGCCCATGTCGGTGAGAAATCTTGCTCCAAAAGGGTTTTATTGCCCTATGCAGATGTTACAAATACACATAGTACTTATTAACATATGCAGTGGAACCTCGCTTAATGAGTTTAATCCGTTCCAAAATTTCCGGATTTTTACTCGTATAGTGAAATACTGGTATAGTGAAACAAGTTTTTCTATATAAACTAATGTAAATTTCGATAATGCGTTCCATGCCGGAGAAAAGAATGTATAACTTGGTCTCGATTTTTCATAATTTTGCTTTTCATATCTATGATTATGTTTTTTCTTTGGCTTTTTATTCGGAGACATACAAATGTTATTAAATTTTGCACAAAAAAAACACAAATAACATGTCTGAACACAAGTTTGGAAATTTTATAATCACAAACAACACTAAGATGCAACTACAATGACCACTAACACTAGAAACTGTTCGTACAGTCCGCTTCGTATCATTTTTTGTGGATGAAACATTTGTGACATATTTCTAAATTTAAGTAACGTGGTATAGCTTTATGTGGCCTAGGCAAATTTAAATTTGGAGTACTAAGACAAATTTGAATCAACAAGTTACATATTCTCTATGAGTAACAAAATAAGATGGTAAAAAATCAAGTAGTATATCAATATCATATGCAATAATAAATACTATTCACAGACGTCATAATATTGTCATGGCCGACCAATTTATTGTCATATATTGTATAACTAATATGTATATTTGTTAGGGCCATGACTTCCGTCTTAATTATTACAAATCATATTTAACGTATCCATCAAATATACAAACGGATACTTGTACGTGATTATTTAGAACAGTGATTCCCAAAGTGGTCTATATCGACCCCCAGGGGTCTATGACAGCCTACAAGGGGTCTACGTAAGCGAAAAAAAAATTTGGGGGTCCATGAAATGAAAATGGCGGTCCCCGATAGTGGATCTCAACATACACTGATAGTACCTATTTACTTACATTACTATCTTATAATATAATTATGTATAAAAGTACCTATGAAGTAAAATAACGATTATATATGTTTATAAAATTGTGTAAGTTGTAGGCATTCGCTTTGTGGTCGCAATACGTTTTGAACTTGTAAAAACCTGGAATATAGCGAAAAAAAATTAATTTCCTTTCCATCACTTTCCATCGTCATACCTAGTGGAAATGGGGTTCAGCGCTGATACCAATCTCCTAACAAAAAAAAGAAACAGACTGGACATCATTAGCCGAGTAGATTTAAGATTAAACCTTAAAAAAATGATTCCAAATGTTGATAATTTATTAAAAGCATCAGGTTCATCCTTTTCACTAAAAACATTTACTTATTGCTTAGTTTATTTTATGTTACGTATATTTTATATAACAGATACAAAATTTTATTTTGAGTAGTTTTAATTTAAATTAAATTAATAAATGTATAAAACTTAACATGTGCTTTTACTTTAAGTTTTTAACACTAAACTTCACTACAGTTAGAAATTTACTAAAAATCAATATCAGGTTTTGGGGGGTATACCCAAAACCGAAAAACATGGCAAGGAGTCTACGACACAAACAAGTTTGGGAGCCTCTGATTTAGAATAACTTGTGGAATATTCCGAAGGATGGTTACAGATTAAATCGCATAGTTTATTTTATCACCACTCAACAGCCGTCTTCAGCCCCTAAATATTTGGGCAGGATCATAAAACTTAGATAAAGAAACGATTGTATTTTCCACAAGGTCAAACCCTTTTCTCCTACGCAGCCCCATTTTGAAATGAACACATTTTTGTATTATATAATTTAGTCCAATTTTTAGTCTTAGCTAAGGGGTCGCACTGAGAGGAAGTCTTAGTCAGAGGATCGAATAGAGAGGAAGTCTTACTTGGAAGAGTCCAAGGAAGAGCACTTACTTCATAAATAGTAACTTAAGAGGAGAATGTAACTAGTACTTAGTTAATAATTCCTGAGATCAACTATTGTATAGTTCAGCGGTTGCCAAAGTGGTGGTCCGCGGACCACTAGTGGTCCGCGAGAAAATTTCGCTGGTCCGCAGAAAAATGTGGAATATACTTACGTTATGTTTTAAGATGCATTAAAACATGATTCAATTCATAACAATACGTGACAAGTTATAAAAACTTCTGTCGTATACTGTACACACTGGCCATTTTTTTTATAAATATATTTAACACTTAAAAAATCCTATTAGTGGTCCGCGGGATTTAAATTATGAATTAACTGGTCCGTGAGTTCAAAAAGTTTGGCAACCCCTGGTATAGTTGACTCAATAAAACTCCGATGTATACAATAAAGTTAATTAAGAATATTGCATTTAATATTCATAAACCCCTACCCCTCTAAGACTCCGCAACGACGAAACCAGACGAAACTACGAGATAATCCACGGTGTCCAAGGATTTCTTAACTCTGGGACACGACAATATAATAGCAAACAATACGCTAACTTATATGAAAACTTTAGTTCTCTCGAAAATTTGTTCGAAATATTTGTTCAAATTACTATTTTTTTTTGTGAATTCAAATTTTCAACGTATGTTTGTTACTTCCAAACATCATAACCTATATTGTAAGTGTTGCAACATATTAAATACAAATGCACGACATAATTATATATAAAACATAATTATACATAATTATATCTAAAGCATTTTGTTTAATTTACATATTACTTTGCATAATAATCTTATTTTATATATAATGACTACATTTAGCAAAACATATAATATATTAAAAAAATGTTATTGCTAATTAGTGTTTTATGTATTTATGATTAACTGCTAACTGGTATTGATTTGGCAATCAAATAAGAGTAAACATATCGAACATTTTGTTATTCGAATTCGCGTGATTTCCCCCAATACGATCGAGTGATGTTTGCAATGAGCTCGGTCGAAAATATTTATATTGTGTGTACAGAGGAACGCGTCGGAATAAATCGCATGATTGCATAAGATTAAAACTGAAAATTAACAAATAGCCAGATTGTAAAATTACGATAATTCGTACTAAGTTCAAAGTATCACGTTTAGTTCATAGTTGGTCGCCTAACCTACAATGAGCTGCAGATAAAATCGTCCAAAAAATACACACACATACATATACAAACAGCCAACGTAGAACACAGGAAAAAGCACCATTCATCAACAAAGCCAAATTCCATGTGTTGTGAGTTTTAAGGTGCAAAGAGCTTGTCTCAATGTATAAACAACGATTGTTGCTGAAAAATTTCGTGCCAGGTGAGCGTACTACATCCTACATATAGATACACGCAAATGAAACGACAGAGCTAATCAATCCAATTCATTGTTGACATTGACCTTTTCCACCTCTTCTCGCATATTTTTTTTGTCAAATTTGTCGTAATATCATTTAACCTAAAAGCCGTTTCGATTTGTGCAGGAGCAAATGGACTTCTATCAGCTCAATTCGGCAGCAATGCGCCAAATTCACTCAAAATCGAGAATGCCTTGGTTGTGTCAAAACTATCACATTTTGATTTTGAGAAGCACAGATACAAAGACTTGAATGAGCATGAGTTGGAGCACAAGATCAGGAACAGGGGTACTGACTATGATAAGCTCAAATACTACCACAATCTGCACAAGAACTTTGAGAATAATGTTGTGGATACATTGAAAAATATGGGTATTGCAGTGAAAGTTGTCAATAGGTAATTATAGTGACAAGCAATACTTTAAACTAATATATTAATTGATTGTAGGTTCAATTACTCAGAAGACTCCATACATTGGGCTGACATTATTGTGCCAACTGGTGGTGATGGGACATTCTTACTAGCAGCAAGCAAGATTCGTGACAATAAGAAATTAGTTGTAGGATTTAATTCAGATCCAAATAGGTCTGAGGGTCATTTGTGCTTACCAAAAAAATATTCTACTAACATTAGGGAAGCTATAGAGAAACTGCAGTGTGTAAGTAACTATTGCTATATAGATTAATGAACATACTTTATTTGGGCGAAATTTTGCAGGGTGATTTTAAATGGTTATTGAGAAGTCGAATACGCACTACATTGATAGGTCAAAGGGGCACCAAAGTTATGCCCAAAAACTTGCATGAGTGTAATGACAAAGATGATATGAAATTCATACCTACTAAATTGGAAGAGTGTGGGAGGGTTTTACCATATCTTGCACTTAATGAGGTAACAAGTTTTAAAACTTGTATAAGAAAAATATTATAAAGTTTTAATTTTTTTTAAGGTTTTTATTGGAGAATCATTGTCAGCAAGAGTCTCACATTTGTCCATGTGGCTGAATGGTTTTGATAGGGAGACCAATATGAAATGCTCAGGGGTGTGTATCTGTACTGGGACTGGATCAACTTCTTGGAATCTTAGTATTAATAGGTTACCCATTCAAAGTGTTGCTGAGCTTCTGAGACTACTAGACATTGATGCAACTGAAGGAAAAGACAGTTTGGCCACTGTTTTAGCAAGGATGTACAATGATAATCTAACATTTGCTGCAGGTTACTTTTTTTCAAATATATTCTCTTTAATCTCCAATCTATAATTACTTTTTTACAGATGATAAAAAGATGTGCTACACAATAAGAGATTTAATATCGGCAGGTGTTTGGCCTCAACCGAAGGGCATTAAATCCAGGGGTTTCGCATCCAAAGTAAAAGTAAAATCCAATTGCTTTGATGCATGTCTTGTCATCGATGGTGGTGTTAGCTTCGAATTTAACGATGGCACAATTGCCATACTCGAAATAAACCCTGATGACGCTTTGAGAACTGTTACATTCAGTGATTAATTATCCCATTTTATGTTTATTTGACTGCAAGACCAATTTTATATAAATATTTTGTATACATATATTTTATCAATTTACTGTTAATGTATCATTGTTATGTGATAATTGTAATTTTTATTTTATAAATAAATTAGTTTTAAGATTCATTAAATATTAATTGATATTATTGGAAGGTTAATGAGTATTTATGGAATGTGAAGCGGTTAACTGGGTTAACCATATACAAAAACATAACCTCATTTAAACCAAATAATTTGAAGACACCTTAATTGTATTTATTTATAAAGAAAATGTCTAAGTGGTGTAAAATGTTTTGTAATTCAAAAGAATTGCAACTGCTTGGTACATTGAATGGAGGTCAAAGTTTTAGGTAATGTATTTTTTGTATTACACTGTGCATTTTTAAATTATTTTTTTATTAGATGGAAGAAAATCGTTAAAGATGATTGTGAACTATGGTATGGTGTGTTTGCTTCAAAAGTTTGGATTTTGCAGCAATCCCATGATCATATCCTCTATCAAGTTCACGAAAGGATTCCAAGTGATCCTAAAGTTAATGAAAGTTTATTGAAAGATTACTTCCAATTAGATTTGAATTTAGAAGAGCATTATGGTCAATGGTCAAAGGCTGATGCCAATTTCCAAAAGGCTTCTGAACAATTCTATGGCATTAGAATATTAAAACAGAATCCTGTTGAAAATATTTTCAGCTTCATTTGCTCCTCATGTAATAATATTTCTAGGTAAATATTTATGGTTAATTCATTATGCAAAGTAATTTGTTTTTCTTTAGAATAACATCAATGGTGGAAAAACTGGCTGAATTTTATGGAGAAATCATCTGCGAAATTGAAGACAAAAAGTGGTATTCTTTCGCGACCATTGAACATTTGGCAGGTGACAATGTTGAAGGAAAATTGAGGGAGTTGGGTTTTGGTTACAGAGCAAAGTATATATCGAATTCAGCTAAAACTATATTAAATAACGGAGGAATCAAATGGGTGGAGAATTTGAAGAGTTTGGAATATGAAGATGCGAAGAGACAACTGATGACGCTTCAGGGAATCGGGGCTAAAGTAAAGTTACAAAACGAGCGCATATTTATATTTTATTCACCAATTGTAATATATAAATTTTCACAAGGTAGCAGACTGCATTTGTTTAATGTCTTTGGGACATTTACAAGCAATTCCAGTGGATACCCATGTTTACCAAATAGCTGTAAGAGATTACATGCCACAATTGAAGCAGCAGAAGGCCCTAACTGATAAGATGTATAAACAAATTGGAGAACATTTCAGAAATTTATATGGTCCTCTGGCCGGTTGGGCACATACAGTAAATAAATTAGAATGTATTAAAAAAAACTATAATTGTCGATACTGATCCCGCATTTATTTGCAGGTATTATTTTGCGCTGATCTAAAGAAGTTCAAACCAAATACAAGGGTGGATGAAGGCAAAATTACCAAAGCCACGAAAAAGAAAACCAGTAAAAAATAGTCTTTGCATATAAATCAATAAAAATAAAGCAAATGTAGTCCTATATTCCATATTATTTGCCTACCTTAAATAACAAAAATAAAGAGTTGATTTTTTTTTTAAATTCAAGGATTTTATTATGTAACTTACTGCAGATTAAATGGTGGATTATGGATATTGTTAGTTTCACTTTAACCTAATCTAACTGCATTCCATCATCATCATCATCCTTCTTATCATCTTTCTTTCCTTTATCTTTGTTGTCCTTATCGGAGGTACCCTTGGCACTTGATCCGCTATCCTTGCACTTTTCCAAAGCCTTGACAAACTCCTGCATGTTGCCTTGGTTAGCAGCAGCGACGGCCTCGGGATTTGCGACGAGCTGCGAAACAACCGGTCCTAACTGGCCGGATTCAAGAGCGCTGGAGAACTGGGAAACGGCCTAAAAAAAATGCATCTTATTAAATTTGTAAATTTAAAATTGATCCGCTTCAATACCTGTTGGAATTGCGGTGATTGCAGAGTGGAGCGAAGTTGTTCTTGGGTGTTCCCATCGATTGCAGGTAGATGGTTCTGAAGTTGCTCCAGTGCCTCAGCGTTGCTCATAATGGGACTCAACGCATCGCTGTTTAAAGCTGTAGCTAAATCAACTACAGATATTAATAGGAACATTGTATTTCTGTGACACCCATGATTATAACTTACCAGACTGATCTGGTTGAGTGGTACCAGCTGGTGAAATACCTTGCAGATAATTTTGCAAATCAGCCAATTGGATTGGAGTCACATCTGAGTTACTTCCTTTGGGTGCTGTCACCTTGGGGGCACTAGGAGTGACGGCCGGAATCGGAGCATTCTGAGGGGTATTGAAATTACCAGAATTTGTACTAGTTGTCGTCGGTGTTTTTGGCTCTGTGTGATGTGTAATTACTGGTGGATTTGTTGTAGAAGACGTACGAGCGCTGCCTCCAGTTGATGGACGACTGCAAAATAATAATTTGATCTCATATCTTTGCTAGTCAAAAAAAAGAGTATAATAATACCTAATAGTTCCTAAAAGGCTAGAAAGTCCACCCATTTGGCCTCCACCCAATAACTGCATCAATTGAGATTGAGACATGTTATTCAAGAGTGATTGCAAGTCTTGATCTGCTGCATTATTTGTTTGCACAGATCCAGCAGGATTATTCAAATATTCATTAATACGCTTGCAGTTATCCTCATCTTTATCAGCGCGCGGTTCCTAAAATTCATATTTTTTATTATTAACTAACTAATTTCTGATGTTATTATATATAACCTGCAACCAAAAGAAGAATCTACGGTTGGATGACTTGAACTTCAAAAGGTACACTCTTCCGGTGGTGCATTGAGGCACTTTGACATATTCACAATCATCAGGGAAAATTATCAAATCATCTTCAACAACTCCTAAATAAATTTAAAAATATTAGATATTCTACATTTTGGAAGAAGTAAGTACCTGTTGTGCGGTCTTGCCAGCAAAAATGCATCAAAGAATCATCACTCTGGTAAACATACAGAAGACCCTTTCTTTTATCTGGATAGACAGTATGACCTAAATAAAATTCATATAAGTTTGTTATTCTTCTATATAATATTTACAATAAATACCCTTCAAATTCATCTTGCCAGCTCTCATCTCAACAAGATGCTTGTTTCCACCAGTGGACCCTGGTCCTGTGGCAGAACTGCCAAACAAAGCTCCTCTGTTCGACATGCTGTGGAAGTATAGAAACAGAAATAATGTATCTGTAGATTGAACAAATTTTATTATGACTTTTGGAAAATTATACAAGTCATTGTACAGGAATATTAAGGTTATGTAGGTTCATTTGTATGGCATAGCAAAAAATCGATATCTATCATCTAATGTAGCTTACATTACAGAATTGATGTGGTGTATTTAGATAGAAGAAGGAATTGCAACAATAAAGATTCTATTGATAAAATTATAAAATGCAAAGCAAATTTTACTGTCAGATGAATTGTAGAAAACATACGCATGCGTACGTGGCGTGGCGTTAACTTTTCCGTTCAACGTTGTTGCCTTTTTAATGTTAAAATTAATTTTTAGTATTTTCATGTTAAAAATACAAATAAATTAAGAAAATATTATTAATACAAATATTTGTTGTAATTAGGTGCAATTGGCGATGATTAGAAAACTAGGGTCTTGTTAAAATTTTGTTCAGCACAATAAATATTAATTTGGCAGCAATAACCAGTGTTGTCAAATTGATGAGAGTGTATGTAGTAAATTAGCTTATTGGCTTATTTGTAAGTTGAAATCTGGGGTTGAAGTAGTTTGATATGTCTATTATAATGAGAATAGAGTATGGAGTTGTTTCAGAGTAAAAGCTGGATCATGGCTTTTGGTCATAGATTATGACCTGTTGTGGGTCCGAAAATGATGTTGGCAACGTGCAACTGTTACGTCATAATCAGCATTTAACAATAAGATGAAGTTGGGGGGCAAGTACGATTGTGTGCCCGCAGGAAGGCGACCAGCTGATTGAGTTGACAGTAAAATGTCCGACCTAAATTTGCGTGGATCGGTTATGAATGTGGCCAAAGTCGGTGCTTCTACGTGGGCTCTATTCTGAGAGAGATCATTTCGGCATCCGGACGGAATGATGGAAACGAAAACATGGTCAGAAAAATTGCAGCAAACTGTGCAAACAACTGTTACAAATATGGACAATGGCAACAACCTGCTAGATAATACAAATACTCAACCAGATAACAAAAACAACAATGAAGACACATGCAATAGAAACCTGCGACTGCAGCAGGACGTTTTATCTGCAATCAGGTTAATAATTGATTCATTCTATTACTCCACTTTCACACCATACCAATACCAACTCTCCCCCATTTTTATTTTTTTCAAAATCCAATGGAGGTCCCAGTTTCCGTCAAAATTGCATGGCGGTACACCACTGCGATGATTATCGCAATTGCAGATCATAATTATCCCCAATAACTAATCCTAAAATCAACCTTCATGTCGCAATTTGTACAAATTAATTTACATCAGCTATTCCTACTGGATCCAATTGAACTTGCAACTATAATCAAGACGATTTTCGAAAAATTCTCATCCCAGATGTTAATTGCAGTTGTGAAATTGCTAAATACATAAATTTAAACAATAAATATAACCATTAAATAAAACAATTTATGCATTCACAAATTTGAACAATCCATTATTGATTGAGTGGAGATACATAAAATGTATATTTTTTTATTAAATATTTTATAAATTAACTGTGATAAATGGAAGATATATTTTTTCAATTTATTATTAAACTAGTAAATTGATTTGATTATACACTTAGTGTAATTGTTTTTTTCAGTACATTACCAAGTACTTTATTATTCAATGTCTAAAAATAATAATAATTGTTTTCAATATATATTATATTGTTTTATTGTAATAATTTCACAGTTAAAAAATGTAGCAAACCCAATCTATAAATGTTTTATGTTCATTTTTCACTCTAAATACTTTATCTCCTTCACTAATCTATCTAATCTATGTTAAATTAGTATACACTCTTCTTCATTATGTAATATCATATTTTGATCAATAGATTTAGTATTTTATTATATATTTAATTATTTTTATGTTTTGTAGTGATAAAGGAAGACAGAAGGTACAAAGTATTGTAGAACAAGTATTTAAATTGAAACCAATTGAGAAACTGTTGTTGTACTTGAAACTGCCGACTGAGAGTACTGACAATGTGGACCCGTTGAGGCAATCTATAAATCCGTTAGGTAGCAGGTCCGAAATCCATGCCACGATAACGTGGATTGAAACACACTTGGTCGAAGACCCGGATCTGTCCTTGCAGAAGAAGGGAGTCTACGATGACTATCAGTATGTCTCATAACTAGCTATACTTGCCGGATTCGGAGTATTACTATTTTTTGATGTTGCAGGACGTATTGCACGCGAAATGGCATTAAACCTCTCTCGACTGCAGATTTCGGTAAAGTAATGAAACAGGTGTACCCGAATGTTAGGCCAAGGAGACTAGGCACTAGGGGCCAATCAAAATATTGTTATGCAGGATTGAGAAGCAGGACCCACTTACCGCCGCCGCTATTACCTGATCTAGGAGATAAGCCATTGGTATTTTACCGTTTCCTGGCCCGAATTGATATCATTCGGTTTTCTATAGATTTATGTTTTTTCTAGTCCAGTGAAAGCCATTGTTCGCAATCGGATTTGATAACTGCCGCCTGGATAATTATTAAGGAATGGGCTGACGATAATTTCAAGGGTAAATTCAAGTCATTGACTTCGTTGGCATATCATCTCGTCAAGGAGTATTCGATAGGAAGTGGTTCGGAGGCTGCGAATTTAGTATTGAATGCAAATAATAAAGGTATATAGACTTTGACTTATTTTTTGTGTGATTACTTATATTATTTTTTTCAGATGAAAGTACATCGTATGGGTATAGCAGGCATCGAGAAACGACTTTGCAATTGCAAAGAAAATTGCAGCAAAAAAATGAAGGAGCGAAAGATTCTAAACGTAAACAGGTTTAGTTAAATTTTTAAAATGTAAAAAGACTTTTGTTTTACGGTGTCGTTTCGTTTGATTGTTTGTAGCTGCAATCTCCAAGATCGGACCAAAAGTCTCGTCCGAAGAAGATGAAATCTATGTCGGCATCGACGAGCAGCAGTACCTCGCCAGTGGCAGCTAGTGACAGTAAAAGTAGTCCCCATTCTCAGGAACACTCGCCTGTCTGTGATAGCAATAATCTACAAACGTTACCTGACTTCAATTGTTTCCAACGTCCTCCAAACACTGTCGAAGTGCTGCGCAAGGATGCCATTGGCGCACAAGAGATGCTTGGGGAATTTCAAATGGGTAAGTCCTCACTGTAATCTGATAATGTTTCATCGGTACGTACGTGTTTTCAGTGTGCGAAGAAACTTGTTCTTTTTTTGTAACTTTGATGCGAGCGGTCATGGAGTGTGTTTTTTCTTTTGTTGCATTAGGAAAGGTACCAATACCGCGTATTGCGAATCCGAAACAATCTCCGGTGTTATCCCCGAAACGAGCCAAAAATAATAATACACAGTACAAAGCTATCCAGCCGAAACCAGAATGTGATAGAGTATCGTACAACCCGACGCAAACACTCATTGCTAAGGACCTTAGATCTCAACAACAACATCAACAGCAGCATCATCATCAGCAGCAGCAAGATACAATCAAGCGACAACGACTGAAGAAAAAGGACTCGCCGATTGTAATCACGACTGAAGAATCCAACTCGCTGTTTTCTCGTGAGCGCTTGGACAGCGTGAGTCAAGTGCCCAAAGACGCTTTTGATGCGATCCTCGAAACTTCAAACAGCCAGGGACCGGAGGAAGAGATTGTCCAATATTTTAACAACAACAATGATGATAACGAGAAGAAAATCTCTGAACTCAGGCAGCTGCTAGTGACAAATTCGGAACGTCAAAATAATGGTCAAATCGATAATAAGAATATGTCGAGCATGAGCATTGGATCCAATCTGCTCGCCAAGCCTAATATGAAACCTATGCACAAAACCGTGTTGCCTAGTTTAAATGTAAAGAGAAGAGTTAGTTTTGATAATCATATACAAGAGGAAACGGTACCGGCCAGTCCAAATACCCACAGGCAAAATATAAATTTCATACCCATATCCCCGCACAGTCCGAACGGTAGACAGTCCAGCACAAACGCGAGCCCATTTGTTAGTCCAAGAAATACACCTGTGCCAAGACTTCGAGGCAACTCGAGCAACCCCTACGCGAACAGCACCACAAAGAAACCGAAGAAGCTAATCTCCAAGAAGCCGGATCTAGAAGTATGCATCACAGACGTCGAGGATAAAACGGCTAATTTCAAGAGCCAGTTCATAAACTTAGCAATGTCTGCACCGCCCAGTCCGAAAATACCTTACCACCAATTCAAGAGGAACCAGAACTTTGTTCCGCAAATATCCAATACTATGAACTTCGGCGACAGTCTCTCTCCAGAGGTGTCGCAGCTCACCAAAAGCATCCCACTCAACGAAGACACTTCCTACAGATCCCAATCCGTTCCGATCCAGAACCAATACCATCAGTACAGTCCGTTCAACTTCGCCCAGAATGAGCAGAGCCAGCTCTCCAACGATTTCAATGACATCGAGCTCAATGATAACGTCAATAAGATCATTGAAAACATCGAGTACTATCCGAACGACTTTGAGGACAACATCTCTTGCGACTTCGCCAATCAAGCGTCGGCAGTGGCGGTAGTATCGTCTGCGACGAGCGGCCCGCCGCGAAGCATGGTCCGCTCTCAGAGCATTGACGTGGAGAGCAACATCGACAGCAGCTTGAAGTTCCCCTCACGCTCTGTTCCCAGTACTCCGGTCCCTCACAGCAATCATTACGATCAAGACTTCTTCGGAAAGCAGTTCGGCCAGGGCTCGAAATTGTCATCCACCCAAAACACGTTGACATTCAATAGGGGCCAAGATTACTTACTCAACGGACAGCCGATCAAGAGTCCGCATTCGGAAACAAAAAACCTAACGTACGTTTACCAGGATAACGAGTTGATAGACAATAAGAACTTTACGTTCGAGAGCCATCTGCCCGAGGGTACTTTTGGTGCTAAACAGAATATAAATATGCTGAATGAGGACTTTTTCGATGTGCCTCAATAAATCAACGCAATAACTATTAATTCAATTAATAACTAAAATACAATAACAATTTTATTATCTTCTCATGTGATTAATCAATTTGATTGATTTAAATAGTTTGAATTCAAGGTGACGAATTACTTTTTCTCATTAAAATTTAAACACAAAATAAGTAAAAGCAAAAAAAAAAGAAATTATTTCGTGCAATCAATATATTTTAGGAACGGATTTGAAAATGGAATTTTGAATAAACGATTTTGTGAAATTATATATATATATATGTGTATAAAAAGAAAAATAATTGAAAAGAAATAATATATCTGTGATAAAGAAAAAAATAAACAAAATCAGATCAGGAAAATGAATTTATTTTAATAAACGAAATAAAGTTTGTTTTCTTTTTAATTATTATTATTGTTAAAAGATTGGTACATTTTATTAACTATTGGTTTATACAAAAAAAAATGTTAAGTATGGGAAAAGATTTTTCCGAAACGAATAGGAATCCTCGATTTTAAAAGTTGGAGATGACGAAAAAGAGATTATGAAGTAAATAATTTAGCTTGGATCAAAACAGGAATACTGTGAATTAGCAGTATTTGTCAGGAATATTTCGTGTTATCGAGCGTCTGAGAAAGAGTGAGCGCGCATAAATGAGATATATAGAAGAGCGAGAGAGAGAAAGTGTAAAAATGGCACTAAAATTGTACATATATTTTTTTATATAACTTAGATGACGTGGTGTTAAGCGGAGACGTAATAATTCTTAGAATTATATACAAATACAAAATGTCTTTGTACCTATTAATTGAGTTGACTCGGAAAAAGAAGTTGCGCTTCACTTCCGATCAATATCATTTTTATATATACATACATATATAAATTTTAATTAATTTCTGTTCTCTGTTTAATTATACTATAAATTATATTTGTTAGTTTTACTTCTTAATTTTGTGATTTTTGATCATCATATGCTAATTGTGCTGTGCTTATTTTAAGGTCCAAAACTTAGTCCACGAAATGAAAATTCAATTAAGTAATAGTACACTTTACTAGATGTGTATGCATGCAGAATAAATAGGGAACAAAGAGAAAGGTAAAGGAGAAAGAAAATGAAACAAGACACATCTCTAAGCAATTTCAAGCAGACATTGAAAACATATGATTATTATTTCGTTGTATATAAACAATACATTTAAAAAATCGATTTATGATCACTTTCGTATCTACAAATCGCAGTGTAGAATAACGCAGAAAATGTTCGAAAAATTAACAATCAGATAATATTTTGTTATTCTTTTCTTACTTTGAGTAATTGCATGTCTAGACACATAATGGAAAATTAGCTAAGAAAACAATAATGCTGTAAATTATTTTATTGTAGTGCTTCTTACTTATTTTGATATAATAAAAGCAATATTCAATTCAGAAAAATATGAAGTAAAAATCATACGATTCATTGCAAATTTTGATATAAAATCTTTAACATTATATTTTGTAATTTTTTAATTTAAAAATTAATTGTTTTTCGAACATTTTTTACGATTAAAACGTGCATCGATTGCAAGAATTTGGTCCAAAAGTTGAAACATATCATATTCGTTTCGAGAATTTCTTTCTCTTTCTTCTACATTCTCTTTTTTTCTTCTGTCCATTGAAAATGGAACACTTAACTGAATGTCTATTATGCTTTTGTGGTTAGCATCGAGTTACGGCGAAAATTCATGCTCGTAAGTTTGGATCTTATTGTGATTAAACAGATTTGATATAAATGATTTTTGTAGTGATACACAAACTGTAATAAGCTGTACTTGGAACACTTACAGCTAGCACTGAATGTCTTAGATTTATATATACATAAAATATATATAAAAAAAACAAAATATATATATATATTATATACATAAATAATTACAAAAAATAAACATAAAAATATACGGTAATAATAATATTAATAACGATTATATACGCCTATTTCTGTGCCTAGCTTTTTTACTGTATCATTTAGCGAGGATAAATGAATTGAATGAACAAGGACTGATCTGTTAGAAGAGATCGATATTCTTATATTAGTCTTTGCGTGTTTAAAACACATCTAATGCTTCTTCCCATGTTTTGTTTTATATTTTGTTTTACTTCTGACACCTGTCCATTGTCACATTCTGACAATGATTATGTCATTTGAACATTTTTATAATTATTATTGAAATTGTACATAATATTAGATAGGTAGGATCTTATTTAACAAATTTGCATCACACGAATCATGACTCCTTTTCGATTCCATTTCTCATCACCCCTTTAACTGCCATCGAACATACTAAAATCGATCCATATACGTTTAACTTCCCTCATTCCCTCCATCCATATATTACTTACTGATCTCGCTATATTAGTAATAAATCAAGAATACTTTAATGAAGCTGATACGTTTCGTAACTAACCCAAGGCTAACGTAATCAATCGCTGTGTAAAGAAAGGGCAGAAATGAAACAGTCAAATTAAGACGGTTTTCGTTTTTGCTCTTATCTCTCGATTAAAGAAATTGTCGCCTTCCAATTATAAATTAAAATGTCGTTGGGGTGTTTTTTGTTTAGTTAAAATCAAGTACGCAGCATGTAGAAATTTTTGTTTTTACCTTTTTTCTCAAGTAAAAAAATATATTTTTTTTATTTTTATGTATGTAATAATAAAAAAAAAAGTCTGATGTAATAATATAAAAGTAATTGTAATGATGATGTAAACATGAAAATCAATGATGATGATGATAATATGCTCACATGTAGCTTATTTTTATTTTTGTATCTCGTCTTAATTCTTATTATTTTTTCAATAAATTACTTTTGGGAAGTAATTAATTTAATATGATCGCTTCAGAGACTTTCAGTCGTTCGAGTAAGTGCACTGATTGTCGGGTAAGGGAGAAAAAAAAATTAAACAAAACAATAAAATATTATAATCTGTTAAATGCATATATATATATATATTATTGCGTTAGTTTTATTAACGTGCGTTCTTAATTCATCAATTTGTAGACTGTAAAGTACAAATTTTAATAAAAAAATTAATGAAATGTATTTGAAAATTAAAATAATAATAAAAAAAGAGTAATGAAATGAATATCATTCTGGTCTTTTTTTAAATTGTTTCTTTAGAGTAGTTATGTGGATGTTTTTTTGGTGTATGCTATTATATCAATCTGTAAAATATATATTCGATACATTGTTAAAAAAAAGTTGTCGTTTTATTTGAAGAACCTAATACTCCTAATTATAGAATAAGAGTTAAACTATTTAATGCTTGATAATATGGTCAAATATGAGTAAATAGTTTTTAAGACCTGAAACGAAATTACTATAAACATATGTTATTTTTACGTAAATTTGTTACCGTAATAAACGAGGAATGATCGAATACTCCGAACTTTCCCACGGGTACAGTCATTGGGAGTAAGCATCGTATCGTAATGAGCATCAAATCCTTTTGAGTCTCACAATCCCCATCGAAAGGCATACTTTCATAAATAGAATATAGTAAATCGGTGCTCTGGAAATATAACAAAATTATATAATAGTTATTTTTTAGTAAACAGATTGTTTAATTAGCAAAACCGAGTCTATAAGTTGTTGTCCGAAAATACAATTCATTCCGAGCGCCACGAACCAACCACTCAAGTGGATTATGGGCACGAACTTAACTTTCTAAAACTTCGAGTATTAAGAGAAAATTTTGAAAACAAAAATTCAGTGTTTAAAAACCTGCAATATCTGATAAATGATCAAACTCATTGTGACCGGCGTATTAACAACGTGTATGAAAAACATGATGGTGTAAAGTCCATGAAATGTTTCCCACAATCTAATGAAAACAAAAAAGGTTATATTTAATTAATTGGATATCTTTCGGAAGGTATACTCAACTCAATTATTTTGTAATGATAGAGTACGCATTTTCTGATTCTAGATTTGCGTTCGCATCGAGTTTCTATCGTAGGAATCGTCTTTAGCAAAACAATCAAATGGTCAACTCTATTCCTCAGGAATGAGCACATTCCTAACACAGAATATGATACGTAGAAAGCTGTTAAGACGGTAGCAAAGCAGGTGTAACATTGAAAAGTCAAGAACATTTTCCTGTATGGAGAGGTGAAAATATCGAAAGGTAGGTAAACGGCGATGAGAAAACCGCAAATATCAATGGATCCGTCCTCACATGTCTCAAGGAATAGCAACGTCCAAAGATAAGCACACGAAGCGAGAAACCAGACGAGAAAAATCTTTGAAACGTAGTTCAACTTGGCGTCGAGTTTCTCGATGTCCTTGGGTTTATCGTAAACCGTGAAATTTCCCATTTCCTGGCGAAGCTCTTTCAGCTCGTCGAATTTCCCCATGTACGCGGCGAAGACGCACATCACGCTCAATACTGAGATGATGATGGACAGATCATCGGCGATTTCCAAATAATCAATAGTTTCCTTAGCTAATTGACGTTATTAATCACGATCCAATAATGCATTCATACTTACACATTACGTGAACTAAATGCCAGATTGATCCAACAACATTGGTGTTGTAGCAGATTATGATGAAGATGAATCTCAACATGAAGAAGACATTTTTAGAGCCGCCCTTGGGCCAAAAACCGTAAAGGCGAAGAATAGTTTTGCATGTTCTCAGGAGCTCGATTTGCTTCGCATCGGTTTCCACCGCTTTTAACTTAAAGCAATCAATCATCGTGGATCAGTGTGCATTCTGAATCCTTCATTTACCTTCTTATATATATACATACATACGATTGCTGACGATGAAAGTGAGCGCACTCTCTCATTAATGTATAAACACAAAAAATACTAATACTACTAATTGGGAATAAATTTGTTTCCTCTGTAATTTCAAGCTGCTGGTAAAATGCTTTAAATCGTATTTGATGCTGATCTAATCTGGTAATTTTATATTTACTTTAAATAAATAAAAAGTAAATGTTAACAACATTTTGTGGAAATATAATTAAAAATGTATGGTCAAAATATATAAAAAAAGGAAAATAATAAAATCAAAACAAAAATTGTAAATCATAAGAAAATCAATTTCATATAATTTCATATTGGAACCTGAAGATCAAAAATTAGTTTTTTAAGAAAAATATAATAATCACCGCTGTAATTTTAAAATGAAAATGTTTAACCCAAATAACGTGAATTTACAAAGAAGAGATGTCAGTATATGAA